ACAACGAGATGATCCAAAACACTCTTATTTGTGTGGAGCCAGTTATCATTTGGAGAGAGGAATTAGTTCACCACACCCATACGGTACTTACCTTAGATACCAAAAATCATCAGCGGGAAGTCGCGAGTAAGTTCCTGCCGGTATATAGTAACTGTGATGGTAAGACGCTGATCCCAAACCAAAAAGAAATGATTGCCCAAATAGAGGCACCGCCAGGACTGATGGCCCTGAGGCCAACCACCTCCTTCACTCTTGTTTGATACAGTTTCGGTCTGACTAAAACGCTCTAGCAATCGTTTGCCTAAACTGATGAGCAAGAGTGAAGCCCTACACGGCATCAGCCATACAAGCCGTTCAGTATCTAACCCCAACCCATTTGCGAAATGAAGGCGTTACCTCGCGAGTATGAGCACATACGACCATACCCATTGGAAAATTCGGGATCCCGTCCGCTCTCCCATAGACAAGCCGATGAGGGCCGGATTAGTAGTTGAGTCGGTGACGATCAGCGAATACCTGGTGTTGTATGTTTTTTGGTGTTTGTCCTGCTGGCGGTGATAAATGACACTACATTCCCTGACTACCTTGATCCGTATTTTAAGTTTTTATATGTACTCCAAACAAGGCTGATGAGTCTTTTAATTTTGATGAACAAGAAAAACGGAGCTGTTGTCTTCTGTCGTATATAACCCGCAATTGTGGTTCCACTTTTGTGTCACAACTTCTATTCCCGAGTGAAGGAGGCACGCTATAGTGGACCCCATAGTAACCTGACAACTGAATACCTGAGGCAACACCACCTTTAGTTCTATTCCTCGTTCGTTCCAACCAATTCGATGAAGATGATCCTAATGACGACAAAAGAGTCCCGTTGAAGTTCAGGTCTACTTGATTCTCCTTTACAAGGAATTTTGATCTCCCGTCGCTCTTGGTCAGGTAATACTCAAAATTGAGGATACCGCGCTGATCTACCAATTATATCGAATCTAGGACTCAAGAGATTCTAGCTCTGCCGCAATTTCTAATTGCTTCCAAGAACCATTTCCTTCCTCATCATGATAACGATGGTGATGGTGGTGGTAGTGATGGTGATAATGATGGTGGTGGTGTAGTACAACTTGCTGTGGCGGCCCTAGATTTACAGACGGATTCGCCGGCTGACTTTGTAGATTATGATCAGTGAAGGCGCGAGGGAGCTGAAATGGCGACGAGTTTGAACAGACTAAATATGGTGGCACGACTGGTGTCTCCGGAGTGACATCCGAGACCGGAAACGATCTTCCTGAGTTGCGCACCGTCGACGGTCGATTTATCTTCGGTACCTCGATGTCAGGCCTGATTGATCTCGGTGCTTTTGAGGTGCCATCAGACCTGGCTGAGGTGAATTCGTTGTAAGACTGGTGTAGCGGCTCGGATATGTAGCCGAGATCTAAACTCGGTGAGATAGTCTTCCAACTTTACAAGGCTTTCTACATGTACATACCGTGGAGTGAGTCTTCGATTTCTAGGAACGGCACAAGCTTCACAAACTCCTTCAGCGACATTACAATAGCGAAGGCTGTCTTCGATACAGCGTATAGGACTGTGCTGAAGCAAGAGGCTAAGGACATCCTATGGTTCGACCTCTACAAATCAGCGCAGCATCCCATCCAAGCCGAATCAATCAATCAATCAATCAACCAATCAATCCAAGGCCATTTCCCCATTCAATCAGACAAGCCTACAGCGCCGAAAGCTTGGTGTTACGGCCAGCTAGTCGTAGGGGTAGTTTGCAGAAGTTGAGGCTGCGGAACTGGTAACAGTAATCGTAGTCGTGGAATAGTTTCAAGGAAACTATGTCTGTCAATCGTAAGGGTAGGTAAGGCTTCGGTGATCAATCGTAGTCTTGTCAAGGTAGTAGCTGAAAGCGGATGTTAATCCTGATACGAAGTTAATTGCTGAAGAGCTATGGAAGTCTGTCCTAGAGTCCGGCTCGAGTCCATCCTATATACTAGTCCTGGTCCTGAACATATCCCTTGTCAATGATCAGTTCCTCTGATCGGGTGAGCGCTCATCGTTCGGGATGAGCGCTCATTGTTCGGGATGAGCGCTCATTACTTGGCATGAGCGCTCATGGCCCCACCATGGTCGCTCATGTCTTATCTTATCATCACGTGACTTGTACCATAGTTCTTCCGTTCCGTGAGAGGGTGCCTAGTGTCCCTTATCTCCTGCATATGTGGTGTATTATAACCGCCGCGAGCCTGCGGGGCAGGCCCTGTTCTTGGTCATGCATGTTGGGTTGTAACACTTGGCTGACTTGATCAAGCTAACGTTGCCCGGAAAAAGGAAAATCCGGGCCCCTAGACTAATCATAGTTTTTGAAATAACTTTCAAAAAATAAAAAAAAGTCCATCCGCGTATTTTACGGACGTCGAGTTGGTGATGCCCTCACGTTAACAGGTGGCCAAGTGGGGCCGGTACTTCCTGGCAGTACTAACCTGACTGCTAGGTCCTGCCAGGAAGTGCCAGTAAAACGCGTCGACAGCCGACCTAGCCACGCGCAATACTCTCGACGCCTTACCTTACGCCATATGGAAGGGCCGGCGGTTCGTCAACGTTGACGCCATCTCGAGGAAGGGTAACCGAGGCCGTACCTCTTGGATCACAAACGAGGGCATCTTCGTCTACGAGATCCTTGCCAACGGCGTGAGGGGTAATGCCTACTGGGTTTGCCGACGCTGCGACGAGGCAGGGTTTCTAGACCAGCCCTTCAACGCTAACGCCACATCTGCTGCTGCCAGGCATCTCGAGAACGAGCACTCCATCTTCCGAGGTGGCAAGAAGGCTGGCTATACGTCTTCTGATGAGGCTGACGACCCTGGGCCTCCATCCAAGCGCCACCAATCTCTTCCTATCGCCATACCTAAGCGGACAACTACCCAGATCGAAGAGCTAGCTGTGGGATTCCTCGTTGATACCAGCAACCCTCTCACAACGTTCAGCAACCAGTACTTGCAGCACATGCTCAGCCTATTTAATCACGACGTCAACGCCCAGATCCGGTGGTCGAGATCTAGCCAGAGGGAACAACTTCGACGACTCTACATATCCAAGAAGGAACAGATCGAGACCGAGATACAGAGGGCAATCTCGAAGATCTATATATCGTTTGACTTGTGGACCTCACCTAATCGATACGTTATCGTCGCTATCTATAGCCACTTCATTAACTAGTCGGGTAAATAGACGCAGTACCTCTTAGGTCTCCGCCGCTAACCTGGTGCTTACTCTGGTGAGAATGTTGCTACCACAATATATACTGTTATGAAGGACTGGGACCTACTTAATAGGATTGGTGTGACAGTCTCTGACAACGCCAGTGCTAACGACACTTATATCAAGGCTCTTTACCCATCTCTATTACATTTATATACAGAAACTGACGCTCAACAACGTCGAATTCGATGCTATGGCCACATCCTCAACCTCGTTGGCCGTGCCATCATTCATGGCGTTGATGAGGAGGCATTTGAGGAAGAGTCTGACCGTCTTATTAACGCTGGAAGAGTGAAAGAGGACCTAGCCTACTGGAGGACTAGGGGTCCAGTCGGCAAGCTCCGGAACATCGTCAAGTATATCAGATCATCGCCATAACGTTCTGAGAGCTTCTTAGCTATTAGTAACGAGGCTGCTGATGATGATGATGCCTTTACTCTGTGGGAGGAATCGTCACAAGAGCTGAATCTGATGTTGAGTAACACTATTCGATGGAACTCGATATATAACATGATCAACCGGGCCCTACTCAAACGTACCTAGATCAATGGTTACGTATGCCATACTCTGGGCCTCGAAAATGACGAAGATTATGTCCCAAGTGAGGATATCCTCACTAACGAGGATTGGCAAGTCCTCGTCGAGTTGAATGAGGTTCTCGAGCCCCTCTATAAGCAGACTAAGAGATGTGAGGGCTGGGGCAAGGGTGACGGGCATGGTCGACTCTGGGAGGTTCTGGCAGGCATCGAGTATCTCTTGGATCGACTTGAGGACTGGCGCAAGCTCTACGATACCCTTACTACCGAAGAGATTAACCTCACGGCTACCCAAGTATCCCAAAGTCTTTCATCACAGCTATCTCGACCAGCAAGGGCATCGCATCGATCTGCCAGAACGCCAGTCTCGCAGACCCCATCAATCAACAGTATCCCAACTCATACCCAGTCTGACTATATCGCTACTTCGCAGCAGAGTCAACCGCGCCGCCCCCAGGGTATTAACTTCGACTCTCACGGATACTTACGCCTATCGATTATTAATGGTTGGCAAGTACTTAACAAATATTACCTCAAGCTTGGAGAGTCTCCTCTCTACGCCGCAGCAGTGATCTTACACCCTGGCCGGGGCCTACGATGGCTCAAGAAGCGTTGGAACACCCCAGAGACGCGAGGATGGCTTCATGACGCCCAGGAAGGACTTCGAGACTATTGGGAGCAATGGTATGCCGAGATGACTACCCGTCCTAAAGAATCAACCTATCCAGAGCCTCCTCCAAAGCCTCCGCGAGGCTCTTTTGTATCGATCGCAGTTCCTCCGAGGGTTGAAGACTCTGACTATCGTCAATGGTTAAACAGCAGCCTCCATGACGCTACTATCGACGAGGTTGACGAGCTGGATCGATACTTCACCCTCTCAGTTGCCCAGCCCGTCGACGATCCTATTCAGTGGTGGATTTCACATCAACAGACCTTCCCAACGCTCAGTAAACTTGCCCTCGACGTCTTTGCTATCCCAGCGATGGCGACCGACTGCGAGAGGGCATTCAGCCTTGCCAAACTTACGCTGACGTCACAGAGGCTATCCATGAAACCATCACTGCTTGAGGAGACACAATGCCTCCAGAACTGGGTTCGAGGGGGCAGCGTTGCTGTTGGTGGGCATTACTTCAAGCGGAAGGGTTGACGGAGGGCAGGATGACATCAGAACATCAGATAATGTAAGTTTCTGACGCATAGAGACATCGTGAGAGCTTCACTGACTTCCTAAATAGGTAATATTAATCAATTCAATCCAAGCCAGTCAAATCAAGCAAGCTTCTTGTGAAAAATCAGTCAATCGGACAAGCCCGTCACCCAAGCTTGGCTTGATTGATTGGTATGCAGCGCTGCTACAAATACGCCAGTATGCGCGATGTGATTATAGTAAGCCTGTCCCACTGACCATACCTCAACCAAAAAGAACTTGGGAATGAGACGCCGACTATGCCTGTGTACTAATCTTATGACTGACCATCGACCTTTCAGATCCGGTTGCAAGAGTCTGGATGGGAAGACGTCGGCGACAAGTTGCAGGTAGCATTCGACAGGTTCCATGATGAGACGGAGCCCCTCAACGAAACACAGGCAACATGGGCAAAAATCCTCGAGGCGACCAATTTTACCTACGTTACGGCGAAGTTCGAGCCATTTCTCGAAGCATCGTTGGGCGCAGAAGAGGAGCAGAAACATGCTCGGAAAGTCCTGTGCAAGATCTTTGGCGTTCGGGGCACTCTGAAGTTGAAACAAAATACCAAAAAGATGCATGAGGCCAGGCGGGTTGTTATCCAGAACGCCGAGGTATGTTAATTCCCCAGGGTTGCAGGGCTCGAGTGTCTCTTTCGTGTATCGAGCTTGAACGCTACTGAGGTGTATGGGAAAGGCTGCCTAGCTCAACACAGACCGCGAGACTTTGATCAAGTTCATCAGTAGATTGGCGGCTCTTACAGACGATGAAGACGGGGATGAAAGATGGGCGGACTTACATGAGATGGCGGGGGCGGATCAGAACTTGAAAGAGGCGCTTGTTGACCATCGTCGTGCGGTCAAAGACGATGTGTGAAGCATCTGATCGCTCTCCATATACCCATCGTCCCGTCTGAGTTTGCATGCCGGACTCGCAAGTCCCCGGGATCGACTTAGATACCGGCCAGTGCCGAATGGGGATGGTAGAATATACTGAGTAGAATGCCGCATTCGTTTGGCCCTACACACGGTGTCATTTGCCCTGGCACTGCTTCCCAGATCATTATCTGTGGGCAGTACACACTGCTCATCTGGACCAACGAGGCAAGCAATGAGGCAATACGACTGGTATTGACGGTTGGTTGGTGATGTTGTGGTGGAGGTGGCTGCGGTGGGCTGGATCAACCAGGAGGTGGATCAGGCAGCTGGTGCCTGGGGCACCAGCCACTGCCTCAGGCATCCACAGTCCCACATTAGCACGTTAGCCCATCTTATGACGCAATTCAGCACAAAGGATATCGGGGCCGTCCATGTGTACGGGCTGGCGCAATGTGGACTTGGAATGATTGATGATTCCACGCGGTGACAAGCATACGCTCGCAGAGGGTGGTTGAAAATTATGTAGTATAAAAAGCTACTAGAGAGGTAAGGTAGACCCAAAGAATATTCTTTCGTAATATTGCAAAATGACATGACCTGGCGAAGTGCCGTTTTCCCTCGATAATCCGGTAGTTGAAGAAGCAGAATCTTAAGTCGTAACATATTGGTAGTAGTCGCTGATCACAACCGGCTGCCTGCCAGTGGGCTGGCTAGTTGGGGGGAATCTACCACATCATCACACTCGCAAGAAGGAATCCAATAACGAATGCCGCCCTCGAGTTGCCTCCGAGTCTAGGCGCAGCGTTCTTGTCCGTCTCGACAGCCACGCCGGCGCTGTTGGTCTTTGTTGATCCGGATGAGCCTGAGGTGGAGGCGCCCGGTGTGTAGTCTGCTGCGATACCGTCGATGGGGTGGGCGTATGCCTGTGCGGGGGTTGTTGTCGCGACCCAAGCGATGGTGGTGGAGAGCTCCTCGGGGTTGTAGACGGTGACGGTGGCGGTTTGGCTGAGGTCGAAGTTGCTGTAACATGTGCCGCCGTAAGCCGGGCGATCAGCATCGGCGGTCTTGGAGGGTGCGGCGAATGTGAAGCCGCTATTTGTAAAATTAGTACTTTGAACATAATCTTGGCTATTCTTGGCTCAGGTTGTAGGGCTAGAAGAACTTACGAAGCGCAGCAGGCAATGTAGCCGCTCGACCAGGTGCTGCTCTCTGTGCTGTAACCGCTCGGGCAGACGAGAGGGCTCATGTAGGGTGCGATGGAGCTGGATGCGGAGAGGGCGGATGAGTAGCCGTTGACCCATTGCGTGGGATGGCAGGATGCGAGGGTCGAGTTGGGCAGAGGTACGGGCTCGTTAATCCAGATCTTCTCGAGGGCGCCGACCAACATGGTCAAGTGGTTATCGTGACATTCTGCGGGCGGCGTAAAGGTCGTCGTGAGTGCCACCGTCGCGACGGGCACGGGGGTGCCGGTCGGTGCGGTGATGACGGCAGGGGCGGCTACTTCGGCGGTTCGGACGGCCATTATGACGGACTTGGGATGGATTTACAGGTAGGTGGTATAACTGTAAATTCGAAATAAAGAGCGGACGTTGAATAACGATTATGATAATCAACTGGATCGTTGTTTGCTGATCTTGAACTTTACGAATAAGTCTAAGTTAAAAGAGTGGAAGGGGTGGGAAAGTTGTTGATCAAAAGAATGTGGTGGCCGGAAACTCGCAAAGAAGATACTACGCGCGCAACGGGGAAGGGAGGAGAGAAACGGAGGCAAATGGACCACTGGCGCAATGGTAAACACCCAGGAGTTTTATCGAAATTCTCGATGGGACTGCACAATGCAACCTCCCACGCGGCAAGTGGGTTCGCATGGCAAACAAATCAGGAGTTTTTGTCGAAATTCTTGGTTGCCAAACTGCGACCCTCCACCCGGCCCAAGTGGGTTCGAGAAAGGGGCGCAGACTTGTCCGGCCGGCCCAGGCCAGATCTCTCGCTGCTCGCAGTCACTTTCTCTTTATCTCTCTTCTCGCTTCGAGGACTCGAGTCGCCACTAAAGCAGGCATGCCGCCGAGAGGTGCATTTGGCACCCTCCAGTTACCGCAGTTGGGGAACACAAAGAAAATGCATGTGGTTTCTCGTGTTCGTTGGTTTCTATCTTTACCTACATGTACCTACCTCAGACTAGCTAAGGCACCGTTCTCACCGGGCCGCCATTTGCTTTTTGTAGCGGTCTGAACTGAGACACAACCGTTGAGTTAACCCGTTGTTGAATGGCCTTGGAAGTTTGGAACGACTCGAAGCGGACAATCGAAGACACCGCGCTCTGTTTTGTAATTCAGCTCGCTCGGTTTGGCCAAAGGTCCGATTCATTTCAACCGTCACGTCACAAACAATGGGGACTTTTGTCCCGGAGGCCCGCTGATTTTTCCCCCGGTGAGAGCTCCCGCGCACACCGCGGACTGGATTGTCGGATCTACACAATCCTCCCGTGACTCTCCTCGGCACTAAAGCTTGCACTGCCGCGAGCCCGTTCTCACTGCTGGCTGTTGCTTGGTTTCAGACGTAATGATTGGTAGATTGCGAGGGCATTGACCTCCTCTTTTTTCGCGTGAGGCTCTATCGTCCAACGGTTCATCTTGAGTGAACCTGGTTTTATGGGGAGAAGCGGGGAGCAAATCTGCCAGGTACCCACAGGACTCGTGGCTCTTGTCGTGTGCAAACAATGTGAAGTTGGGAAGTTCTGCCCCGTCACTTCTCGAGGGCATGATGCTGATGGGAATAGTCTTGGTCAAGACTCCATCTTCCCGTCTTGAGAGGACTCGATGCGGAGGCGCGGAAGAGTTGTTTCTAGGCACGCTGCAAGATGCAACGCCTTGGAAAAGCTTCTTTGGATTACTCCACAGTCCACGGGTGGGAGCTTGAGGAACTCACTTGGCTTGCCAAGACGACAATCTGAGAAAGGGGGAAGTAGTGTTACGTAACACATCTCTAGTGCCAAGCTTGTGGGTAACGTGACTTGGTGCTGCTGAAATCGCAATAACGGTGACATAACGATCACGATCTCGTTAGCCAACGCCATGCACAGAACAGCCGTCGTATTAGCGCGCTCATTAACATGATCTGGTTTGCTCGGAAAAGTCCACATACATCTGGCCACAGATGCCGGGAGATCGGCTGAAAATTTCTATCAAAAAGCAGTAACTAATTATCGATCGCACTAATACCGCACCGTTCAGCCAAAATATCCACCCTGCCAGGGCTCCGAGGAATCTTTGCGTGGTCTAGTGCAGGAACCAGCGAGTTAGTGGATCCTACTAAGCAAGCCACCCGGGAAGGAAGAGACGAAAAATTCCAGTTGGTGACGTTGATCGATCTACTAGATCTTGGTGGCTTACCTACTCCAGGATAATGACCTTTTTTTTTTTTCCAAGTCAAAAGTTTCATCTATTGACGATGACCTAAGCAACCCCCAAGTGATGACTTCCAATGAGTACTTTACGGTGTACTTCAACAGAGCCGGTATCTCTGTACCCTCAGCTAAGGTCGAGTTTATGCGAACAGCACAAGTCGCGTCAACTCTGATGTCGCAACAACCAAGTAGTGCACTGCAAGGTAACCTTTGTGTTCGTAGGGTCCAGTCTCACTGCCGCTACGAGCGATCTTCCCCATCCAACTTGTCCTCTTGACGTGCCATAAATCTGATGCTCGACGGTTGCATTTACTTACTGTATTTTTTGGCCCTCATTCTAAGATTGAGTTTATTTTTCTCTTCATTGTTGAAAGATACAGGATTTGTTCCAAGGACATAGAAGACCCACGGTTGCGAGTGTTGGCTCAGCTGACCACGGCCAACGCTGAAAAGTCTCAATACCCACTGATATGTCTCGGAACCGAACAAGGACTCATTTTCCGTAGCAGTCTGCATCGACATGACCACCTGAGAGCCCGCAACCTTATACGATGAGGCTGAATAGGCCCGGTGTTATTATGGCGTAAGGTAAATATGGGGGTCTCGCTACCACGCCGTTCTAGGTTAGGTACTGTAAGTTGAGAAATCGAAATCCTGATTGGGGGGGGGGGGGGGGGGGGGGGCCAGTTCTTGCTACATCACTTGTGGCTCAATCGCGTACGTGGTTGCATGGAGTGAATATGAATCGTTGAAACAGCTTGGCGGCTTTGTTTTAGAGCTGGATTCCAACAATGAGAAAGGTCGATTAATGTCTGACATCGCCAACGTAGCTTTCTTTTGAGTGAGTACACATAGTTTGTGTCGACAGATCAACAATGGGCTGAACGCACATACTGACCAGTGGCCTAGCTAAGTGTCTAAGTCAAGCTCCAAGTAGAATCGACGCTGCAGGGTATTCAATCGCTGCGCATAATCGCTGCGTATGCCTTTCTGGTTTAGTCAATCAAAACTATCGTCCTGGAGTAGCTTCGTATTCATGACAGAACGGAGCACCGTGAACCAGGTGGAACCGAGAGGCGTGGAGAAATCGACGAGTTGAATAGCACGAATTAAATTACCCCAATCAAATGAAAGCCCAGAGGCTTGGGTCACGGCGGACGGGAATATCGGTACCGGTTCCGACCAACATTGATGTAAAATCCGGACCATCACCCTCCGTTGATCCACCCGGAGCCCTGCCTGATGATCCTCCCGACCTCATAAAGACAGTCGATTCGCCTATCCGTCGTAACATGGCAACATCACGGCCGGCGTGTCGCCGGCGTGGCAGTCTTGGCTTCTTGTCAGCTGGTCAAAAGCGTCTTGAACGGGAAACCCTCCGAAGAGGAGAGCGCAACTCGCGATGTCTACATCTGATGGTCTGATGTGGGAAACCAACTCCTATATATACACCTCCAGTTCATTCCTTTGTTTCTGCTCTATTGAATGATGCCTTATCAAACCAAGTGCGTTTGAGCATATATTCATTCCTTCATCCAGCCATTCTTGATCCGGGAAGCTCCCTGCCCAAACTCACGATGAAGGTTCTCATCCCTCTTCTTGCGGCCAGTCTGACCAGCGCCCACACCATATTCTCGTCCCTCGAGGTCGGCGGCACAAACCAGGGCGTCGGCAATGGCGTTCGCGTCCCCTCCTACAACGGTCCCATCGAAGACGTGACCTCCAGCTCTCTCGCATGCAACGGAGCCCCCAACCCCACGACGCCTACCTCCAAGGTCATCACCGTCCAGGCCGGGCAGAACGTCACCGCCATCTGGCGTTACATGCTCAGCTCCACCGGCTCTGCCCCCGCGGACGTCATGGACAGCAGTCACAAGGGTCCCACCATCGCATACCTGAAGAAGGTCAGCGACGCTACGACTGATACTGGCGTCGGAGTTGGCTGGTTCAAGATCCAACAGGACGGCTACAGTGGGGGCGTTTGGGGGACCGAAAAGGTTATCAATGGCCAGGGACGCCACAGCATTCAGATTCCAGAGTGCATCGCTCCCGGCCAGTATCTCCTTCGCGCTGAGATGATTGCTCTGCATGGTGCTGGCAGCTACCCAGGTGCCCAGTTCTATATGGAATGTGCTCAAATCAACGTTGTTGGAGGCACTGGTACCAAGACTCCCTCGACCGTCAGCCTGCCTGGTGCATACAAGGTAAGTAGCTGTGCTACTAAATGTTGAGTGTCTGACCACTCGGACATGACCACTGACTATTATATGCAGGGCACTGACCCCGGAGTCACGATGAATATCTGTACGTCTGTCATGTTTTATTCCTTTGCCACTTCTCAAGTACACTTCCGCTGACCACAATGATTGCTAGACTGGCCTCCGGTCGAGTCGTACACCATTCCCGGTCCTAGCCTGTTCACGTGCTAAACACCCAGCCAGACAGCTCGAACAGGACCTAGATGTCAAGTTGGGGTGTTGACGCAGGGTGGAAGCTCTCAGAGGCCAACTGCAGTTAGGGGTAGAATGATGAATTACTGAAATCTGCTCCTCCCCCGACGTGTACTCCCTGCGCTGTATATATATCTGAGCTGCTCCTTTGTTGCTTGGACTCCTTACTACCTCTAACTAGCCCCTATCCGGGAGGGCTCTGACACTAGACTTGGTTGACGGAGGCTTTTCCCAGCTCCCGTTGGTGGTGACTGATAGTTTTCGAACGTTTGGATCAGAAATTCTGAAGCGCTGGTCAATATCTACATGTTGTTGTTGTTGTTGTATTTTAACGCCGTAGCGGCAAGGGCGCAGCCGCCCTTGCGGCAGACCTCCCGAAGGGTATATGGCGTGGAGGGCCGTAGGCCTATAGCTATCACTAGATACAGTCCAGCTCGTCCTCCAAATCGTGCCCAAAGGCAACTATGTGTTTAACCTGTCTCTGGGTGCCGCTGGCTTGCCCGAGACAGTGCTATGGTCGTCCCTAGAACGCAATTCCGCCAGTATCTCCTATCCTTCGACCCAGAGCCCGCAGGCTTCTGGTTTACACAACGTTCCAGTAACCGTCCGGAGTATATCGTAATAGGTAATACCGCCACAAGGGAAACCACAAGGGGCAAAACCTCGTAAGACTAGGTTGTAGGGCTTGCTGTTAGGTTCTGTAACGAGCATAGCTGTATATAGCCGTGGCTATACATCGCTACCCAATGGTCGTTTCATCTCTTCGAGGGAGTCTTCGATCGTTTAAGGGGCAAAGGTGCTGAGAGAGCGAAGTCGAAAAGTCGGTCGGTGATGTTCAATTTGGGCCCGGAAGCGCCACTTGCGCCGGGAAAGAAAGTCGCCCGTCTCCTTCGGGAGGCTAGATGGAACCTCTGCTCCCTGCCCTACCAGGAAGACTTCGTCTAGCCTGCGGAAGGCGAATTCGAGTCGACGGCGGCTCGTTAGGTTGAATAATCGTCGGCTCGATTCGAGGGGAAAATGTGCGTTGTTAAGGGTTTGATTAGCGTATAGCTAATCCACCCCAGCGCGCAGCGGCAAACCGCGGGGACTGGGGCCCCTCCTTAGCATGGCACTAACAGCCCGTGCCAAGCTGGAGAGATGTTTCGTGAAGGTTGAATATCTACATGTACTGTCGTAAGATTATTGAAGAGAAAAAGTTAAGAAAAGAAGAATGGGTTCAGATCTTTGCTCAGAATGCTCGCCACCGAATTCCGCATGCGTATAATGGACGTCCCTATCTCCGTTTAGGTAGGTCACTGCAAGGTATCGTGATCCGCATGAATGCTATAGTCAAACCCACATGCATGAAATGACAGTGAACGAACTCAGGAGTTCTGCTCGGTACCGGAGATACGATGCAACATTGATATTTAGTATTTTATTACTGTTCGTTTTCCAATTCTCATCTTCGAAGATTCACAACCAGCTTTGCTTTCCTCAAAAACAACAGGTGATCAGAAAACTTTCGCGACTCGAACAACCATCAAAACTTCTTTCCTCCCCCATCTTTCGAGATCACAATGGCCTTGAACGCTTCCACTAAACCTGGACCAACAGCAGCAGATATGGCCTTCGATTCTGACCATTCAGGCGACATCTTGGGTGCTCAAACCTACCCTAGAAGCTCACACTTGCCAAATGAGATTTTAATTAAAATTGCCTCACATCTCGACACTCGACACCGGTTATCGATCTTCAGACATAACTGTTGGTTCACGGGGTCGTATACGACAAATAGTGGTAGCAATTATCACTCGTCTGTTGGTGATCGTATTGCTTGTTCTTCTTGTTGTTCTATCTTACATTGTAGGCAGGAGTCGGTCGAAGTAGGTAGTGACGGCCTGTGTGGTTGCCCCACCTATATCCGGCCGTGATGACTAAGCCAGTTGTCCCACTTCGCCCAGGGCAGGTGCCAGCCAGCCCATGGTACCTGCCTATTACTCCTTATCAGCCTTTGCTGTTCCAACAATAACAGATTGACAGGAGGTTGTAGAACTGATCTCCCGGAGAAATCTTTCGAGATTCTGTCTCATTGGCCCAGCATGGTGAACAGTCAGTCAAACATTTCTGTTCCGTCACTACAGAGCTACGAAGACTCTGCCGCTGTTTGTCAATACCATCACTGAGTGCCCTGGCTTCGGAAAACTGGTTGAGTCTGTTTCTCTGGGCCGACTTTTTTGCCTCATCGTACCCGAAGAAAATCAGTGTTGTGGGACAATAAGTCAAGAGCTGGGAACTGACTTTTCCCGCAATGGAAATAAGACGATTTGGCTGGCAGACAAGCGAATACAGGTATTATTCGCGATTAATTTGTTGAGATATACGCCTCGAGTGAAGCACGTAAAGCTGTCGGTAGAATGGTCGGGCGAAGTTCTAAAGAACCTCGTGGGAGCCAATAATAGTTGTTCGGCAATGACACCGCCACGAAACCCGCCTCTCAAGTTTGAATGCCTGGTACACATGACGCTTGGAAAGCCCGACTCGACAAAATTGCGAGAGGACATCCCCTTCCACGACACCAGTGAATACTGGCGAGCGCTTCAACTCGCGCCGAATCTCAATTCTCTAGCCCTCTTTGACTTCGCTCCAATCAACACTTCTTTGAAGCCCGATCTTCAAAGATTGTTCGGAAATCTCAAGAGCCTGAGAATTGGTGCAAGTATGCACAACGAAGAAACGTTCGTGGATCACTTCAAATCGATTTGCAGACACTGCAGGGTTCTAGAAAAGGTTCAGATCATCATCCCGCAGCACTCGAATCAATTAGCCAGGTTGCTGGGTCCATTGCAGCCTTTCACACCTGCGCTCAAACGACTTCAACTGAGCCTCGACGTAAGTACTGCCCCTATGAATCAATTGTGGATCAGTCGCAGCCTGGACCTTTTGCGACGACTCACCTGCTTGCAAACTTTGCGATTGGGTTTCAACCGCAGTCCCTTTCGCGACCGCCTTACGCCGTTTCGGCCCGAGCACATCAGAACAGAGCAGTTTTTCGATTCATTACCGACTTCACTTCGTACGCTATTCCTGCCAGGCTGCAACTGGGTCATGGGAGATCCGGTAGATCCCATGGGCCGACGTGAGTACAAATCATTATCTCATTTGGTGACTAGGGTACGCCGTGGTAGTCTTCCGGAATTCCGAATTTTGCACGTCGCTTGCGACTGTCAAGATCCATCACCTAGCTTCACACATATCGAGGATGTAGGAGTCGAAGTTTTCAAGTTCAGACATCATGCCACACTGAGAGGTGGTGATCTTGCGGCTCTTGATGCTGAGGATTGGCAAGTGCGTTAGGAAGGGGGGGAATTGGGAATAGAGATATGGCTAAGAGGTTATTCGTCCGAACTCGTATGTTCAAGGTACCCAGTACCATCTTAGGTTGTTTAGGTATCAGTTCAAAGTACTACGTACTTAGTTAATCTCACATAAATTGGTACGAAAATCCGATTGACTTTCAGATCCACGTCGCCATGAAATTCGCGTGGAGAAGATATTGGATGTCTGGATTAGAACTGTATGCACATTGCTGCATCCATGTCCCCTCAAAATGCTCCTGCTCGGATTGATAACATGTTTTTCATACTTCAGTTGTCAGATCGTTGAAACCTGCTTCTCTTTCGATATGCACTTAGAAACTGAACACAATGCTCTCAGCTTTGGCCTCAAGTCACCGAAGCGTGTCACGGGGGTCAATGACGAACGGCAAACAACCTGGCAACAATTCATGGCCTTGTTTCTAATGCATGGAACTGTCTACGCAACTACACCGACCCGGTCAAAGTCCGGCGCCCATGCACTTCCCACGCCCGAAATACTAATCGTGTTGGCGCCACCGGCAGTGAACCCTGTCAACTCGACCGCATAGGCCTTGAAGACATCGGCGGACCAGTTGTATCCACTGAGAGGGAAGCTGACCGTCTGCGCCGCGCCTCCGTCGACACTGATGGACGCTAACCTCTCGTTGTTGCTGCCGCCTAGGTAGCCAACGTCACCATTGATGTAGTCGAACAGGACGGTCTGCGTACCAGCCTTGGAAGTCGAGACGTTGGAAAGGACAACACGGCCGTTGGAGGAGCCGCCGAGGTTGCCGACCTTGTTAGAAGATGTGCAGCCGGAGCAAGATTGTAAGTTCGCGCCGGAAGAAAGCGAGCCGGTGGCAACGGAGACGTAGTTGTACTTCGCCCCGGCGGCGGTCGAGCGCTGGATGTTGGATATGCGAAGCGCAAGGGAGCCGTGGGCGTTGACTTGCGCAGAGTAGCTGTTGGCGTTGGTGACGGACTTCGACGTCCAGAGATCCTTGACCGTGGCGGAGGTGATGCCGAGGTCGGCGAGCTGGACGGTCAGCGTGCGAGCGGCGTTGCTGAGGTCCACGACGAGGACGGCGACGTCCCCGTTGGCGAGGTCACCGGCCCAGAGGTCCCGGTTTCCGGTCCAGCGCTGGACCAGCTTGATCGGCCTGACAGCGGAATCCTGGTTGATGGCGATCAGGTGCTTGTTCTGCAACACGGCGACGGCCTGGTCAGACAAAGCGGCCACGTTGGTAGAGATCATGAGAGCAGACTTGAGCATGGCCCAGGACGCAAAGTGGGTGGCCTGCTCGTCGAAAGTCAGGCCGGTGTTGCCGACTTCGAGAAGGTCTGCATCGGCGATGTTGCCTGGTCCGACAATGCCTGACTTGACGATATGAATGGCTTGGTTGTAGATGCGGTAGACGTTGTCCCAGCCCGTGGCGATGTCGTCTGACAGGCGGAACGAAGTCGAGATGCCCTTCGTCCATTGCGCGGGCCCTTGCAGGCCGCTGGATGCCGAATAAGGGGTTCCCCATTCGCAGATCAGCATGCCCGGAATACCGACGCGCTGAAGTTCCTTCCACATGACGGTAAAGCGCGTGACAAAGTCAGTTCGCGGATCCTTGGGCGCATTCTGCGATCCGTTGGGACCATCGGCATAGCAGTTGTCATCTGAGAGCCAAGACAAGTCAGCGCAAGCGTGTGGTATTGAGGCCAAAAGCCGCCAAGTATGTCCTGCATACTTACACTTGAGATACTCTGTGTTAAGAGTCTTGAAAAAGTCGGCGTCGGCGGCTTCGCGACCGAGTGAGCCCAGGGCGGGACTCGGGACCTGGGAGTCGCACATGCGAACGCCGGCGTCAGAGTACATGGTCCATTTCATGCCTTTGGACCTCGCGAGATCGCTCAGCGGCTTGAGGCCCTGAGGGAACGCGGTGGCGTCGACCTTCAACGCGCCCGATGTGGCATTTCGCTGGCCATCTCTGGAGGCCCAGCCGCAGTCGATCTGGAAGTACTTGTAACCCGCGGTGACGAAGCCTCGTCGGCCAAAGAGTTGATGGCAGCCGTGATGCCAGCGTTGTTCGGGCTGCAGGAGACCTGGTTGTACGAATTCCATCCCATGACGGGCGTTGACTGGAAAGACTGACTCGCGGCCAACGAGGCGCCCCCGAGGCCGAGGAGGAGGAAACTTGAGATGCCCATGATGGATGCGTGACAAGAGAATCAGACGCCCTCGCTTTGAAGTCGTGCAGAGCTCGATACTTGACGCGATTCGACAATCGACATTCCAACAGTCGCCTTTGATACTTCTAGAGTCGCGAAGTCACAAATCTGGCGGCAACCTAACCGCACGATGATAGACTTGCGCGCCAATAGAGACGATGGTGGCTAGGACGCTTCAAGTTAGCGACACCGGCAGACGGTCGCTTTTAAGAGAGGACCTGCCGCATGGGATCTGCAATGAAACATCGTATTCATGACGTTGGCCGGGGCTCGGATCTGAAAATGGACTCATCATCTTTGGGGTGCATACGGAGTACAGTCTCTCCACGAGACCTACCCCAATCTGATCTAATGTACCCGCTTCCCCACAGAGTAAATGAAGCTTTTCTAGCGTCCTTAAGTCAGGGTTGAAGAGGCGTGAGTGTCGCCTGATGACGATCGACAGCAATCCTCGGGGCGTTGAGTCGCGAACAGTCGCGAACCCGCAGCAGAGGCCCAATTCCGTGGTCGGTCGTAACCATACCGGCGCTTGTAAGAATTCAGCGTCGCGTCCACGACGGGTAACGGCAATGTGCACTCCTGGGCCTTTCCTTGATGTGCCGCGGGCCGCAGACTAGCCCGGAGGATAGACCATGTATGTTCCCCAGAAATGAGTGTCAAGCCAAGGACCGGCGATGCCGACTCAGGTGTGATCTCCTTGACTACTTTTGTTCATCACTCCACAGCCACTAACCTCGTATCTTTCTTGACACAGTTCATGAAATCAGGAAGTTGATTGGGACGAATGTATGCCTCCCAGTTGAGATTCGATCATTCAGAGTAGAATAATGCTGAAAATGACAGATGGTACGCAACAGTTACTTGAACCGAGAAGAGGAACAAGACGAAGTCCGAATAACAAATGGCTGCACGGCTTAGTTGCCTCCAAGTAAGTGTGCAGGTATCTAGTCTTTGAGGATCCTCGCCCTATCCCCCTGCGTGATTACTTCAGCTGTCTTGGCGTAGTTCTCCGACCCCTCAATTACCCCTCCTAGGCGAATGTCCGATGAACTCGCATTTGTCGCTCCCTGCCTGAGTATCAACTGACTATTGATTCTTAAGTACGGTACTTGAACTCATTCTTTGAACGCGTCTCAATCATACACCATCCACCATGCCGCTGTACAAGCCACCCAATCCGAGCGCTCCTGCTCTCTCGCAGTTCTCGCTGAAGGGCAAGGTTGCCGCCGTCACTGGCGGCGCCCGAGGCATCGGCCTCGAGATCGTCCGGGGCCTAGCCGAAGCCGGCGCCGAAGTAGCTCTCATCTACGCCACCAGCAAAGATGCCGCTGAAATCGCCAGTCAGATTGCCAAGGACACGGGTGTGAGCATTCGCGCTTACCAGAGCGACGTTCGGTCCCGAACCTCAATCGCCGCCACGGTTGACCAGATTGTTCAAGACTTTGGGCATCTTGATGTGATGGTTGCCAACTCTGGCGTCTGCGCTGATATTCCCAGCCTCGAGTATACCGAGGAGACATGGAAAGACAACAATAGCGTCAATCTTGATGGTGTCATGTGGACGGCGCAGGCTGCCGGGAAGGTCTTCAAACAACAGGGGCGTGGCAATCTAATTGTTACTGCGTCAGTCAGTGCGACACTGGTCAACATTCCCCAGAGACAGGCTGCATACAACTCTTCGAAGGCTGCCGCTGTACACCTAGCAAAGAGTCTCGCGGTTGAATGGGTTGATTTTGCAAGAGTTAATTGCGTGTCTCCGGGCTTTATTGAAACGGAGAGTAAGTAGATGGCTTGTCATCGGATTAATCTCGATCAATCACTGACTAGAAGCTAGTGTTGTATGTTCAACCGAAAGAGCGCTTCGATAAGTGGATGGAGATGATTCCCGGGAAGCGAATGGCCGAGACATCTGAACTCAAAGGCGTAAGACGCAAATCGTGGCAATTGCATATTTATACGGATCGTTGCTAACTGCTAGATATAGGTTTACGTTTTCTTGGCAAGCGATGCATGCTGCTACATGACCGGCGCTGACATTATCGTTGATGGAGGATATACCCTGACATAGGAACTTAGATGGTAGCTTGATGAATCAGTCCTTGAATACTAGACCTCATTGTTCCGTTAAAGACCTCGCTGATCTCAGATAGCTTGGTGCTTTTCTTCAGAGAGAACTGCACTCTCGCTAGTCTCAGTGGCCTCGTTTCCATGAGCAACGCGCTGAACATGTGCTTCTTGTCTATCAACGTATTTCTTGGGTCTTTTGCTGGCAATCGCGTCCTTGTCGCCAATGACAATGAGAGGTGGGTCGTTGCGATAGTACTCATCGAGGTCTTCGAGTGTTCGGTTCGCTAGAATGAGTGTTAGATGGATTTTCACCGGAGCACCTTGATAATTGGATTGAGCATCGTCTCTCACCTGTTTCGGGATAGAAGAGGTAGATGACAGGCAAGAACGCAGCGTTCAAGACTGTGAACACGATCCAGAACTTCCATCCCAGGTCTTGGATTACAATTGGCGTGATTTGAACGATGACATAGTTCGTCATCCTGGATAATGTCAGTTGATTCGGAATTGAACGACCGAGGACTCGCCGTACCAGTTGGTAGCCGTGGCGACTGCTGCACCCTTTGTTCGCATGGCAATCGAGTTGATCTCAGTTGGGTAAAGCCAGGGAACGCCCAGCATACCCAAGCCGAAGGCCATAAAGTAGAGAAAGAAAAAGACAATGGATCCCTCTGAAGCTCTCCGGTTTCCTCCCGGCCCGCCGTATCTGAGAAGAATCGTGATCACGAGGAATGCTAAGCCTTGACCGGCAGTGGATAGAAGCATCAGTCCTCGTCGTCCCCATCTCTCGACCAGTGTCACGGAGAAACATGAGAAGATCAAATAGGTCAATGAGTTTACAGCGGTCAGGAGACGCGCCAGCTCGTTTGAAAGGCCTACTGCAGAGATCAAAACGGCCGGCATGTAGTAACTCATGATGTTGATGCCTGCAAGCAAAGAGATGTCAAAACCACTTTACACATGGAAACATCCTGTTTAGAACAGGGATCCATCTTACCTTCAAATTGCTGCATGAATTGCGTGCCAGCCCCTAAGATGATTCTGCGCAGCGGTTTGGTCGCTCCAGGATCAGGTCGCAAAAGGTCTCTCCACCGGATATGATGTTCTATTTCGTAGTCGATACTGAATCGTATCTCTTCCTTCTGAGAAATAACAAACGCATCATGTTCTGATTTCGCCTCAAGGCAGGCGAGAATCTGCGTCGCTTCCTTCTCCCGCCCGTGTGACATTAGCCATCGGGGTGATTCTGGTAGCCATGGGACAGTGGCGAATAGGGCGATGATGAAGACGAATTGGAAAGCCAGGGGAAATCTCCATGCGACGGCACCGCCTGCGTATGATAAGCCAAAGTTGATCCAGTTGCAGAGAGAGAACCCGACGATATTCATCATCATCTCAAACATTACTAGCTTCCCGCGCCAGTGCGCGGGAGCTGTCTCGGTCTGCCAGATTGGGGCGGTGGCCGTGTTGACCCCGTTGCCGATTCTGTTGCATGGATATTAGAACGACATGGATCTTGTATCGATTCGTAAGGAGGACCATGATCAGCTAGTTCTTACCCTAGGACGATGCGCCCGACAAACATTTGTGCCAAACTATAAGATGATGCCATCAGGATGGCCCCGATGCTCATTATCGCGGTACCAATGAGGATGGACTTCGTTCGACCTAATGATTCCCCAATTGTGAAGGCCAGAATTGCACCAACAAAGCAGCCAATATCGTATATCGCTGTGATCGTGGATAGCATACGAGTTTTCTCCGGCCCGACAAGATCGTGAAGCTCGAGAAAGTCGTCAGTCACGATGACGCCGCTAAAGACTTTGCACTTGTCAGCATTTGACTAAGGTGGCAGTGGATTTGTGTTACCAGCTTGGTCATATCCAAACATGAGCATGTCTACACTGCATGCGAATGTAATCCAGTAAGTAAGCCATTTCCCCTTGAGCCCAAAGTAAGGCGGTTTATCTATAGCTGTGGTCATCTCTATTGCATGTGGAGAGATTATCGAGAAGGGTTGAGCTTTCACATGAGGTGTGTGCTAATGTAATCAGTTGTCAAGAGATTTTGTAAAGATATTCAGCTTTAGGACAATCTAATACAGATCGAAAGTTGCGAAGGTGAGACCGGGTATTAGAACAGATCCTCGGGTTACCTGACCCGGGGGAGCGGCTGACAAGGGTGTAAGATGTGGTCCGATTTCCTCCCCGTGGGGTTACGAGATCTGCGTCACTGGATGTCTGGAGCATCTGCCTGAATAAATGTTTGCGAATCCTTATTGGTGCCGGATAAATTGTTTAGGGGAGATCGGGGTAATCATTTCCTGGGCTGCAAATTTACTAAACGACGAGCAGGATGGTTCATTTCTTCGCAGCATATGCTAATCCCTCCCTTTCCACAATCTTTAAAGACGAGTCACTCCATCAGGGAGAATACTCAAGATGACAACGATGAAAGAGAAAATAATACTCGAGGGCATTCTAGGAGGCAGGGCCATAGAAAATAAGACGTAAGGCTGATGTGCGGCACGGTCAATGTGAACCACATTGAAATTCGAAATCGTTTACTGCCAAGGAGGAGGGGTACTTGATCTGCTGATCACCATGCAGCGCAAGGGTGCCGCAAAGCTCCGGCAAGAAAGAACAAAGACCCAAGCTGTTTCGGGTTCTCTCGGAGTTGTCAATGCCTGGCATTACTTCTGGGAACTTGTCAACAGCGCGCGGTTCAAAGTTCGATGATCAGAATATGAGGCGCCAATCATTGTAGCTCACGTGGTTAGTTCTGTGTTGCTACACTGCTGCATCACTGTGTTCATAGATGGGTGTCCGTTGATCTTGCACTATGAGCAGTCTTCTAGGCTCAGATGTTTCGAATGATACTGAGTGATCACTTTATTCGTGTACCCAGGTCGTGGAGAGCGCTCTAAGAGAGTGTCACTACATGTATTTTAGGGGAAAGTGTTGAGAATCTCTGTGCCCTACTTGATCTTAGAGACAGTTGAGGCTAATTGCAGAATAGTGGCTCTACTCACGTTGCTAGTGCAAGAATAGGTTTGAACCCTCAATTATCTCACAAGTGTATGGACAGGTCTGAGGTATCAAGCAGGCACGCCGCCATAGTAAGTCGATTACCATTCAACAAGGTGGTCAAGCAGTACACGTTTCATGACCAGGGCAGCGGAACAAACCTTCCTGGAAGATAGTTGATGAAGTAAGAATGTCAAAGTTCAAGGTGCAACTACCTACCTTGAGGTCACCAGGATTTTAAAATGGGCAGATCTCTATGCATCTGCTCAACTACGCCATCTAAGACCACCTATTTCCAAGTTGCATAACACATGAAGGTCCCAAAGTCAATTTCGAGTGAGCTTATGAGGCCGTAATCTTTTTCATCATAGCTGCCGAAGTTTTCTAACTTTGGTAACTCTCATAACTTAGGCTGTTGTCATGTATATAGTGACTCGCTCTCCTACCGGCCCATAACTTAAGGAGTGTTTACTTCTACTTCTCCCAGACATTTGTTGTTGTTCTATTTAACGCTATGGCGGCAAGGGCGCAGCCGCCCTTGCGGCAGACATACATCTACCTACTTTATCCTTATATGTCACGTTGGATGCTAAAGGGGTTCTCCCAGAGAAGCCGCAAAGCGAAGTCCGCTGCCCGTACGTATCTCATCTTGCCTTATATACTGCCCATCCATACAGATATAAAGCCCATACTTATCCTCTTCCGCCAATACCAGAGGCAAGCCCCTTCGAACCCCGAGGCCCTTCGGGAGCCGCACTATGGCGCTGTGCGGGCGGACTCTGTATGCTGTTAGCCCATGGCTCTTTATGTTATAAGTGGGCTGTATTTACGGGTGTCTGACATAGAAGGTGTCTTTCAAAGGTATGAAAGGTGCCAAAAGCGTGGCTCTACGTAACCTTCGACCAAAGCACTAGGAACCCGGGAGGTGTCCCTGGTCGTGGCGTTCAGCTTGCGATTACGCCCAACTGAAAAAAAGCTAACGCTCCTTCCTTTTCAATTGAAACTCATGTCTACCTTGCTTGGAAGGAGCGCTTAGCTATGAAAATCCAAGTCCGCCAGCGACCAGAAGTCTTCACCCCCCGAACCCTCCCTGCCCCGGCCACACCAAATTTGCAGCAATTACACGACATCTCCGTATCAAGCATGGGGCATGAACCGACTTCTAGCACTCTTCTACCCTTAAGTCCGGCAGCTGGCGAAGCATCAGATAAAGTCTCTTTCGCAGTGGACAAGAAACCTCCTTCGGCAAGAATCATCAGTCTACCAAACGAGATCCACGACTTGATAGCCTCGAATCTCTGTGAGCACTGCACAGGCCGCTTCCATGTCGCCAGTCCAGACCGACCCAGCCATACCAATAGCGCAGACCTTTTCAATCTCTGTCTCGTTGACACTCATTGGCGAGATATTGCGACTCCGTTCTACCATTTTTGCGTTCCTCGTCTAGGAGCGCCTTTGCTGGTGCACACTCTGTTCGAACGTCCAGATCTGGCCAAGCACATAAAAGCAATTTCGTTGAGAGAAGAGAAGAAATTTATGCCCATCGATTGGTTTTCCTTTACATAGTCTAGATAAAATAGGAGGAAATTTTCAGACCTCGCCTATTCTATCTGCTTTGATCTGACTTCGTCGGTAAACAGATCTCTGGAATGGTCCGACGAAGTTTGCCGCCTAGGGCCGGGCTCGTGGGCACGACTGTTACTCCTGCAAGCATCAAATTTGGAAGGGGTATTCATCTACACGCAATCATATCTACCAATTGCCCGTCAACTCAAGGAAAAATTGACCTTCTTGACAATTCGTCGTGATATGGGCATTCCCACGATGCTCATCTGCGAGAGATCACCCCACTTTCCTCAGTATGGTGGGGCTATTTATCGAGAGAGATTCGACAATTCGATCCTTTCTCCTGCTGATAGTATTTTCGACTTATATAACATCGCCTTCAGCTCCCTGTCGAGGCACTGCGGCGGCATTGAAGAGATTCAGCACGTTAAACACCTTCACACGGTTGATGACTACCTCGACAAGTGGCCTCTGTTCACGCTAGCGCTTGTCCTCAAACGACTACGCCTTGGGGTCAGCTGCCTTAAGTACTGGGAAGAAGACTGGCCATCTTATGCTATGCAAAATATTAATACCAAAGGGATTTGGAGAAATCTTGGCCGCTGTGAGTCGCTCGAAGTTTTGAGAATCGACTGTCCGAGTGAGCAGTTTCGACCACCGCTGGGACGCGACCTCACGAGAGAGCGCCAGACTGGCATCGTCGCTGCCGACCACCTTACGATGCCTGTCTCTTTCAGGCTGCCGGGACTGGTTCTTCATCGTAGGTCTTCAAAGGCTGATCGAACGTATCATGAGCGGAGATCTTCCTCACCTTCGTTCATTACATATCATCGACTGTTGGTATCCCTATCACAGGGTATTGGTTCGAACCGTATGGTCCTGGGGGTGACGAAGTATCAATATCTCTGTATTGGTTGATTCTGCGTAAGGAGTAGAAGGGAGATTTCAACCGGAGGTTGCGTGGACCGTCGAGGTGTAATTGTACCCTCTCGAGGTGGCCCCTGCTCTACCCTTACTCACGGTCGAATTGGGCTTCCAATCCGACATCGACAAAGTCAACGCGGTGGAACTGAGCTCCGAGGAGCTCGTAGTGACAACAAAGCTCGAGGAGTTGGGAGTGGAGCTCAAGTTTTATGAGCAAGACGTACGAAACAATGTGGATTTCGTAGGCGTAGAAGATGAAGGGTGGACATTGCATGACAATATTGGAGGGTCGCTTGAATTTTTGGTCGCGGCCAAGAGAGTATCAACACGAGGCTCCGAGCCCGGCGAGACCCAAGCATGATGTTTAAATATTACAGTAGACAAGAACAAAGTATGATTTTCCTAATACAGGAGATTGTCCCCCAATCATTCCGAGGAGATCACATCATCGCCAGATAGGAAGTGTGTCATTTACCAGGTGCCTCGCAGACTGATCTGTCGCAAAGCTGGCTCGGTTACAATCATTACTCGCTACCTCTTCTCCTGCATTACTCCATCGGCCACGCTTCTCCCAGAGCAGATTATTCTAGAAAGCAGCAAGACCCCCGAGGGCAAGCACGCCAAGGGCACCCATAGAAGCCAAGGAAGGAGCAGCACCAGCCTGGGAAGCAGTAGTAGCCGTGGTAGCTGTGCCGCTACCGCCAGCAGTCGGTGTGGCGGTAGTCGAGATGGAGGCAGTCGCGTTGGAAGCCGCAGTAGACGCAGAAGCGGCAGCAGATGATAGAGAGGCAATGGCGGAAGAGACGACGGCGGAGGCGGAAGCAGAGGCAGAATCGACGGGAGGGGCGGAAGCGCCGCCTGTGACCTCGCGGCAGAACTTGCCAGCGGCGGGGAGGAGCTGACCTGTTTTTGAGGGGATGTGTTAGTCAAGGTGTCGAGATTCTCGCGTGGATGAGTGAAGACGTGATGTAGATGGGAGAGTTGCAAAGACTAGAGTCAAGTCGACGTACCAATAGCAACGTCAGAGCCGCAGGCTTGGAGGACGCAGTTGACGCCGACGGTGTAGATGCTGCGGTAGTTGTCCGCCTCACAGATGCAGGCAGAGTCGTCGATGCTGCTACATTTTGTGCCGTCCTTTACGGCCTTGGTGAGGCACTCGATGGAGCACTTTGGGACGACGTCGGTGAACTTTTGTTGGGCTGCAGCGAGGCCGGCAGTGGCGAGGGGGACGTAGGAGTATTTCATCTTGAAGGCTGTGGTCAAGGAACTTTTGGTGTATCAAACAATGCGAGAGGCAGAATTTTTTGTGATATGAACCAGTTCACAGGCAAGAATTAGACGATTTAAAACGCGCTGAAAAAGAACAAGACGCCAAGTAAGTCTAGCTCATGGCGGAGGTACAGGCAAATTATATATGTATAAGCACGTTAAGGACCTTCCAAGTCCATGCATGTAGTGCCTCGAAGGGCTGGCCATGTTCCTGGGGAATATGAGAGTCGGGCTTCTGCATGTGGCGTCCGCACGCGAGGCAAATAGACCCTCCCTCACTCCATCACCAACGTTATTAGAATAGGGCGTTCGTGTTAAGTGATCCGATGGTGCATTCAAAGCCAGGGTCGATTAGATGGTCCGGCCAACTCGACAAAGGGTGTACAGCTAGGCATTGTAGCCATGCCATATGAGGATGCTCAGTTAGAGCTCTCTCGCTACATTCGGGTCGTGTCCAGGGTCTTTTTGACGGCGAGGTGGAGAGGGGGACGCTAGCTTCGCCGTTGATGAGAGTGTTAATTGGTTGGTGGGAGTGAAGAGATTGATAAAGGTTGGAGGGGAAGCATGGGGTAGGGGAGGAAGAAAGTTATCTGATCCATCAGATAAGATTGGATGGCGTCGGCGTTCTCGGTAGGCCTAGTGGGCGAGTTTTCAGCCGTGGCTCTGGTGTGCTCCAGTTACATCAAGCTAGTCCCAGTTCTTCATGGGTTCTCCTGCCCTTGCTCGGTAAATGTTCCGATGAGTGAGCGCTTTTCCATCTTGTTGGTCATATTGATGATGTTGGTCCATGGTAGTAGGTATGGAACTTTTGCCCAGCCCGAGGATGAGTCCGGAAGGGCATGTGAAGGGCCCTCAGTGTGGTCTCTTGGGCGTGTTCTTGCTCACTCCAACATGACGCAAACTGTTTGTAGGTTGAAGTTACTCTGGTTCATGAGCTGTTAATTTGGCCAAGACTAAATCAGTGCCTGATTATCGTCTCGCCCTCAGTATTGGACGACTTCTATCGTGCTTTACGTCGATGAATTGATGGGGTGGTCTTCAAGCAGCTCGAAGTTTTGGCAACTGGGGAAAATACGGCTACTTCGGCCTTCGGCGACGAACATGCCAGTAAAGCGGAGAGTCGGCAGGGGTAACGATGTGCACCGGGTTCATGAGCTTGATGCGACGAGGTCCAGTAGGCTCGGCCGATTTGCTCTGATTCGGACGATAGCACGTGGATGAATGGAAGTGCAAGGTGTAGCGGAAAGGCACGAACTTGGACCTCGTTTGGGTGGAAAACGAACCCTCGGCCTTCAACTCCTGTGTTGTTTGAGTTGGTGAGAATTTTATCATCGATAATTGTCCCACTTGGCCTAGCAAAGACCCTTGAATCGTCTATCATGAATCATTCTGAATGATTCCTTTCTTAACGAGCAACTTTACTAGCTAGTTACTTAGATTCAGCAAGCAAAAGATGTGTAAAGAGGAATTTCGGTGCGAAGAACCTGGTCATCCTCGGCGACGGCTTGAAATGTGGCTTGACCAGACGCCGTGGCTGAATGTGGCTCAGAATCATGTGGCTCACCATGCTGTGGCTGGCAGGACTCCAGCCACATGACGGAGTATCGTCCGGTGTTGCCTGATTCTTCATCTCCGGACGATTCCGTCCCGTCGAGCCGGCGATTGGTGTGGCATTGCCGCGGTACGTACTCTCCGACTTCCGACAAGCGGCCGATAACGCAATCGTTTGCAGCACACAATAGGTAGCAATTGACCAAATGGAAGGCACATTGCGCGAAGAGTCACTCGCAACTGCAGCGGCAGGAGTCTGCAAGTGGATCCAGCGTCACGTTGGCCCGCAGACCTGGAACCCCGCCAAAGCAAAACCTGCCCCTCCATGGCCAATTTTCAAACCCCGCGTCTTCCCCTTCTGACTGTTTTTGTGAAGTTATCGCAGACCGACGTTGCGATCGCAGCAACCCATACTTTGGACAATTCGCTAAACAAGTTGCTTGTTGCTATACACACATTCTCTCTCTCTCTCGCACCATTTCAATCCATACCGGACGCCATGGCTACGATTGATATCGTTCTCGGCGCCCAGTGGGGGTAAGCTGTCAACATTCTCGCGGCCCAAAATTGCTCTATCTTTTGCTCTACACACCCATACGCCTTCTCACCATCTCCCACTTCTCTCTCTCTCTCCTTTGTCTATCCTGAGCCATTGCGCACTTATCACACCTGTCAATCTCCGGCCAGCAGAGCAATCTATGACAGAAAGGAACCTCCAGGGTGTACACGTATCAGTCGTGTATGCGTATGCTCTCGATGGATCGCGACATAACGACAAACATTCATCTCTGCTGTGCCATTGACGACCTTTCGCAGAAACATGGACTAACATATCGCGCACCAATAGTGACGAGGGCAAGGGAAAGCTGGTCGATGTGTAAGCCATCCCCCATGCCCTCAACTTCGCCGTCGGGTTCCTCTTCTGACCTTCACGATGTAGCCTTGGACAAGACGCGCAGATTTGCGCCAGAGCTCAGGTTGGGGTTTTTGTACCTTTTGGATAATCAATGGCATGCTGATGGCCCTAGGGCGGACACAATGGTAGGAGTCACTCCAACTCCTGAACCCATCGCGACGTAGTTTCTAACCCGACCACCAACAGCTGGTCACACTGTCATCGTCGATGGCGTCAGCTACGACTTCCGTAAGCCTTCATCTCATCGCAAAGCTCCTCTTAACCCCCGTCATGCTGACGACTATTCTCGACAGACCTTCTCCCCTCTGGTCTCCTGCACCAAAAGTGCATCAGTCTCATCGGATCCGGCGCCGTCGTCCACGTTCCGACCTTCTTCAAGGAGATGGCCGACCTCGAGGCCAAGGGCCTGAAGAACATCCGCGACCGCCTCCTGGTGTCCGACCGCTGTCACATCATCACCGACTGCCACATCCAGGTGGATGGATTGGAGGAGCAGGAGCTGGGTGGCAACAGCATCGGCACCACCAAGCGTGGTATCGGCCCGACCTACAGTACCATGGCCGCCCGCAACGGTATCACCATCAGCGAGATGTTCGACGAGGAGCTCTTTGAGCACAAGCTTCGCCAGCTCGCTCAGGGCTTCAAGAAGCGCTTCGGTGATCTTCTCGTCTACGATGTTGAGGACGAGATCAAGCGCTTCAAGCAGTACAGGGAGGACCTTCGCGTAGGTTTCTTTTGCAATGACAAGATGTAGTGCTGGTGACTAACACGCCTTGGCAGACGTTTGTTGTCGATGCCGTTCCCATCATTGCCGACGCCCAGAAGAACGGCAACAAGATCCTCGTCGAGGGTGCCCAGGCTGTCATGCTTGACTTGAGTACGTGAACAGGATGGGAGATTTATGTACGCATTGCTGATCTTGACAGACTTCGGTACTTACCCCTACGTCACATCATCAAACACTGGCCTCGGCGGTGTCTTCACTGGTGTAAGTTGAGATGATCCCCAAATCAACGGACTCATGCCCTGACACATCACTAGCTCGGTCTCAACCCTAGAAAGATCAACAACGTCGTCGGTGTCGTCAAGTCCTACACCACCCGCGTCGGTGGCGGTGGTTTCCCCACGGAACTCCTCAACGAGACGGGTGAGAAGCTCCAAAAGATTGGCCACGAAATCGGCGTCTCCACCGGTCGCTCTCGCCGCTGCGGCTGGCTCGACCTGGTTGTTATCAAGTACTCGAACGACCTGAACCACTACACCGCTCTCAACGTCACCAAGCTCGACATCCTCGATACCTTCCCCACCATCAAGGTCGCTGTCGGCTACAAGAACAAGCACACTGGCGAGGACTTCGCCTCCTTCCCTGCTAACATCAGGGCCCTTGACGACGCCGAGGTCGTGTACGAGGAGCTCGAGGGCTGGAACACGCCCACGACGGGCGCCAAGACGTACTACGACCTGCCCAAGCAGGCTCGCGCGTACGTTGAGTTCATTGAGAAGTTTGTCGGTGTCAAGGTCGTCTGGATCGGCACTGGCCCCAAGAGAGAGGACCTCATCTTCCGTGGATACTAGATGCAGGTTTCTATGTGCTTTAGGCGGAAAATGAACCCAAAGGAGGGGTTTACATCACAAAAAGATGAGACATTGAGTCTCCATGGAATTATCGATAGAACTTCGATTTGCACCTGAAAACAATAGATCGCACACAAGACCACAATCTTCGAGACTTGCTCGTACACTACAAAGCTTCTGTTATTTTTCCAGTCTCCAATGCCGATTTCTAGCAGGCGGATCCAAAGACTCAACAGTGCAATTCGTTTCACCCAAGCAAGACAAGAAGTCAATTGGAACGGTGACCACATTGTGTCTGCACTCAACCACACTTTGATCAAATTCCAATGTCATCATCACAACCCCACCCCTAAACCTGACAAACTACCAGCGGGGCCGAGGAAATTCGGAACCCCAATCCCAAATACCCTGCCGACATCGGGAGGGGCTGAGGCATTTAACCCGCCCCTCGGCCCCCCTCCAAAATTCCGCCGAATAAAGCAGCTAGCAAATTTTTTCACATTGACTCCAAATTGGGAGGTCGTCATTGGCCGTGCGCGAAAACATCACAGACCCCCCATCTGCCCGTCACAGCAAGCTCAAGCTGTCAACCACCCGCCGACTCTGCAACGCAACTTGAATCGCAACGCCGGCCTTCTCGGACACAGACGAGCATCTGAGATGTTCTGAATCGTCTGGCCGGTTGGCCCAATGGCAAGGCGTCTGACTACGATACACCGTGGAATCAGGAGATTGTGGGTTCGACCCCCATGCTGGTCAAAATCTTTTGCTGGATGACCTTTTGGTTGTTTTGTGGACGTGGGAAGTGCTCTAGACTCTGGTTTGCACGTTGCCTTGTCATAGTTGACTCCTTTTCTATCAGTTCTGATCGAATCTATGGCCTGCCTTGCCCCCTTTCCATTTTCCCTTTCCATTTTCCCTTTCCATTTTCCAGATCTAAGCTCTTTCATATCTGTCAACACTTTCCACCCCGCTATAGCCCATCTCCGTGTAAGTCACGGAGATAGTTATTTTGGTTGGTCCTAGGCTACGGCAACCGGCTTAGGGCAGTTCTCTCGATGGCTTAATATCGACTACAGATTCAAATCATCATCTCTTCGTCGTCTCCTCGTCTACTAAAAAATTACAAAAAGTAATCGGTACATTTTCCGTCTCCTCGAATGAAGTCTGGGCAAAGATTCCCAAGATAGGACCGGTGAAGTCCCGAGCATCAAGATCTTTGACTGCAACAGTCCCCAGCTCTTCCCATGTGTAGCCAACAAGGTCAGAACTCTGCACTCCGGACACATCAACATCCTCTTCATGCGGTACAGCATAGAACTTCCACTCAGTCTCTGAGGCTTGGATCTTGAAGCTTATCTTCCGTGTCTCGTTCCCTAGTAGAAGGGATTTTGGGAAGACGTTATTAAGGCCAGTCGCAGAATTGAAGGCGTGACAGACGACAGCTTTAGCATCGGAGTCGTATGCGATCGAGACGTGGCGGACGCTGTCTCTGTATATTACCAAACCTGCTTGAAGCCCCTTCGCTGATTTCACATCGTCGTTCAGCTCAAGGCAGGCAATGGCCCAGCCAGTCAGAGACCTTTGCCTTCTGCTGAGAAAGGTGCAGGTTCCAGTAGGACTTGAAAATCCCGACCGGCTCGGCAAGAGTGTGACCTGGCGTTCATCATCCTCCGAGGGCCGATACTTGGAAACGTCGGGATCTTTAATGAAGACGTTCGGGACGCCAACGGGCGGATTTCGGGCCGCTGAATCAGCCGACGACAGCGAAGCCTCCGCAAACTCCCTTTCAAAATCCATCTTGGGCTGAAGTATCTGCGGCCACCCTCCCTGAGGCCACTCAACAGGCGTAAGAAAGCTCTCACGCCCCATAGCAGCGCACCCATCACCATCCCTCCTGACGCCGAGCACCGCAGCCCACCACGCCCCCCTCTCATCCTGGAAGAGCTCGCCGTGACCGATGTTCTGAGTGGACTCGTCCTTGCCATCGGCAGTCATGATCGGGTTCCCCCCAAAACTCTCATATGGTCCCCAGATATCTTTGGACCTGGCGATGGAGAGCATGTGTTGCTCAAAGGTCCCGCCTTCGGCGACGAGGAGGTAGTACCACCCATCAACTTTATACACGTGCGGTCCTTCTGTGTCGTACCTCGCGTACCCACCCCAAATCTCTCGTTGCTCACAGAGTTGCTTCCCGGTATGGACGTCGATTTCAACCTGTTTGATCGTGCAACTCGGCTGCTTTGAGCGGTCCATGACGAAGCAGCCCTGGAAGTATACACGATCGTCGTCATCGAAGAACAGACTCGGGTCAATGCCGTGGAAGTCCACGGTGACAGGGTCGCTCCACTCGCCGCTCCAGATGTCAGAGCTGTGAATGATGAAATTTTCTAGGTCCGAGGATCCATTTGAGGAGCCGCAGTTGGTGCAGACGATGTAGAATCTCCCGCGATGGTGACGGATTGTGGCGGCAAAGAGGCCGCCTGTTGCGATCATTGTGTGGCCTGTGTCCAGGGTGAAGGAGTTTGTGCCTGCGTTGGCGAGGGTGAGTTGCTCGGGGCGGTTGATTGCGTTTCCTGACGCAGCAAGTTAGCCATAGTACCTTAGTTCTCCTAATGTGGGCAACTGATCTCGTACCGGTATGATCCCAGTTCTGCAAGTCACGAGAAGCGTAGATGGGCAGGCCGGGAAAGATATGAAATGATGAGGTGACGAGGAAGAAGGTTCCGTCGACCATAACGACCGAGGGGTTCGGAGCAAAGCCCGGGATGATGGGGTTTCGAAACTTTTGCTTGTTAAACATCTCGAATGACTTAGAAACCTGAAAGGGGTTGGGGGTTCTCTGGACTCTTCATGATCAATTCTCGTGGGTTGCCCGTCACTTATAAGCTCACCGAGCAGAACGGGGCATTCTATCCGTCCCCCCGCACCGGAACCCGGAGCTCGTGCCGATAAGTCATGACCCACTTGGGCAATTCGCCGCGGAGAATTGGTGTGCAATCCTCCGACTGACAGCGGCCCCGCAAGTGCAATCAAGTCAATTTTGACCCCCATAATTGCTGTTGATGAGATTTTTCTTGGTGTTTTTGATTAGTTGGCTAACTTGCAAGTTATTCAATCAATCGCCATATAAAAACACGTGATCTACAATTACCTAAGCGGGAGATATATGAAGCTATTCACGATAGGCCCAGTAGTCCAAAGCCGTTGTTCTGCAGCATAACCCCCCTCTTGAGCCAGTTTTTCGACAGCTGGAGAATCTCTATAGTCTCTGGCTTCATACTCATCCGTTGCGACGTGAGGGTTAACTTAGCAGTACTGAAAGTCCTCTCGCAGTCGGCCGCCATCGCTGGGACGGCGAGGATGTCGATCGCGAGCCGAGAGAGGGTCGGGAAAGTATCCGAATGGTCCAGCCACCACCGTAAGGGCTCGGAGGTCTCCTCCGGAGGTTGACGGAGGTAGAGATCGAGCTCATCCATCCGGGGTGGGGTCTGCCGGCGCCGGCTATTAACTCACTGCCGGAAGTGACTGTCGTCATCATCTCGAGCCCCGGGGTCAACGGCAAGGCCTCCGCGCTGCCCTCTGTGGCCGGAGATACTCTCTTCCGGGCCGTTCTGCCGATACCACTTATCATAGTACTCTGTGAGGGATTTCTGAGCCTTGTCGACCCATCCCTCTTGGTGGTCGTCACTCCATACATCTCGTAAGTATGAGATCCCATATGACGGATGGAGAATGATTGCACCAGAGAACAGTGGTGACTCCCCTAACTTGTCATAGTAGTAAAAGAGCTTTTGCCACGACTGCTCAATACTACTACGGAGGAAGGATTGCCACTTCTCGTCGAGAGAGTCGAATCGTGAGGCGGCTCGTGAGGCTGGAGATGCCCAGTCTTCACGCACGTGATCTGGGAGGGCCTGGTGGTTATACCGACGACGACGGGGCCTTCCGGATCGGGTTTGAGATGGCTGCGAGTCCTCAAAAGGATCGTCAACTAGAGGAGAAATCGTGGAGTTGTAGTAGGTCTTCCAGTCGACGAGATGCGAAAGGAGGTACTCTAAACCCATAGTGACCTCCCACAGTCGACCATGCCCATCCTTAACCCCCCAGCCCTCACACCTCTTCGTCTGGCGATAAGAAGGCTCCAGGATCATTTCCATCTCGGCAAGAACCTTCCAGTCGTCGGAAGACAGTAGATCCGCTTCCGGTATATGCTGTTTGACGTCGTCGTCGTCGTTATTCGATAGTATAAAAGCCTGGATCTCATTCTTCTTGATGGCTCTCTCGATCATGAGATACGTACTGTTCCAGCGAGTGTCGTTATTAGTCGCGTTGTCGGAAATGTTACTCCGATCCGGTTCCGGATCTTATATCGACTGACGACGTTAAGGAGGGTCTCCGAGAGGGTAATACCGCTATGATCTCCATGGTGTTGAGAGAAGCCTAGGAGGCGTGACCGTAACGTGCCGTTGGCATCGATGAAGTGACACGTGACGCCCATAAAGGCGTAAATATTGGGCGACGACCATAGATCGAATGACAGGTGTATTTTCGATACCGCTAGGTGGAGCTCCGTCGTCACGAGACCCTCTCCGCGCCGGCAGAAGTCTTGGTGACGGTCCCGAATAGACGTATAACCCCATGGGACCTCGTTGGCGACCTCGTTACTATGGTACCGTAAGATCTGTTGGAGGAAGTTGTTCTCAAAGTGGGTAAAAGGGAGGTCGGCGGAGACAATGGAGGCAACGCAGAGATCCCTTAGAGTCGTGATCTTAGCCTTGGGAATATTACTGTTGTTGAGGCGCACCCTCTTATATGGAGGAGGGGTCGATGGGTCTGATGAGGAGGGTTGGGTGTCAGCGTCAGAATCCTCATCTGAGAGGGTTGAGATCTTGCAGATGCGATGGGCACTTCAGCCTCGTTAGAGTAGACTTTATATGAGCAGGAAGCTTAGGATAACATACCGAACTAAGTGCTCTTGCGCAGCAGTAGTGGCAGCAGCGCCAAATACCCTAGGGGACCCCTTTAAGTCGCATCGTCGGCAACTCCAAAAGGAGGGCCCAGCCTGGCCCTGAATAACCTCAACAAGGAAGTCGCCATGATCTCGAATCCAGCTGGATCGACCCCGGCCTTTCAGCCGAGCTCATTGCTGCTCGAGGATGTACCTCTTACTGCCCACGACGATGTGATATAGGTCGTTAATCGTGGGATTCGGAGGGATACGGACAGTGAGGGCCATCTCGATCTGCGTAGAGATCCGCAGGCGCGGGGCGCCTAGGACCGCATACGCGTTGGCGGAGGAGGAGGAGGCAACAGCAACAGTAGACATCGTGAAGCTCAGTAAGGTAATAGGGGTAAATGATGAGGGTGATGTGTGATAATACAAATCTTTTCCAAATAACGTCCGATCATAACGTTAAATAAACCGTTCGAATCACTATGATCTTATCTACCTGTCATAAACCTTTCAGGAAGATCCGCCTTCGTCTGGTATGGTGAGGGTAGTCTGAATAACCTCCATAACATATGTGATGGCGAGGTTGGCAATATTGGCATGTTTCAGTGGCTGGGCATGCCCAAATAAATGGGGCAGGGGCTGATCTACAGCCTCCTATTGGCCAGTATATAAGACATCAAGTTATTCAACAATTCTATGGGGTGTCGACTTACTCGATTGGGAAGTGGTGATGGCATCCCTTTGCTTGTTGGACTCGAATACTCTGTTGATTAACTTGCACTTGCGGGGGCGCTGCCGACTGATGCAGCTCTTTAGAAGCGTCTACTTCTCGAGCTTCTATGAGTTACCTTAGTCTTTCCGGCACATTGTTTTCTAGGAAAAGGGCTGTGTCGTCTTGTCCTAGGATAACAGATCGACAGCTACCACCTCACTTCTAGCCAGCGCAGCGATCCACGAGGGAGATCTCGCTAACGTGCGGTCTGGAGACTCTTGAATGACTGACCATTGAGAAAAGAGAAGTCAATCTGAAAGACATGAGTGTAGAAAGTTATTCATTACAATTAGCTTGTCTAACTAAGGTACGTGAGACACACCTCTCATCTCGTCGCCTATGCCATGACACGGTAGACCTGATACTCATCCCCAACGCTCACCGGCAGAACATTAAAGGTCGCATAAGAGTCGATCCCTTCAGGTTCAAGCGTCACAAACGCATGCGCCGCATTCTTCTGCCTAGTACTGACCCAGAACCCCCCAGCCGGGATCCGAACCTCCTTGACGACAGTCTCAGTCGTCACAGTCGTGCGAGCAATCCCTTCATACTTTGAACGCGCCACTTCGGCACTCGTGATTTTGAACGCTTCCACCTCGCCTTGGAAGTCAGACTGCAACGTCTGGACTTCCACGCCAGTGACGCGCAGGCGCTCAGCAACATCAGCCCACGCGCGCGAAAAGACGTAGGCCTCTGGTCTCGAACGAGTCAGGTTCGCTACCACAGGTGTGGTGTTGAGGAATTGGACGGGGATGTCAACTAGTTCTCCCGTTGTCGCTTCGATGAATTGCCAGGTGATGTTGGTCGGACGAGCAGACTCCGTCACGATGATGTCGTCGGTGCTGGCGATGAACTTGGCGCGCGCGTTTTCTACTGTTGAGTAGATTTCTTCAGCCCTATCAGCTGCCGTCTGGACAATCGTCTCGACCATGGTCAAGCCTGTTGCGACACGGCGCTGCCAGTGTTGGTCTGCTAGCCCGATGCCCCGCGTCTCTGTGAGAAACATGATGGCCTGTGTCAAGGCGACGGCACTGTCTCCGATCTTGGCGTCGCCGGTAGTCTCTTCCAGAACGAGGTCGTCTGTGCCTGAGGGACCGACGATATAGGGACCCCATCGAAGACCCCGTCTTTCCATGGCTGCGGCAATGTTGTTCGCGAAGACGGCTTCAGAGATGTTCCGGATATCGGGATGGATATTGGCGTTCTTCATGGCGGAGAACTGACCATCCTGCGCATCTACCCACTGCTCGTTGGCACCAAAGGGCGTAGTAGGACTATACTCGTGACAGTCGACACCGACATGAGGCGCAAAGCTCACCATCAGCTGCTTGATATCCCGAGTCTGCTGGCGCGCAAGCTTCGTGTGGTCGCGGTTGGGATCGAAGCTGGTCGCAAAGTACCGCTGAAAGTACGCTACGCCGTCCGGATTATATCTCGGGAACATTATAATGTCGACCTTCTCGAGGATCGAGGCTGCCCAGGTGGCATTGGCGTCGAACCTGCCAAGGAGGGCGAGCAGGGCTTGGTCGCCGGCTGGTTCATTGCCATGGACGCCGCCCTGCATCCAGATGCTAACCTTTGCGGGCGCGCTGGCGTTGCCGTAGATGTTCTGGCTGGTTCCTGTCGGAAAGCCTTTCGAGGTTGAAAGGTAGACGTAGGGGATTGAGCGGCCTTCTTCAGACTGGAAGTCTGTGTTCTGATAGGTCATCCACTCGTTGCGCGCGGCGAGGGTCTGGAGGAAGTAGTCTGCGAACTGTTAGTTACTGGAATTGAACACCAGATCGAGCTCATCCCCGCTCACCCAGAGTTGCCTGGTCTGTTGGGCCGCTGGTGCCACTGGCAAAGGTAGTCGGAACACTGTCCGGGCTGGCGAAGGCGGGCGAGCGCAGTTCTACATCCTCAACCTCTGGGAAGTTCGCAGCTACTACCTCGCTATCCGGGATCACCTCAACCTGGTTACTAGCATAGGTGAGTTGGGCAGCAGCGAGGCTTGCGCGTAGTAGGCCGATAGCCACAATCTCTTGAACGCGCATCGTTAGGCTAATTGTCACGGAGTAAGCTCCGGGGTTCCAACAGCGTTCTGAGGGTGGAATACGCAAGACAATCGGGAGCGACGGCGGGCAGCACAGAGTGCAAGCATGCCTGCTATTCTATTTATCCTCGTCGGGGCATTTTGGCCTCCAGCCGACACCGATAGTGTCGCCAAGGCCTCATTTACCCTACCCCAGTGCCCGCCAATACCAGAGACGTCATGATGTTTCCTCTGGCGGTACGATGATCACGGTACTTGTCCTCAAACTATGCAGGAATAGGAATGTGTTTATCTTGAGTGTGGAGGAGGCCCCTCAAAGTGTGGGGTGGAAAAGTCTTGGAACGACTTCCGGGGCTTCCAGCGATGTCGCTCGCCAAGAAGTGTTATCTTGCCAAGACCTTAAGGCCCAGGCCGGCGGGCCAGAGAACAATTGAGCAATCGGACTTCATATTCTTTAGCCTCTTGACTCATTGATTAATTTAGTAGGCTACTAGATTTCAGTCACTTCACCGACGAAGTCTTAGTGTCTGACTCTCAACTTGCAAGCTGGCAACACTACAAACGATGTTGATGTTGTGACGCTGGCGTTGACTTCAGTGCTATATTGCAACAGACTAAATCTTACTGGGCCAAGAACTCTTGCGCTGGTAAATTGTAATGCGATTGTAGTAAATCGGTACTCTCTAGTCAATAACTATGAAGAAACATCACAGAAAACAAAACGTCCTTTGGTACTGGCCTGACATTGAGATGAAAAATGGTTCCCTGAAGGGTTACTAAATTTGATAGATGAGACAACAAAAGAGAAATAAAAGGCGGGCTGGCAACAGAGATCAACACATATCATCTTTTGTGTCGACGATTGCACGTGGACAGAATTAATAGATGTAATCAACATTGTTAAATATTGACGTAGCCTTCAAAGTCAAACAGCCTTCAACAAGGCTTTAAAATAAGTACACAACAAAAAGGGGTATGCCCTAATGAAGGGTTGTTCTCTCTCTCTCTCTCTCTTTCCTTCTCTCTCTGACATCCACTCACATGACAGAAGCGAAGCTCCGGTTGTTGGTAAACGTTTCAGCTTCACAAAGACATTTTCCTCACGTGAGGTAGTCTATCGTAAAGTGAGGTAAGTAGTAATACAGGGATGCTCAAATACGCTCTTAAAGGCGGGCACTATTTACTTTTGTCTGCAATTGACGGCGTGGCTTTTGCGATGAGTTTGATGTTAGCAAGAGGCTGAGCATACAAAAATGCAAGATTCCACATACTTCAACTCAACAAGCGAGACATTCAGTCTTCCAAGACATCTCGAGTGCAGTTGCGTCCATGGAACAACGATAGTTGGTTGGCCCAGAAACGCAATACTTAACTTGCACTGTATATTTGGCTTGGGAATTGACGAATCATAACGAGGTGGCGGCTCATGTCGCCTCCCTTATCAGACAGTCCATTTCAGGCAAGTGGTCTCATCTGACAACGCCAAGTTCCCAATGTTTGCCTGCCTGTGCCGCCAACTGTGCCTTGTAGGACAGGATGGATGGCTGTCACCTGCCCACGAGCCGTCATTCAATAAGTGAATGTTTAGCTTGGCTGCCTTTGCTGACCAGCGAACCTCCCTTACCTCGTTCTTTTAACGTTCTTCAACCTCGGAGCCTTGCTTGTTCCCCTCTTCAATCTCGCAGTCTGGTCGCATATTGTTCGCCTACCATGCCATGATCGCCCCATCGCTCCCCTCCTGTCGAATCCTTTGAATTTGGATCTTCAAAACTGAGACATGGTAGAGGGAGGTGGAAATGTCAAGTTACGATGCGTTCCGTCGCGATATTCGCAACCAACTACGCGCGAAGTTGATGAGAGGTGACAGCACCAATCAACGATTTGCCATCACCGGAACCTCAAAAGAAGTCCTCACCGCAACCCAGCTGGAATGCCTGTTCGACACCCTTCTCATTGGTCACATGGCCGAAAGGCCGAATTTCAGGATCGATAAACATGACTTCTCCAAGCTAGTGCAACATAGAGAACTTCACGACTTCCTCGCAGTTTTGTTGTTTGCGAGGTGTCCTGTTGAAGCCGCGCGGGCTTTCACCTTGAACCTCGTCTATGGCAACATTTGGACAGAAATTATGAGTAGTGAATCCGGCATGCTCAAGGAGCCTCCTCGGCGAAGCCTCTTACCGACGGACCGAGATTTTCTCAACCGAATTTTCGACGCCGACGCAGATACAGTGGACATGTTCTACGACACTCAAGCGTGCTTCTCTACCGTCGTCATACGCTGCGGAAAGGAAGAAACCGGCACCGTTGTAGAGGTTCTTGAAAGATGCCGACTTCCATACATTCGAGAGAAGCCTCTAGGGTCCGGATCATACGGAGATGTTTACGAAGTTGAAGTTGCTAAAGGCCATTTCGTCACCGATGGAGATGCAAATTCTCAACCGAAAGTACTGGCGCGCAAGGACTACAAAATCAGATCTGCAGACGACTTCAGAGAGGAGGCGAAAACAATGAACCTCATCCTCCAAAGCACATCAAAGCATGATAACATTCTGAAAAGCATTGGTACCCTTGAGATTAGAACCGATCCGTTGAGATTCAGCCTTTTCATGGAACTAGCGATCGACAACTTGGATAACTACTTGATGATTGGGGATCCCTCGCCAAAATTGGACGTCGAGGATAGAATACGGTTCCTTAGGTCTGCATTGGGCCTTGCGAACGGGCTCCGTTTTCTCCATACGCAGATGATGACACCCGACGGGCAGGAGATGGTATGTTACCATATGGATCTGAAACCCAGCAACGTCCTCATTTTCAAAGACACACGCCAAGGAAGTCACGAAAAAGATCGAATTTGGAAAGTGAGCGACTTTGGTATGTCCAGGGTCAAAATGCCTCATAACCAAACCCTGCCACACGTCGCTGAAGGAGAGTTCGATTTCAATAGGATGTTCAACAAACAAGCCCAATCCAATACGGTATCCAGGACTCAAGGACGTGTCGGTATCAGTACGTATCTTCCTAGCGAGGCTCTCTCGCCGGAAAGAAGCATGAATCAGAAGAGCGACGTTTGGTCACTTGGATGCATAATCAGTGTTCTTTTCACATATCTCGAAGACGGCGCAGACGGGATACAGCAGTACCAAAAATCTCGGCGCAAGGAGAACGGGAATACAGAAGAGTTTTTCAAGAGAGGCTATTTGGGGTACAAGATCAATCCAGCAGTAAGACAATGTCATAGCAAGCTTATCGACAAAGCCAGCTCCCGCAACTCGCTGGAAAAGGGTCCGATGAGCTTCATGCTTGATTTCCTGGAGAAAAGGGTGCTTCAACCGGATCAGAAGGATCGATGCGATGCCAAAATGGTAGCAGACCACTTGAGGCAAACGGTTGAGAAGTACAAGGGAACAGCGGTTCCAAAAGAATCAGCTGATGAGCCCAAATCGAAGCGGCGCGTGCTAGACAGGTTCACGTTGCTGCCAGAGTGAGTCTCTGACACAAGTCGAACAACTCATCTGTTTCACCGCTAATTTAGGAAGGAGATTAAAAAGGACGAAAAGTCAAGATGGCGTTGAGCAATGGAAATTGGAAATTGCAGCGCCTGCTAGCCTCAAGGGCTGCAACACATCCCCTGATGGCTCCATCATCTACTGGAGCGACTCCTGCCTCTTTCTTCTCACTTCAGCCTCTAATGAAAATGTGAGAAAGAACTTTCTTAGGCCGATTGGAAGATACAGGCTCGAAGACGGCAATGGCTTTTGGAAGGCTGCCATGATATCGAGACGCTATCTAGTCGCGACTACAACAGGTAGTGACTCTAAGGTCAGTCATTCTCGTGATACGAACTTGATTCTATGTCATTTTAGCTCATTCGTGTTATTTAGTGTTTCATCTTCCGGCTGCAGGGCGGCCACGCTGAGACTCCCAGTTTAGAGGAGGCCCCTAGTATCATTAGTCTTTCGAACCCGGTACACAAGCTCGTCCTTTTAGAGGACCGGAACATACATATAGTCTTCTGGATGTCAGAAGATAAAGATGATGATACTCGGAGCGTCTTGGTCAGAGCTCGTGTCAGCCAACCATCGCTATTGAGCACAGAGACGAGGTTAGCCACCCGTTCATTCAACTTACGATCATTACAAACTTGAGAGTGAAGATTAGTAACGCTTCTCATAGTTTTGTACCTCAAAACGACGCTGCGTTTCTAACAGATGAGAAGAGATTTTCTCTCAAATGGCCTGTTTCTGATATCGTTCATTTATGCATGAAGACGTCATCGGAAGGGCACATTGTTGTCCGCCCAAAAGACCAAAGTCATATGGTATCAATCAAGCGTATTTCACTCACTGAACTAGGGACCGAAACTATCGGTCAGATTAGATTCGAGAGCTTTACATTCACGCCAGAGGTCAGCTATCATTGACCGATTGATTCTACGATGCAAGTGCTGACAACATAGACAGGGGCCCAGTGGGAACACTTCTAGCCTTTTCACAACAATCGCCCACTTCCACAAGAAATTGGGGGTAATTGTTATTGCCCACGAGAAACAAATGTTTGAGATCGGCTTCTCTGCGGATGGTGTCAGCGCTAGGGAGCCCAAATTGAACATCATCGATAAATATCGACTTCTTAAAATTGTTGTCGACGAAACAGATGAGACGTTTATTGCTTTAGGTCGACAGTCTGCAGACCACAGAGTATCGTTGCTACGTATTACGCGGACTGGTCTACATGGCCAACCTTCTGTCCATAAGATAGTAGAACTTGGTGGTCTGTCAGATTCTGACGAAGCCATGCTGGCACTAGCTGAAGGGGAAGATATGGGGAAGAAGGTTGTGCTTGTTACAGCTCTAGTTTCTCTCGACAGGAGCGCTGTATATAAGGTTCTGTTGCCACGGTAATTTGTGTTCACAAGAGGTCCTATAACGAGAACTCAGCATCATACACTTGCATGCACCTTCTCCCCGTGTACAGCTTTTCTTCGCCTGAAATACCAGACACAGTGCCTCCACCATACATGTATTCGCTTCGTCTTTCCAGAAATTCGTGCCATTACATCCCCACTAAGAAGCAAGCGATAGACCATGAATGTGATCGCTGTCAAAATGCCCGAGCAAAGGACGAAAATCCACACCATTGAACTGCCAACTATTCGACCCGTGTCCGTGTCTAGGTCGAAGAAGTTCATCCCGAAAAATGTCTATTCAGCTCATGTCAATGAGGTTCATGGCAAACTGGTAACCCCTTCAGTGATGTCACTTACGGCGATGAAAGAAGGCGGCAAGTATAGCAACGTGAGAGTAGTGATAAACACAGCCGACTTATTCAGCGACAGCATATTACTGTTTTGGGCTCTAGATTCTAGTTGTTCGCGGAACGATAGTGCATTTGCTAAAAGCTGTGCAGTTGTTCTGGAACGTTGATGAAGATACGTCGCCGTTCTGTGGTCGGCAGCGCACACGCGCCGACTATGCTGGAATCGACGCTTCGAAACCTGAATCTGTGTCTTGCAGTCTGTGCTCGTGTCTCTCATGTCAGCACATATTGCAATCAGGCATTCAAGAACGTCCTGAGACGCGGTGAGAATAATTGAAGTCTGTAGGAATCGATTCTCAAGATCCGCGAGGTCGGTCAGATGGCTGTATTGTGAAACGGAGAGCTCTTCAATGAAGGTATGAGCCGCAGTGTCTGCCTGAACAAGGATCGATGTCAGAATTCTTGCCTGCAGCCCGAAGCCTCAGTCCTTGACTTACCATTGGCAGAAACTTGCGCTCTAGACTTGCATTATACATCCTCCAGTTTGGTAGGCAGGTCTCTTGGAACATTTTATGCAACCAAAATGAGTCGTTTTCAACGGTCTGACAGCAGTGGAGAAGGTCATGTTCTGCCTGCTTCTTCAATTTCGAATCAGGTGATGGGCTTAGGAGGACATAGGTGTTTTGGGATGTTTCTGCATCAAACTTGTGATAGATGCCTGTCTGTCGCAGTACCCAATCATTTCCCATCGGTTTTAACTCCGGGTATCGCATGGTGTACGCTAATTCTAGGACAAGTTAGTTCGACCCTTCTTCTAAGAGACCAGAGTTTAAGTATCTTGCCAGTCACTGAACCATTTGTACATTCTATCAAAGGGATGCAGAATGTCTCCTCGATTTCTCGAACTCGCCGATAAAAGCTGGTGGTCAAGTCATAGATCGAAGAACCCAACCCGCATACTTCAGTCAAAGACTCCAGCATCGAAGGTGTGATCTCTAGGGGGTCCCATGAGTGCGCCTGGCAAATCGATCTGTGGGTTCTTGTTAGTATCAAGGTTGCACGAAGGTTGGAAGATAGAGTGTGCGAACATGTACCGGTCTCTGAAAGCTTCGCTCCCCGGGTTACTGAAGTACTCTTTGATTTCTTTCGTGTTTGAGTATCGCCTGTACGTCACTTCTGTATCAGTTTTTCCAGAACCCAACTTCGATCTCATCACATCTATGAGTATCACTGGTTCTGTGACCTCATCCACGTAGCACTGTGGAGCCAGAATCATCCTGAATAATGTGAACAAGTCAGGAAAGTGTTGCAATTGGGAAAGTAACGACTGAAGCCTTTGGGTCAGATTGAAAGATAAGACAGATATATTCGTTCACAACATGAAAGCTATGTGTCTGATACCAGAAGTCGGCTACTACCCCTCATTTGGCATCCTATCGGAAGGCTGAGCGTAGGGAGAATCTGCCTTGAGAGCCCACCGCCTCCATGCGAGTCTCCGCCTCAGACCTTCAACAGTTTCAGTCTTCCACTATCCATTTTCTAAATAAACATTAAGCCTAGCGTCTCCTGGTTATCTTACTACATGTAATGAAGGTTAGCTATTGCATTCCCACCTTTTCAGGATTGGCAGCGGTCTGGAAGTTTGGTACCTCAGCTCCCACTAACGTCAGGCTTTGGTCAGCAGTGCAGATATGTTCCAACGTATGGATGGCTTACGTCAGTAAGTTCTCTAGAGGCCATGTAACACCACTTATCGCCCCGATGCTTTGAACGTATAAATGTGAATAAGTGCGGTAAGCGAGTTTATAAAGGTAGCATACTTGTATTTGATAATCACTCTGCAGGGGGAATAGCTCTTCAAGGAGTCGCCTGAGGTCGTCTTGTTTTATGTAACGATTCGGAGCAAACCAAATGTGCGTCATCGTTCACTTGATGGCGGATGCCCATACCAGCCTGATACCTCTTAAGCCTCAGGTAATGAGGACTTCACAGTTTTTTATTACATCCGAGATTGTGAGCTACGTGGCAACGTAATCGTAGAAGCACCTCAAACATCGGTATCTGTTCACCTTCCTTTTTAGGGACGTTATGTTCTAGGCATGGTCCATGAAGAAAACGAGGCGAACACGATGAGTTCATTGGCTGCCTCGCGAATCATCACACACCTGACTCCAACACCAAGGTACGCTGCCCTTCTACTGCGGGCGGCAGAAGAGTACGGGCGCAGAGGCGCAGACGTGCTCTTGGCCTGCTACGTCGCGTGCATGGCACGTTTGTCTCGGCCAACCGCCCAGACTTGACGGGGCACGCAGGGGTAGCCAGCCGCTCAAGGGATTTAATTGTTTGTGTTATTTCCTCGCCGGAAATGCAGAAGCCTGAATTGGCTGCCTTCTTGTGTCTCCCATAGAAAGGGTGTCTTATAACCTGTATGTACCTGGGCTTCGCATTGCGAACCGTTCGCCATGGTTGTACATTGCCTGCGAGAGTCGAGGCCAGCGTCCATCTGTGCACCTTTTTCTTGCACAGGTCTTTATGCTGACGTGTGCTTACCTTCAAGAGGCCGCTACGTAACACATATTGCGTTAATGGTCGAGTGAGTGACACAATAGTCTGCCGCTCAATGCCTTGGCTTTATAACTGTTTGTCCTAACTACCCTCATCGCTATTATAATACTACTGATTATTATCTCATTCTTACTTGATTCTATTTTACATCGAATACGACTTAAGAAGTACGGCGTAGAAATGAAAGTAGTAATGAGAATGGTACCTACTGTAGTTGACCTAAGAGGGCGGCGCTGAGCGCCCATGCTGCCACCCACTTGATGGTTCGCCTGGATGAGCAGCAAGTTCGGTGACCGATGCAGGCGCCTGATGCTGATAAGACAGCCACGTTTCTCAGCTGCTTTTGTGCATACAGTAGGAAAAGTGCAAGAAAAAGCAATATTCGAACCATTCTAGGGCAGAAATTCACCCAAACCCCTTGCGTTATCACTGTCTTGCATTTCCAAGCAGGGCTCGTGGCTGGGGCGACAACACGCGTGGCAAGCAAGGCAGCCTAGGAAGGTAACACAGGTAACTAGCGATTATGAGCCAAGGCTCCAAGCAGCCAATGTGACAAACATGTCAACCCGCTTTTCCGTTCTTCTGTCTTGACTTCTTGGGACACGTGCCAGTGTGTCTCGTCTCGATACATGAAGTCATGTTTGCCTTAGAAATCTCAGCCTGAAATTTCACCGCAAAATTTACACGTGCTGTTGTTTTATTCGGATAGCTTCTATCATGCGCATATGACAACCATCTACCTACGTTATGATTTGACCACTTCATTGGAAGCTCATGATTAATTCCCAGCCAGAGGCTTCTCGGCTTCCACACTGATAATCGTTGTCCATATTCATCAGGCTGTGCGAAGCCATGAGGCCCCCTTCGCCTCCAGATTCGGTGAGAGTCGCAGGTACTCCAAGCCATGGCAGCGTTTCGCCGTTGCCTACAGCAGATGACCCTGCAAATAGTGCTCTCGTTGAAACTTCTGAAGAAGTTGACATGAACATCACGGTGAGGTCAGAGCCGGCCAAAACCGTCAGACGAGAATTGCACGGCATACAACTCTTTGTATGATTTTCAGATACCTTTCCTAGCCTCTGTTCACACTGTCGAATGTAAAATAAAAGTCTGGCTGATACTGGAACAGATGATCACGATTAACGGAACTCTCGGGACTGGCTTATATGGCAGAACAGGTCAGATCCTCGAGCTCGGGGGCCCAGTCGCTGTTGTCTTGTCTTTCTTTCTCGTTGGGTCACTAGCATGGGCAGTCATGCAGTGCATCACCGAGCTACTGTGTATCTGGCCCATACCAGGTGCACTGTCAGTCTATGTCACCGAGTTCGTAGACAATGAACTTGGCATAGCTGTTGGTGTTGCTTACTGGTAAGCATCAGGCCACAAATGCTTAGTCTCTTGTTGAGATCCGAGATTGACCGCAAACTAGGTTCACGTATTCTGTTGGGTTTGCCGCCCTTATTGCATCTTCAGCCTCATACATAAACTTCTGGGCATCCAACATTCCAGGCTTTCTCATAGGCGTTGTTTATGTGACTGTTCCGATTATGTTGGTTTGTTTCAACACTTTAGACATCAAGGTGAATAACAGTCGCCCCAGCGAAAACCTCTGACTCGGACCATCAATACAGTGGACTGACTAGACTATCATTAGAAATACGGCATGCTAGAAGTGATTACTGGGAGCATCAAAATAATTTTGCTATTCATCATCATCGTTGTATCAATTGCCATACATGCGAAAAGTTAGTGGAGTCGATCCAAGCCACACGTATACACTTTTGGTCTTGCTTCCTTATCGTGTGGACTTAAGAATTTTAGCTGAAAAATTAGTAGACAAAATATCATCGAAGGCCAGGGAAGGTAGTGATTCAAGTCAATCTCGGTACCAAACAGTAACTGACATCGATACCTAGGTTGGGAAACCCCTCAGGCTCATGATACCGAGGCAGCAAACGACTGGGGTACAGCTTTGATGTACACTTCTACTCTGTATTCTCGAGACATTGAGCGGTGTTTTACTGACATGATCTAGGATGTCAACCTCGGTCGCGGCTTTTGCCTACGTCGGCGTGGAGATTGTCGCAGCTTCTGCACTCGAAACACATTGGTCAAAACCTCGTCGACAACGCAAGGATCGAGAGAAAGGCGAGCTGCAGCGTAAACCATCTCACCATGATGATTTTCAGAGTTCAATTGCCAATACGCTCAAGTTCACTGCAGTTTGGGTCACAGTCCTGATAACGGTGGCATACGTGGTTAGCGGATTACTGGTCACATTGGGTTTCGAGAGGGACAATTGTCAGTTGACCAGATTGAGCTGGGTTCAAGCTCCCGACAAGTGTAGCAACCAGAATCCAGACGGGAGAAAGTCGTCATCGCCATTTGTCCTTATGGCCCAAAATTCAGGCATCTATGGTCTTGACGACGCGGTAAATGCTGCCTTAGTATTCACAGCCATCACTTGCGCAAACACCAACCTTTATGTGGCTTCTAGGACTCTCTTCGGGATCACGAGCAGTCTAGACGGTGGATACGACCAACGAGTCATAGTAAGATGCTTGGCTTGGCTAGGACAGACGAACAAGAGCCAAGTTCCGATGCGAGCTATGATTTTGTCTGCACTGGCATTCTGCTGGGTACCATTTCTGCAGGAAGACGGCGGTTTCAATACCGACACTACAATTGGCAAGGTTGGTACCACCAAAATATTTCATGGTCTCGGCGCATCTAACGTCTCGCTTGCTCAATTAGTTCATCGAAATCCTGGCTCAGATGGGATCTGTTGGTGTTGCTATTGTGTGGGCATGTGAGTCTTTCGCCTACATTCGATTTTACCGATGGTAAGCACCTCCCTGACTCAATGAGAGCTTCAGTTTGTTCACATGATGCAGTATTCAAAGACACCAGAAGGCTCTTCGAGCTCGCCAGATACCCCTTGTCCAGCGTTGGAATATCGAACAAGACGATTATCCATATCGCAGTCACGGTCAGCCATTCTTGGGCTACGTTGCATTCGCTGGCTGCATAGTCATTCTAGGGGTATCCAATGGGGCCGCTTTGTGGAAAGAGTTTCACTGGATTCCATTCCTATCATCCTATCTGATTGTGAGATATTACCGTTACACTCCTTTCACATCTACCTCTGGTTCTTGCTGATTTTCCGCAGATTTTTGCGTTTGTCTGCCTCTGGGTAGCACTCAAAATATTCAGAAACGCAAGATGGAAGCTGGCTGACCTCTCCAGCGAAGATAAAGCGATTAGAGTCATTGAGAACCTCCACCAGCTTCGGGCCAGAACTCTGTGAAGTACTGTGGTGGATGAACCCCGATGTACTGCCACAGCAGGGAGTATGCGTTGAAGTTGGGATTGCAACTTAGATTCAAAGATATGTATAGATGGATACTCCCTCCCCCTCAATAGCTTTGATGGGGCTAGGCAGTAGGGAAATAATATGTTTCAACAGCGGCGCGACCTATATAGGACAGATGCAGGAAAAGCTCAAGAGTGAGAAAGGCTTCGATGATAGCTAGAGGAAGAGAAACCCCGGACCTTCTTCGATAATAGGCATTCAACAGCAATTTAGTTTATTTTACAGAAACCACTGTTGGAGACACATCTTGAAAGGCGAACGTCACAATGATTGAGAATTATCCGAGACTTGTGGCCCAGCTTAGGATTTATAAGCGGTCTACCATTTGCCTAAACTCTCACCGACTTTATGAAATCCAAGCATAACATATGAGACGGTTAAGCGTAAGGTCGCCTGAGTCTTTCGAGATTTCTGTTACCTTTGGTTGATTTCTTTTCCCGAAGGAGCTGACATCCGTCCGCATATCACTAGGGACACGGACAGACTTGGATCACATTGCCGCTATCGTCCGAAGTGTGTTAGGCAGACCCCAGATTGCGCCGAGAAGCTCCCAACAAGGTCCATATAGTTCCATGCCGGTATGCTTCCGTGGACATGTATTGACGAGAAGTATAAGACATGGTTGCTTTATACATTGGTAAAAGCGTAGGTAAGGTTCAATGATTGATGAAGGCAACGTATCCACAAAAATTGAGATAGCACCCAAATCAGTTCCTAAATGCCAATTCTCATTTCGGCTATTCTATATTTACCCTTAACTCCGCCTACAGACTACTTCAAATCGCTCCCAGCCTGCGTTATGACTTCTGATATGTATGACGAGGTCCAAGAGAGCTCAAAATTCTCAGTTCACGAGGTGCTACGTAAAACGGCTCGGTAGCGTCAAAATAATCATTGTAGTAGTCCTTCGTCATTTGGTGCTGCACAAGTATTGTCCGGTCAGTCCAAGAACCCTACACGAGAGACTACTCTATCTTACCTTCATTATCCAGTCCACTGGCTCCGACCTGAGAACATTATCAGCTACGTTTCTTTCACTCGCGTTCATGAGCATGGGCTCCACATACCATTTCTCAATCCACGTAATCGTACCCGGAGAGTCATGAACTTGATACATCTCAAAGTACATCAACTCGGACTCTCTTTTCATCTTCTCAATTGTCGGCTCAGCAGCTCGCAGAAATCTCGAGACATCCTGTGGCGCAACGTGAACAGTGACTTGAAAAACTGTCGACATAATCGCTGTATCCTGCTTTGATTTGCTGAAGAACGATGATTGTCGGACGAAAATCTGATGCGCTGATGTCAAACCTGCGGAGCTCTGATCCCGGGGAGCTCGGTCTTTAAGTAGTCCGCAATAACAGTCGCCCCGCGGATCCGAGGCCATGTCCGACGGTAGCTCAGAGGATGAAACATCTGATGTCTGGCCAGACATGTAGACAGCTTGATGATAACGCAACGGCTCCTCATGCACCGTGCCAGTTCGAACCCAATTTATGATGTCATCCCAGGTGGCTCAATCTGCGCCTTGGTGATTACCCTCCTTTTTCCGTCCTATTTTTTGACCACCTTTGGGCTTCTAAGACACCTACGTTTGATGTTATCAGTTTGAATAGCCAGTAGAACATTGAAAGTTTGTCGCCCGGTATAGAATCCAAAACGTGCTCTGAACAGAAACATTGAAGGTACTATAGGGACCTAGGTGCTGGCAACATGCAACTCTCGTTGGTATAGATGGAAACATCCGATATGGCATGGTTTAATCCGAAGACATTAGAGAGATATCATTCATAATGAAAACATAGGCAAACATGTTAACATGCTTGTCCTTTGTGAAGTATTAATTGCCCATGTCGCAATTCAGCCCGAGATATCGGGTCAGGGTGTCAGAACCCGAGCTCTAGAGCATGCAGCAGTAAGATAACAGTGAATAAAGAAGACTGTTGTTTCATAGAACGCAGGCATAAGGGCTGATGAATTCTCCTCACGGTTCTGTTTAAATGTGTCAATAGGAACGAGCTGCATGAACTGCATGCAGTGGGCTGCGAGCCTGGACGTGACAATCGACAGCTAGAAACAACGGTTGAGATCAATAATAACGAGCCGTTGTGGATTTGCATGATCTGCCTGAGTCCAAAACGTTTTGAACGAAAAAACCGATCCTTGATAGAAAGGTCTCATACCCTTTGGACTTCCATCTTGTGACATGGAACAACCTTTGTGACGCTTGCGGGTGCTTATTCTCAAAGTAACCTGGCTGGCCGCTCGCTAACTCTAAAAACCTTCAGGAAGCATCAGTAATCTATAAATGAGTGACAACTTTTTTCTCACTCTTGAGTTCCTGGACGTACTTAGATTTACCAACAACAACAACGTCATCCTCAAGTTCTAACACCGGCCAGCCAACGCCAACTGACCTGTTGCTCTTAGTTCACGACCTAGCCGACTGCCCCTTTCATACATCAGACTCACTATACTCGATCTCATTCTGAATCTATGGTACGTCATAGTGGACCATCTTGTTGCGGACCAGTACTCATCAATTCCAGATCATGATGGTGAAGACGTCCCTCATAATGATCATTCTTGGCGCAATTACGGTGTCCTTGGCTACTGCTGTTCCGAGACAGGAACCCAATATTCTCTACTGTAATTGTACCTTCACTGTAAACAGACACAATCGAGCTCATACAGACCTTATTGCAAGCTACGACTGCTGTGAAGGTGCGGGAGGTCGATGGAACGGCACAACATGCCCCCTGAACTCTCTTGATCCGCTAAGATTGAGACGATTTTCAAAATGCTGCAATAAGCATGGGGGATTTGGATGTGTCTGAAAGCTAAGATAGCCTCAGCGGCTTATCTGGCTCGCGATACTTTTCGGACTTGCAGCTCGACAGTAGGCTCCTTAATCGTACGTTATATCTAGATATATATTCATGCTGCGAACATTCAAGATTTCGCCACCGATGGTCTATCATCTGATGACTAGTAGCTAGACTTTTCCCTGCCCTCGTCACCTCCTTTCGGTGGTGTGCGGCGCACTTCAGCTAGCCAAGCCAGTATGAATATAGTTGTACTGATCAACAATGTCGCACAAGCAGCGACCAAGTTCCAAGAAGAAGCCCCGTATCTCTTTGAGATGTCGTGCATAATCCGCAAGTTCGTGGCTAGCCGCACATCCGTGCTCCTCGGCAACTCTTTTCTTATCTTCTCGAACAGTGAGAAGATGCAACCAAGAGCCGACACGGCAAACAGAAATGATAGAGCTGCCAAGATCGCGCTGGCCAAGGTCGTTAATCGATTGCGCTTGACCAAGTTGACAAGAGCTGAGATAAGTCCTAGTCCAGTTGTGGCAGTTGCAACAGCAGGCAAAGGGAATCCTCGTGTCAAATCGTGCATGCCTCTGCTTTTTATTGAGGAGGAAAACCCTACAATCATTGGGCGAATAATGGCAGCTGTGTTGTAGCCCGGCGAACCCCTGACTCTGAGGCATCCCTGCGGGTATCTCGCCCTATTATAACATTGCATGTCAGTGCTGTCATCTTCTCCTAGACATATTGTATGGATCTCGTTGCGCAGCTGGAAATGTTTGAAGGGGTTTCACGCTCATAACTCACCATTGTGCCGCTGTTGCCTGGCACCAACCCCAAAGACCAAAGTCAAGAACAATAGATGGTCCATTTGATCCACGGAGCTCTCTCCTCGTTGCTACTAATGTGAAGATTGAAAAACTTGTGTTGGGTACAGATAGACAAGTGACAAGAAGAAGCCCAAATGAACCGATCAGTAGGGCTGCACCGATCGCTGTCAAAAGCCGGGAGGACGACATTGTCTAATGATGTCAAATTGGTATCAGTTGTTCTGGATGAAATACCTTAAGTAATTCGTGAGTCTGTAAAGAAAAAGGAATGATCAACTGAGAGCGCAAGAATTGGGAAAACAGCTAGAATTCCGGGACGCTGCTGATTTTAAGTAAGTCTGATGTAAGAGATCAACGGATGAAAAGACACTTCCCGCCCGGGTCTAGCTACGTTCGGACTTATACCTAGGATAAGTTGACAACATTGTCTCACTCTAGGAGCACTTTATGCTGAAGGCTGACTGCCAGGTTGACTAAGGTACCTAGTATTCGACTGCGTTTGAGTCTCTGATGTCAATAGCTGCTGGGCGCACCTGTTTAAGTCAACATACCCACTTCCTGGCCCCCCCTGTTTCTGGCACCCACAAAAACGCGAAAATCCACCACAATGTTACGCCCGCCGCAACTTGTCACTGTGGGCGCGTAGCTATATAATGCAGAACAAGGGACAATGATGCCGGAGTCATCATTATCGAAGCTTTTGCTTTGTGCCACAGTTGGTTGCCTTGTCCAGCTCGTAACACACAACACCATACCCACCCCCAACCTCCTTTTATCACAACATTTTCAATTCGCATCCAAACGGGCTCATCTTTTACATATACCTGCTTCAATATTTAATACCTTAATATATCAAAGATCAGCTTCGTCAAGCTCTCGAGGACATCATAAACGGCAAGAGTCAAAAGAGAGCCTTATTGGAGTATAGGATACCACGATCAACCCTCTAACTACGTCTCCGAGGTAGTCAGACTAGGAAACTGGCCTTTGCTGACCTATAGAGGCTATCTCCTGACTAGGAGAATAAGCTAGTAGAATAGGTTCGTATTTAGGCTTTACTAGGCCTCGTACTAACGTACTAATAGGTAAAGGAATTTATAGAACGAATCCTCCTTACTGTTGGAGATAAGTAGCCATTAGGAAAAGGCTGGATCTATACCTTTATTAAGAGGAACCCCATTATTAAGGTTCAGAGAAGTCGTTCTATCGATTCTCGACGCGTTAATAGGGCATCTACTAACTAAGGTTATTAGGAACTAGTTTAAGTTCCTTGCTATCTCTGATAACAAGGACATCAAACCAACCAACAGGTATAATATGGATGAGACTGGTATCCTCGAGGGTCAGGGAGCTAATGGGCTGGTGCTGGGCATGGCTGAGACGAAGTCTGTTCGTAAGAAACAACCTGGGTCGAGGGCATGGGTGTCTATCATTGAGTGTATCTCAGCCCTAGGTAGGGCACTTCATCCCCTTATTATCTTTAAGGGGAAGACTGTCTAATAGCAGTGGTTTCTATTATATCTCGATCCCTATAGTAGCTGGGAGTTCGCAGCAGTAGATAATGGCTAGACTACAGACTCAACGGTAGTTGAATGGCTGTAGAAGGTCTTTATCCCCCAGACTATGCCTGAGATTAAGGGGGAGGCTAGACTGCTGATTGTGGATGGGCATGGGAGTCATACGACGACAGAGTTTATATGGAATTGCTATATTAACAATATCCATTTACTTTTCTTACCACTACACTCCTCCCATGTCCTCCAACCTCTCGACCAGTCTGTCTTCAGCCCAGTTAAGGCAGCCTATCGGAAGGAGCTCGGTTACTTGTCTCAATAGAACGATTCTACTATTATAGGTAAAAGGAACTTCCTAACCTGTTACCAGAAGGCTCGACTTGCTGGTCTATCAGTCTCAAACATCAGAAGTGGTTAGAAGTGGACTGGTCTATACCGTGTGGCTATGATTAAGCCCCTAATAAACCCCCTACTACTACCTACCCCCCCTACCTAGCCTACTACCCCCAAACTAGCTAGCCAGGGCAAAAAGAGATACTACAATGGTCAACTAACTACCCCAGTTGAGCCATAGGATTCTGCCACCTCTGCAGTGGCCTGGTCGACACCCAGGAAGCTGGCAGATCTCAGCGGTTAACTACACTTATACACTCAACTCGACAATGATACCAGCACTCAGCGGCTGCTGTTCAGGAAGGTGAAAAAAGACTTCATAGAGCAGGCCTGGCAACTGGCAGCTGCCCACTAGCAACTGGACCTTCTGAGGGCTCAAGTTGCCAACGCTGCAGTGAGGAAGCGGAAGGTTGTTAAGGTTGATCCCAATACGAAGTTTGCCAACATCAGGGATGTATAGCGGGCTCAGATCGAAGTGGGTGAAACAGAGGTTATTACGGTTGAATCCAGCGAGTCTGATTGCCCTATTGAAGCTGGCAGCTGCATTGTAGTGGGTGAGGTTGAGGATCAATAGTTAATAGTAATGAGGAGGTTGGGTTGTGATCTGTCAAGTTGGGGTGCTGACGCAGGGTGGAAGCTCTCAGAGGCCAACTGCAGTTAGGGGTAGAATGATGAATTACTGAAATCTGCTCCTCCCTCGACGTGTACTCCCTGCGCTGTATATATATCTGAGCTGCTCCTTTGTTGCTTGGACTCCTTACTACCTCTAACTAGCCCCTATCCGGGAGGGCTCTGACATGATCCCATCGTTTTTGTGGTGCCAGAAACAGGGGGGGGCCAGGAAGTGGGTATGTTGACTTACTGACCAATCGTTTTGCGATTGGATTCGGCGTAGGATTGATCGCTGCGACTAGCAACGCTGTAACACAGCAAGTCCGCAGGCGCTTACAGTCAGCCAAGCCGTTTTGATCTGCAGCGGATCTGAGTTTGAGATCCATGAAGGTGATCCTGCGGCTTTGTATCAATGTCTTTCGTGCCATTCCATAGTGCACTCAGTTGAAAGAACTGATGAGCGGTTTTGCCTCCCACTTCTGCCATAAACCTAAGGTGCCGAATTGTTATGCGCGAAGTCTGGACTTATTATGTTTCTTCTTCATCTACATTTGCCTCTCCGAGGAGGCCTGCATCATTTGTTAATCATTATTGCGTCAAAGTAGTGATTTTCTAGAGTGTCTCTTTGGTATCTGGTTTCTCAAGATCGTGCAGCAATCGCTCTCTCGCAGAATATGATCTAACTTACGCCGAAAGACTTGAAGGTCTGTATGTATCAGATACAGAACCGAGTATTGCTGATGGACTACTCCAAATGAGTCCTTGGCTCCGTGAAAGCCACATTCGGATGTAGACAGAGCGGCAATATTCAAGGTTATTGCGCGATATGGAGTAAGCTAGGTCTGAGATGTATCATCGCGCTCAGAGCTAAGGAGTTGGGTTCTTCTAGAAGTTGTAGGCTCGCAGATCTCATCCCAGAACACGTTCCTCAAGGTCAGTTGAATCTCAATCTACGAGGCATGGGTTAATTCCCGACTAAGCCTCGCACCTTTCAGCTGTAGACTGTAGTTGTGGCGTAAACGGCATTTGATCAAGTGCTTTGAGTGCAACAATACGATTTGGGGATAGTAAGAATCCGATCTCTAGGATATGGTCAAAAGAATTGCGTTATCTTGAATCTCCTGCCATAGTCAACCCGGGTGTTCGTTGCTCAGCCGGCGACCGCTGTTCTTCATGCCATAAAACCTTGGATACGGATACACAGTACACCGTGCAGCCCCCTCCGATTTCTCTGTGTGACCCCTCACAAAATAGACGAGGAATTAACGTTCTCGTGAAAGATTCTCAGGGGCACCTTGCTAGACTTGGCAGGTCACCTTCCGGTTCATCCGTTCCGCCGAGACCAAGGTACCTTTCGGGGTTCATAACCTTCTTGGGTCGCCTTCGTGCTTCTTCTCCGGAGTGGTCGGGTTCAGTAATCCATCTAAACGGTTTTCAACTTTTCCTCGAAATAAGAATGCAACTAAAGACGTACCCCGCACGACGTCCCCCACAATTGCCCGGTGACAGTTCCATCACGCCAAGTTGCGCCAAGCCAGGCCAAGAAAAACCTCCAGCTCTTTGGTTCGATTTCCCCAACTTCTTCCCAGTGATCCGTTCTTCAAGGTTAACACAGCCTTCAAAGGCCAAGAACGAAAGAACTTTGGACGAAACGAAGCGTTCCTTGCGTCGTTTTTCCTTCGTGAAAACTCGGAACAACGATTCAAGCCGCGCGCCACCCCTTTCCCCGTCATCATCTCGGCGAAAAGACCATTTCCATCAGTCTACGAGTCAGTCCCGCTCCTCGCTTAACACCCATGACGAGAGCGAAGGAAGGTGCTCTCAACGCTACAATAGCTTCTGGACCTTTGGGTCGAGGGGCCACCCCAGGGATTTCCCGTAAGTTTAATTGCTTGGCACGCGATCCACTCCCAAATCCATGGCATGAAAGTTGCGTGCCTGAGCAGGTTGATTAAAGTTGCTTGGAGACCCTTACTTCACGCTTCCGAAGAAACGGCTTTTGAGATGTCGTGACCTATCACGTAACCGCTTGAAGCACACCCTTTCGGGGCATACCCGCGCGGATGGACGTGCAGAACCGGACATGTTTGGACTTGGGCGAGCCCTTAAAGCTCTAGACGGACGGCGTTCTTTCCGATGGCAGATGGTCACTTAAAGACCCTTTTCTTGACAACTACCGAAACCTTTTGAGCTAGCTCAGTTTGACCTTGGAGAAAAGACCTTGTTCACACGCCAAAATGCAGCCTACAGAAATCCTCGCCATACTGGCGGGAACTTACCAGCTTCTCAACACCTCAGCGTAAGCTGTCTTTGACTATACCTGTTCAAACAGCACTGTTGATCAAAATCCTAACATTCGACTCGTGCAGCACACGTGATGGAGTCGCCGTACCAGACCGAACATACGGTTCCAACCCCGTTGGCATCCTCTCCTACAGCAAATCCGGCTTCATGTCCGCAACGATTACATCAACAGATCCCGAAGATCGACCCGCGAACTTGACATTCCCCTTCGAGGATTCACAATCAGACGCCGACTGGGCCCTTGTTGGAAAGCACAGCATCGGCTACGCAGGGCCGCTCCGAATCAGCGACGCCTTCCCCGCGAACGCAACCTTCGGTCAAGTCATCCACGGACCATTGACTGTAGCCAACGTCCCGTCCATGGCCGGGGGTAGCCAAGCGCGCAATTACACACTCTACGAGGACGGAAAGATTCTCCGCATCTCATCACAAAGGGACGGCGGAAATCGTGGAGAGCTTTGGTGGAAGAGGCTGGACTGAGGACAGGTGCTGAAGACATGATTCATGGCGATGTTTTCGAGGAGCCAGTACTGGGTTCATGCGGTAACCCCCTTCCCAGTTCATCAACGAGCTTCTAAGACATCAGACTTTACCATCTTTCATTGCTTGATATATTGACCTGCCTCTTTTCAAAAATCATTTTCATTAGTACGTGAGTGCCAGCAATCCACTTCTATTTTGGAATTACGGCAAGTCCGTGATTAGCTTCCCCCAGAACGCTCCTTCGTACTTCTTAAGCTACCACGGATTGAGGGAGAGAGAGTTCACCGGCCAACTGTTACGAGCTGGACAAGGCAACCAACTGTGGCACAAAGCAAAAGCTTCGATAATGATGACCCCGGTCATCATTGTCCCTTGTTCTGCATATATAGCTACGCGCCCACAGTGACAAGTTGCGGCGGGCGTAACACCAACATACACATGTACTCCGGGACGTCTAATATTTTGACACTATCTCCCTGGGATGCTTCTGGATGTGTCTTGGTAAGATGAAGAATTGTGATGGATCTGAGGTTGAGTAATGCCATCGCTGGCGACAACTAGCTTGCATCTTCATCCGAATGCTTTCGGCTTTTCACTGAGTTGCATGAATGGAAAAAGGCCCTTAAGAATCTCATTTAAACCAAACAGCATCTCTTGCGGCGAGTTCCACTCCACGTGACTTGTCAATGTCATTAACATCCTGCTTGAGCCTGCTTGAGCCTGCATTGCGGAGAAAGATTTACAACTTTGATTGGACTCGCATCCGTCTGCAACATTGATGGGAATATGGCTGTCAGCGTGTGTGACCATTGTCAAGACCACGCAGCTGACAGCCTGACCTTATCGCTCAACCTAACCGACCTCTCGTATCTAGATGCCTCTCAACTTCATCATCCGTATTACCAAAGCGGGGTTGCTGGAGACCTCAAGACAAGGACCATTCTGTCACGAGTTATGGCACACAGCAATGGGCATATGAAGTATAGTAAAAGTGGCTTATATTAACCTAAATATAAATCGAGCAAAAAAATGTGCTATATAGAGTTAAATAAAAGAATTACGTAATAGTAACGTACATGATAAGCGAGTGGGCCAGATAAGCAAGTGGGCCACCCAACCGCGACCATATTATATAAAGGAGTAAATATTAACGCCCACCTTATTAATTTAATTAAGACTACTTAGAACCCTTCTTGTCGGACATTTCCTTATTGAATTAATACGTTCGCGTTGTCACAGACCCGCTGTCCTAGACCCCAACCTTGAGGTTGGTGTTGAGTAACCCGGTGGCCGGGTTACGTAAGCCTGAGGCTGGATAAAACTCTGCATCCTGTATTCTGTCGCGCATGTCCAGAAACGTAGCTCCTTGAGCTACGTCTTGTCAACAGAGCCTGTACCTGCTTAGGATAGAGCCTGCCCGTAGCAATAGATTGTCTGATCCGCCTGCCCAGCATCCACCTGCCAAACAACCTGCCTGCTACCGTGACACTACGTAGCTCCTACCATTTGGATGCTGAACAATGCCCGACCGCCCTGACCCGCCGCTGGCTTCGGACTCCCCGGAGGAGCTCGCTAGACATGCGGCTCAGAACCCTTCCGACTGGCTTCTCTACTTGAGAAATATCAACGGCTATGCGTCCTGCCTAGAAGAAGAAAAGTCCTCCCTTACTGCCGAATTAGCACTCTGCGAATCTACGAATGCCTCCCTCCGCTCGACTATCTCCGAACACAAAGCAGTAATACGTTACCAAGAAGGAACGATCGAAAAGGCTCAACAGAGAATCCTGCAACTTGAACTTGAAAAGTCTCGCCTCCTGGATGCCGCTACGCCGAACGAACACACTCCGCATACCGATCCTGCTCCTGATATCAAGCCCTCTGATAATCCGCCCGTAGATGTTATATCGAGAACATCTCCGCCTACTCCTACTACAAGTGCCCGCTCTACCGTCCTCAGTGAGAAACTCCCTGACCCAAAGGAGTTTGACGGATCTCGCAAGGACCTTCGGCGATTCTCCCAACAGATCTATGCGAAAATGACCTCTAATGCCGACCGTTTCCCGACCGCCACCGCCCGCCTAACTTATGTCGCCGGAAGACTCGTTGGAAAAGCCTACGAGCTGATCCTACCCAAAACAAGCTATAGCATCCCTCAGTTTATGGACTACGAAGAACTACTGGACTATTTGGAAGATGCGTTCGGCGACCCCGACCTGGTCCAGAATGCTCAGAACCAACTGTATGCCTGGAAACAAAAGAACTTAGACTTCAGCGTCTTTTTCTCCGAGTTTCAACGTCTAGCCCTAGAAGGAGGAATGGCGGAAGACGCCCTGACTCCTCTGCTTCTACAAGGAATCTCCCGTGAGCTTCAAGATATGCTCCTACACAGTCCAGCCCCGTCTCGAGAATACCACGCTTTCTCCCGCCACCTTCAGTCTTTAGATAACCGCTACCGCCAACACCAGCAACAAGTTTCCCGTTCTCGTAACCCCGCGGGCCCTACCCCAACCAAGACAAGTACTGCTCTTCCGAAGCCGTATTCTGCCGCTGCTACTCCAAGCCCTGGCAATACTCCTCCTAGAATACCTTCTCCCCGACCAACCCCGATGCCCGCCGGAGACCCAATGGACCTAAGCTCACAACGCCGAAGAAGTCGCAAGGAACGCTACGAGTGCTTCCGGTGCGGGTCCTCTGACCATTATGTCGCCCAATGCCCTAGGCCCGATACGCGTCCCGCATCTCGTCTGCATGCCAGCCGTCGATCCCGCTCGCCTTCCCCTGCTAGTCGTCCCGGCTGTTCCCCGCCCCGTTCTAGGACCAGCTCTCCCAGTGAGAATTCGATAAATGGGACGAGCCTGGCGTAAGTCGCCACCAGGCTCCTAAGGAGCGCACCCTCCGAATATCCGCCGCTGCTGCTACTGGGCTATCTATCGAGGACGAAGAAAACCAACGTTCTAATATGCTGATCCTGCCGATAAACCTGACTGTGGGAACCCGAGAGTTGCTCACTTATGCCCTGACCGATTCTGGAGCCGAAGGCAAAGCTTTCATCGACGAGAGCTGGGCAAAAGACCAGAACCTGACCCTGTTACCCCTGAAGAAACCGTTCGACTTAGAAGTGTTTGACGGACGAACCGCCGAGAGCGGAAAGGTCTCACACTATGTTACTATTACCTGCCGCATTAACGATCATCGCCAAGAAGGGATGAGATTCTTCGTTACTCAGTTAGCCTATTACCCTGTTGTCCTGGGAATGCCGTGGCTTAAACAGCACGACCCTACGATCCGATTTGCATCGCATACTATCACCTTTGATAGCGAGTACTGCCGAAAGCACTGTAACATGCCGAGCCGCCCGATGAAAGTAAAAGCATTACAGGATGTCCCGAAATCTGCCCGCCCCCGCCTACAGTCACCCTGTCCCGAGATCCTGGAAAAATACGATATCGCTGCCGTCTCGTTAAGGGCCAGCGCTGCTTATATCCGTCGAAGAAACTGCCACGCATTCGCTATTACCCTAGAACAAATCGACCTCGCCATAACCGACAAACCCGTACCTGATCCCGCCGAAGTCCTGCCTCCCGAGTTCCGTGAATTCGGAGACGTCTTCTCCCCAAAAGAAGCGGAAAAACTACCACCGCACCGACCGTACGACCATCATATCCAGTTACAGGAAGGGAAAACAGCTCCCTTCGGACCGTTATATGCCATGTCCAGAGAGGAGCTAATCGCGCTGCGCGAATGGCTTGCCGAGAACTTAAGGAAAGGGTTCATACGCCCTAGTGCTTCTCCTGTTGCTTCACCCGTCCTGTTTGTGGCCAAACCAGGAGGGGGCCTCCGCTTCTGTGTCGACTACCGCGCGTTAAACAATGTTACCGTTAAGGACAGATACCCGCTGCCGCTGACAAAGGAGTCCCTGAACAACTTGAAGGGAATGAAGTACTTCTCCAAGATCGATATCATTTCCGCCTTCAACAATTTGAGAGTCAAGAAGGGGGAGGAATACCTTACAGCCTTCCGTACCCGCTTCGGCCTGTTCGAATCCCTGGTGATGCCATTTGGTCTTACAGGGGCCCCCGCCACGTTCCAGAGGTTTATCAACGATACGTTGCGGGAATACCTGGATATTTTCTGCACTGCTTACCTGGATGATATTCTGATATACAGCCGCACCCGATCAGAACATGAACAACACGTCCGCTTAGTGCTGTTCGCCCTGAGGAGCGCCGGCCTGTTCGCCAAGCTGGAAAAATGCGAATTCTTTGTACAAGAAACAACTTTCCTAGGCTTAATCGTCGGAGCCAACGGTATCCGAATGGACCCCAAGAAGGTCGACACCGTTGTCAACTGGAAAACACCGACCTGCCTGACTGACGTCCAAGCGTTTATTGGATTCGGGAACTTCTACCGGAGATTTATTAGGAATTTCTCGAAAATCATCTCCCCGCTCGTCCGCCTAACGAAGAAAGGAGTCCCATTTGCCTTCGACCCGACCTGTGAGAGAGCGTTCAACGACCTGAAGACTGCATTCACCCAAGCCCCTGTATTGGCCTCCTTCGACTGGGAAAAAGATGTCCTGGTGGAGACCGACGCCTCCGACTATGTATCTGCAGGAGTACTGTCCCAGTACGGAGACGACGGAGTTTTAAGACCCGTCGCCTTCTTCTCGAAGAAACATTCTATTACCGAGTGCAACTACGAAATCTACGATAAGGAACTGCTGGCAATTATCCGCTGTTTCGAGGAGTGGCGTCCGGAATTGGAGGGAACAAAGTCCCCGGTAAAAGTTATTACGGACCACAAGAACCTGGAATACTTTACGACAACTAAGCTGCTGAACCGCCGACAAGCCCGTTGGGCTGAATTCCTGTCCCGTTTCAACTTCAAGATCATATACCGCCCGGGAAAACAAGGTGTTAAACCAGACGCGCTGACCAGGAGGTCAGAAGACCTGCCTAAGGAGGGGGATGAACGCCTTCACCATCAAAGCCAAGTTGTGTTGAAAAAAGAAAACTTCGAAACCCCCGATTCTCCCGCACCGACCCAAGGCTCCCGACCAAAGAAGACCGTCCGTTTTATGACTCAGTCGTCCCGCTCTCAAGAAGCTACTAGACCCCAGTGGAACGAAGAACTATCCCGCTTGTTCGCCCGAGGATACGAAGAAGACCCCGTGCCCCGCCTGGTCCTGAAGGCCCTTAGTGAAGGCGCCTCCCGACACTCCCTGCTTACCCTTGCCGAATGCGAAGACCGCGGAGGATACCTATACTATGGAAATCGACTGTTTGTCCCCGACCTACCGGAACTGAAGGCCGAGCTGCTGAGATACTGCCATGCTTCCCCAATCGCTGGACACCCTGGTATAGCCAAGACTTACGAAATCCTGGATCGAGAGTACTATTGGCCCCAGATGTTGCGATATGCCAAACGTTGGATTGCCAACTGCCACCAGTGCCGTCGAGCTAAACCGAATCGACAGGCCCGTCAAGGCTTGCTGAAGCCCCTGCCTGTCCCTGAGCGCTCTTGGAAGGATATATCTGTGGACTTTATCACCCACCTGCCCTTGAGCCGCGGTTACGATGCGATTATGGTCGTGGTCGACCGTTTATCTAAAATGCGCCACTTCATGGCGTGTAAGGGAACCTGTGACTCCGAAGAGACCGCCCGCCTGTTCGTAAAGCACGTGTGGAAACTGCACGGCTTACCTAGCACAGTTATATCAGACCGCGGCCCCCAGTTCGTATCGGACTTCTGGAAACACCTGACTAAGCGCCTGTCCGTCTCTGCCCTGCTTTCCACCGCTTACCACCCTGAGACTGATGGCCAGACCGAGAGGATGAACGCCACTCTGGAACAATACCTGCGCTTATACGTAGCATACCTGCAAGACGATTGGGCCGATTGGCTCCCGCTCGCCGAGTTCTCTGCCAATAACACCGCTTCTGAGACGACTACTGTTACGCCGTTCTTCGCCAACTATGGCTTCCACCCGCGTTTGGGTTTCGAACCAGTACTGCCCCGCGATAAGCCCGCCGCCAGAGATGCTGAGAAGTTTGTGTCCCGTATGCAAGAGATTAACGACCACCTGCGCAACGAGATGCTTATGGCCCGCTCGCGATATGAGGAACAAGCAAACCGGAAACGCCGTCCCGCCCCCAGATACCAGGTCGGTCAAGAAGTCTGGCTCGACGCCCGGAATATTAAGACTCTGCGCCCTACTAAGAAACTAGACTGGAAGAACTGCGGTCCGTTTAAGATCGACAAAGTTATTAGCCCGTACGCCTACCGCCTCCGCCTCCCCGAGTCCATGAGGATTCACCCTGTCTTTCATGTTAGCCTGCTCCGCCCCGCCGCCGACGACCCGCTACCCGCACAAACGAACGAACCACCCCCGCCTGTCGAAATCGATGGTCTACAGGAGTGGGAAGTCGAGGAGGTTCTTGACTCTCGCTGGGACCGCCGTGGCCGTGGCCGCCCCCGTCTAAAGTATACTGTCAAGTGGACTGGTTACGATGACCCTGAAGAGGTGCCCGCCTCCCACCTAGAGAACGCCCAAGAAGTCGTCCGCAACTATCACCGCCGGTACCCGTTTAAGCCTGGTCCCACCTGAGCGTGCCAGCGACCTCGCAGGAGTTCGGTCCTAAAGAGGGGGGTAATGTCACAGACCCGCTGTCCTAGACCCCAACCTTGAGGTTGGTGTTGAGTAACCCGGTGGCCGGGTTACGTAAGCCTGAGGCTGGATAAAACTCTGCATCCTGTATTCTGTCGCGCATGTCCAGAAACGTAGCTCCTTGAGCTACGTCTTGTCAACAGAGCCTGTACCTGCTTAGGATAGAGCCTGCCCGTAGCAATAGATTGTCTGATCCGCCTGCCCAGCATCCACCTGCCAAACAACCTGCCTGCTACCGTGACACGCGTATTATAACTAGTGTTCCCGTGGATATTATAACTATCGTTATTAGCCCGTCTTAATCCTTAATCGGTGACTACTATTAAAGCGCGTTTCCTCCTTAATTTAGGCTATAACCTCTCTTTATAACTAAAGGTCCTCTCTCTTAGCTATAGTAAGACTTCCTCCTTATTAGAGACGGTTTTTCTTAACTCTTTAGCGTCGATTAAGTAGGTTATTCTCTTCTTAAAGGATCTAGTTTTTAGATTTTAATAAGGCAATCTAGTATATAAATCCACGAGCCTCTTGTTACGACCCAACATGAAGACCAGGGCGTGCCCCGCTGACGCCTAGCGGCTACGGCGCATCATATATGCAGGACGGGACGGAACATTGGGGAAACCCCAGGAACGGAAGAACTATGGTACAAGTCACGTGATGATAAGAGATATGATAAGGGATAAGGATATGTTGGATATGCGACATATCCAACCGAGTCAAGGATATGTTAGATATTCGACATATCCAACCGAGTCAAGGATATGTTGGATATTCGGCATATCCAACATATCCAGACAAAGTGGACTGTACAGCACTGTTCAGTTAGGATCGGACTTGTATATAAGGATGGACTCGAGCTGGGCTCTAGGACAGACTTTCCATAGCTCTTCAGCAATTAACTTCGTATCAGGATTAACATCCGCTTTCAGCTACTACCTTGACAAGACTACGATTGATCACCGAAGCCTTACCTACCCTTACGATTGACAGACATAGCTTCCCTGAAGCTATCCCCGACTACGATTACTGTTACCAGTTCCGCAGCCTCAACTTCTGCAAACTACCCCTACGACTAGCTGGCCGTAACATTCAAGCCTTTAACGGAACCCTAGGATAACTTAAGGGATTCATTATATAAGTTAGAGCCTATTAACGCTTCTATAAAATAAACTTTAAAAATAAAGCCGAGGAAGTTATCTATGCCGCCTCTTTTTTAAAAGAAAAAGCTCTTATATAGTTCGAACTATATCTGTCACGGGCTGGAGCCCTGTGTGGGCTTAGGCTACGTCGTAAGCCTTACGAGCCGTGCACACGTACTTAAGTGCAGCAGAATGAACAGAGAGGGATCTGTTCATTACGTACCTTTTGGCTGAATAAGCCCGGGTGCGCATTTAGCGCAATGGTTTGTTGTGTCTGCTGCCACATTTGCCCTTGCGGGGCCCACACCGTTACAACACAAATGTGTAGATATACGAGGAAGGACTGCTTAGACTGTAACGTACCCTTATGTATTCGAGGGAATTGTTGGTACCTTTGGCATACGCAGAATACATAGGCCATATAGGTACTAGAACCCTAGTGGATAACTCAATAGATTCACAACCCCTGATTGGCTCTACCCCGCCCTTGGCAAAAATGGCGTCAAGCAGCACTCGATGGGATAGAGTACCGAATATGAGTATTTATTTGCCGGTTTGTGTCGAAAACTGATAGGAATAGAGACAATTGGCACCTCTGCGCCAATGCATAGGCGAATCTGTGGAGCTCTGCAACTCGCCTATTTGAGACGAGCGAACTCAGAATGATGTCAAGAGAACTCAAAACGCTCGACGACATCTGTTGCCCCGCACACAAGCATGAAACCGTGGCACAAACTCGAAAAAGTTTCAATCAAGTCGAACATTTCCTTTTCGTTGAACATTGGTCTCGACACGTCGATGCCGTTCCCGTATTCATCCATATGTTCTGATGAGATCGAAACAGTGATACACTTGGAAGAGACTATGCACAGCCGAAAGATGCACATAGAGATCCAGCGATGCACCGAGAAAGACATCCCTCGTGTCTTTGAAATCGTCTCTCTAGCCTTCGCAAACGACCACGAATTCGTCGATGCCATCTTCCCCGCCCACAGCAGTCCCGAAGGCCGCAAGTTGGGTAGCGAGCGCATGCTCGCCACATTCCATGGAGATCCTTATAGCATCTTCCTTAAGTGTATTGACACAGACACTGGCAGGATAGTTGCGGCTGCAAAATGGAACATTTACAAAGGCGGCCCTGTCCCTCCGCCACCTCAGCTAGATGGTGACTACTGGAAGAACGAAGAGGAGAAGAGATTTGCACAAGCTCTGTTCCATGGGTTCTTTGCGCCAAGACAGCAAGCTATTGAGGAAAGTGGCGCGAAATTGGTTGGTTCGTTGAAGCAATTAATCTCTTGTTGACTTGGGTCATCTGAAGCCAAAGTTTGATTTACTAACGCGAGCCATAGCACTGGATATGTTGATGTGTGATCCTGAATACCAAGGCCAGGGGGCAGGGAGACTGTTGTTAAAAGCCGGTCTCTCTATTGCTGATGAGATGGGAGTCGACGTAAGTTGAAACTTTACCTGTTTGTATTTTCACGTCAACAAAAGGTGGGAGGCTGATTGGAAGACATAGGCGGTGGTAGAAGGATCAGATCGAGGCAGGAGACTTTACGCGTCAGAGGGCTTTGATGGACCCCATTACGTCTGTCCAGTGCCTGATGAGTTTGCTGCGCGGCGGAAGCAAACATACTGGTGGATGCGACGACCCAACACCAGCGTCTAAAAGAGACTCACGTGAACGTCAAGCTTCGTGTATTTTCATCAAATTCGTCGGGGATAATACCTACGACAAAGCCCGGAATGATGGGGGAACTGGAATCAATGGACAAAGGTTTTGCGGACTGGGTTCTTCAATTTTGTGCCCTGAGGAGCAACTTGTAAAGTTGTCGATGCTGCTTCAACAACCTGACCATTTGCATTTATGACTCCCGGTTACATTTCTCCGCGCCGGTCACGTTGAACCACGGTCTACATGAGCAACAGTGCCAACTCAACTTAACGTCACAAATTACTTACCGTCACCCACGTATTGCGGGTATTGTTGCTACATTGGACCAACTACATTCACTCACACTGTATGCCTGACGCGGTTCTCTTATCAAGCTTGTAACTGGTAGCACTTCTAACGATTCAATCAGCGAAGATAAGGGGGTCTTGACTGACTGACTGCTTCAATTTCACCCCAGTATCTGACTGATTGATAGTGTTAAATTCTCTAATATATAATTAAAGCTAACGTGAATGATAAGCGAGTGAGACAGACAAGTGAGTGAGACACAAAACTGCGCCGATGAGATAAACTGGCTTCCATATCAACATCAACAGCATCAATTCAATTCAAACTACTCATAATCCTCATCTTCAGACATCTCTTCAATAAACTGACACGTTCGTGAATTGTGTCCCGGGTGACCACAAACGCCACACCGTCGCTGACCTGTCTCGGCCCTCAGTTTGCGACCACTAGTACGACGCATTTCCTCCTGAACCTGCGCAGTCACATCTTTCTGTGACTGTATATCTGCTGCGTCAGCTACAGTAAGACTTCCTCCATGTTGTAGGCGTGTTTTCTTAGTTCTCCGTCGTCGACTGAGTTGGTTATTCTCGTCTCTAAGAATCTGTACCTCAGATCTAAGTAAGGCTACTTGGTGCATGATGCCTCTTGTACCTTTAGAAAGTCGTTCAACAGCCTCGCAAATAGAGGTTGGGGAGCTGCTTTGGTGACGAGTGATCCGACTCTTAATAAAGTTGGATTGAGAGCTTGCCTCTACTGGGTTGTTTGGTGTCCTTGAAACCCAAGGCGGAGGTGTCTGTGGTAGTGATGCTGGAGGCGTTGGAGTGTGTAGCCGGATATCCAGCTTTGATAGGACGCTTTCTGCACTCAGAGGAACAAGCCCAGCTCCTCTAAAACCCCCTTGGATGTTTTTTTCAGTCATCGCTTGACTAAATGCGCTGCGATATGCAGGAAAGAAGTCCTCCTTTGAGATGTGGGTTACGCCCCGCCGCATCTTATCCTCAATTTGTTGCCCATACGCCGTCTTTAGCGGACCAAAGCACCCAACGTCAAGGGGCTGGAGTAGATGAGACGAATGAGGCGGCATACAAAGTGTAACGATCTTGTTTGCCTTGCAATATAGCTCAAAGTCTGTTGAGTGGTGACTTTCGTGCCCGTCGACGACGAGGAGGCGATATTGGCCTCTCAAACGTGGTTTCGTATGACGATCATAGTGCTGGATCCAATCTAGGCCTCTTTCATTTGTTGTCCATCCGTTTTCTGACGTCGCAATGACCCAGTCGTCCGGGAAACCTGACTCTGTATACCAGGTTGAGAGGTGATATTGGCCTGCAACGATGATGTACGGCGGGACGTTATAGCCTTGCGAGTTGATGGCTTGAATCACTGTAACCCATTCTCGATTACCAGGCTGCGCCATTTTTGTGTTTGAACGCCTTTCAGTACTTGTGACAACCATGCCAGATGCAATCTGGCCCATCATAAAGCCAGTCTCATCAAAGTTGTAGATATCAAACTCATCGATACCATACTTCGCGATTGTGTTCTTCACAAGAGCGAACCAGCCGCGAATAGCCTCTGCATCCTCGCATTGGGCCCTCTTGTAGTCGTACCTCCGAAAAAACCGCGTCCGCAATTGTGGTTGTCGTTTGACGAAGTTTAAGGCCCAGCGCTTCCCAACCGGAGGCGCGTCGCGATCAGCAAGCAGTCGATCAGCCATTTCTTCCACACCACGGATCCGGGGAGGGAATGATCGGGCATCTAGATCGAGAATGTGATCAACTAACGTCTGCTCTTCTAGCAAAGTAAGATTCCTCGAGTTCGGTATCCTGTCGCTTCGAGATGTAGAGCCCTTCAATCGTCGACTCAATGTTGCATGGCTGACCGAGTAGATCGTAGCTGCAGCCCGTGCACTAAGCTCTGGATTGATTCTGATAGCTTGAAGGGCCAGCTGTATGCCTGACTCATTACTTCTGGATGCCATGATGTGTTGTGGAAGAAACGTCTCCATTTGTGTTGAAGCATCATCGGCGCAGTTTTGTGTCTCACTCGCTTGTCTGTCTCACTCGCTTATCATTCACGTTATCGCAACATCTATAGACCCCTCTAGTTACTGAACTTTAAATAGTATTCTATTAAGGATAATAAAGCTGCTACGTAGCCAGTTCTTTAGATATTAGATCTCTTCGAGTGTATTTGGCGCTATTAAGAGCCTCTGCGATATTAGAGTTAACTTTGTTAAGCTAAAAGTCCTTTTATAATCTATTATCATTATAAAAATAGTGAGGATATTAAGCATGAGCTTGCTAAATATCGGAAAAGTATTAAAATAAGATCTTTACTATTAAATAAAATTAATAGTACTAACGTACATGATAAGTGACAGAATCCATGCATGCTTCTACGCGAGTCATGGACATAACCCATTCGGAATGGTCTGACCATCACGAAACAGGCCAGACTGTCATTTCCACCTGGTCCTAGCTCTGCAAGACTTATTAGGATAGCATTAGGCCCACAAGCCTGTGGTGATTCCATCCACTCTTTAGTACGAATAGACGCTCTTTTCTGCTCACTCACATATGCATATTCCGCTGGCCACCCTGACTAACCGTCAATAAGCGAGTGGGCCACCCAACCGCCATCGTGCCACCTACATCATCGCAATACGCATTTCTCCATCGAAAACAATGACAGTACATAACAAAGATACCCAATTAAACTTAGCGGTTCAGGCTACCTAGAAAGACCGAAATCTCAGTATTCGGGCCGCGGCAAAGATCTATAATATTAGTCGCGTTACCTTAGGCCGCAGATTAGAGGGAACGTTATCACGACGTGATAGCACACCTAACTCACGGAATTTGACGCTGCTAGAAGAGAAGAAGCTGATTGAGTATATCCTCGACCTGGACGCCAGATGTTTTCCTCCCCGTCTTCGCGGTGTTGAAGAAATGGCGAATCGATTGCTCGCTAATCGTGACGCGCCCCATGTTGGGAAACGATGGGCTTCGAACTTCGTAAAGCGACAACCAGAGTTGCGAATGCGTCGTTTTCACAAGTACGACTACAAGAGGGCCCAATGCGAAGATCCGGGCGCGATTAACGCGTGGTTCTTGCTTGTGGCGAACACAATCGCGAAGTACGGCATCGTAGACTTAGACATCTGCAACTTTAACGAGACTAGCTTTATGATGGGCCAGATCTCAACCGGCATGGTCGTGACCAGTGCCGAAAGGCGTTCAAACACGAAAATGATGTAGCCTGGCAATCGTGAATGGGTTACGGTTATTCAGGACATCAGCCCGTCGGGCTATAGCGTTCCGCCGTATATCATCGTTGCGGGCCAATATTACCTCTCTACCTGGTATACGGAATCCGGTCTCCTACACGACTAGGTCATCGCAACGTCTGAAAATAGATGGACAATAAATAAAAGAGGTCTATACTAGGCTCGGCACTTCGAACGGCATATAAGACCGCGTACAAAGGGTTAATACCGCCTCCTCGTCGTCGACGGATACAAAAGTCACTACTCTGCGGATTTCGAGATTTTTTATAAGAAGAACAACATCGTCACCCTATGTATGCCGGCTTATTCGTCTCATCTACTCCAGCCCTTGGATATTGGATATTTTAGGCCTCTAAAAACGGCGTATAGTCGAGAAATCGAGGACAAGATACGTCGGGGTAATACGCATATTACCAAGGAGGACTTCTTCCCGGCGTTTCACAGGGCTTTTACGCAAGCGATCACGGAGAAAAACATCTAGGGAGGAATCAGAGGGGCAGTAATTATACCTTTGAGTGCAGAGAGTGTGCTCTCAAAGCTTAATATAAAGTTACGCACTCCGACGCCTCCAGGATCCCTCCCGACAACACCACCGGCATAGACTTCTCAGACACCAAACAACCCAACGGAAGCATCTTCTCAGTCAGAACTCATCAAGAATCGAATCTCCCGTTATCAAAATAGCTCAACAACTTTAATTATTAAAACTATAGAGCATCTATCTAAGGGGGCTCGTGGATTTATGCACCAGATCGCCTTATTAAGATCCGAGAACCAGATTCTTCGAGAGGAGAATAACCTACTTAGTTAACGCCGGAGAGCTAAGAAAAACCGTCTCCGATAAGGAGGAAGCCTCACTATAGCTGAGGGAGAGGACCTTTAGTCGTAAAGAGAGGCTATAGCCTAGGTAGAGGAGGAAACGCGCCGGAGTAGTGGTCGCCGACCGAGGACTGAGACGGGCCAATAACGATGTGGCGTCTATGGGAACACTAATCATAATGCGCGAACATGTCGATTCAATGAGGAAATGTCTGAGGAAGAGGACTCTGAATAGTTTGGATTGAATCCATGAGGTGGGTGTTGATATTTGCTCCTTCATGTCATGTGGTCGTGGTTGGGTGGCCCACTCGCTTGTCTGGCCCACTCGCTTATCATGTACGTTATATAATAAAGTTATATCTCGTTAAGATATTTTAGCCTTAGAGTCGGGGGTTCGACCCCCGTAATCGTGACTTGTCTTTACTAATCCTTTTTATAAAATAGTAGGTCTTACGGACCTTTTAATTAATCGAGCGGCCGGAATATCCCTTTTCCAACGAGCCTTTAACTGTTCAGACGATTCGAATAACCGGCCTCTATTATCTGACTGATTGAATCGCGAATTACCTCTCTTTTGACTGTTTGTTTGGCTGATTGAACTGATAGATCTGTTACGGTAGCTGCGCTGGTAACTGGGCTCCCCCGTGCATTCTGTTTTTAGTCCAACGAACGCCGATCATATGTGAAGCATGTAAGTGCTATTGGGTAGGTGCGATTCGTCACTCGCCGTACGCTGCATTAATGCGAGGGTAGCATGCATAGAGGCGGGGTTGGCAGAGCCTGCATCTAGCTAGGAACGAGATCCGGTAATGTGTGTTGAGTTAGTCCCCGTGGCCTTTGGCTCTATGGATCTATTGCCGTCTTTTTGTTTAAGTGCTGAAAAGTCCCAAGCTCACCCGATACATCTTTCCCACTGCACACTTACCAATCATTCTAGTTTTAAGAGATTGCGAGATTCTTAGTCTCGGTCTCTTGGAAATATCTCTTTAGGCAGCACAGCCCCACCGTAGACGGAATTACGCTTCGTACCACCTTCTATTAAGATGGTCTTCGACCTTGAAGAAGCCAAAAACCACCTCAGGGAACATGGATGGGTTCGTTTTCCGTCGGTTCTCACAGCAGAAGAGGCTACCGGCGTACTTAACCGGCTATGGAAGGCAAAGGCAGCGGCTGAAGCTCGAGGCGAGGACACATACCTGTCGTTTCTGGACCCCAACCCCAGCAACGTACGCGTATTCTACTTGCTAGAGCTGGACAAGATCTTTCGGGAGCTCATCTCGCAGTCGACTGCCATCTCCATGGTCAAAGCGGTGCTGGGCGAGAATTTTCTTATCAGCAACTTCACGGCGAATATTGCCCGGCCTGGATCGCAGAGTATGGCTCTGCATTCGGATCAGAGTATCGTCTTTCCCGATCTGTGACAGAACGTCTGGGCGCTCAACGTCATATGGTGTCTGACGGATGTCAACAAAGAGAACGGTGCAACGCAGTACATCCCTGGGTCGAATAAGTGGGTGTATCGCAAAGAGGTTCCCGAAAACGCGCCAGAGATGCTGGTTCCCTTTGAAGGCAAAGCTGGCGACATCATTGTCATGGACGGTCGAGTGTGGCACACCTCTGGCAGTAACATCACCAAAGATCAAGACCGCGCACTTCTGTTTGGCTATTACACTGCCCCATTTATGCGCCAACAGGTCAACTGGACTGCCAAGTTCCCCAAGGAAGTCCAGGACACCTGCAGCGAGGAGCTGAGGGAGTGGCTGGGCCTCAATCCCGTTGGAAACATTGGCATGACGGGCGATCTGAGATATATGGCGGTGCAGTACCCTGATGACAAGAAGAAGGCTGGCGAGGCAGTTGTAGCTGGTTAGACCTAAAAGTTCTAGCGAAGTTGCCTCTATGAAATGGTTATAATGTTGGTGGTGGCATCTATTCCAACCAATCTTCGCCTAGACAACATTTCACACGGCAGAGGGTTGCTAGGCAAAGCTGCACATGCATCTTCTGGCTAAACATCAGAAAGTCAAACAACGTCTAGCGAAGACGAAATATGTGTGAAAGATTATATAGGGAACAGAGATATGTCGCTGCCTCGAAGAATCATTTGATAATGCAGCAAACGCCGGCAGCGCTGTCAAGGCTGCCTTGGTCACACCTACCATGTTTGATTGGTTCGATCCTGGCCGACCCCTCACTCACATTTCCTCCACTGAATCCAACTTGGGCAGCATCAACTTGCCACCTTCAACAATGACAGTCGACATGGAGTTTTCAACGCCAACGTCGCATCTGTCATGTGGTCACAATGTGGGCATCGAGATGTGTGATAGAGAACGGTTATCCATTGAAAGTAGAGAATAGGTACGAGGCTCGCTCTGAAATAGGTGATGCGAGCGAGTATCCCATGGAGTGCGGATGGACAGCACTTTCGCCAAGGGTGGGGCAGAGCCAATAAGGGCTTGCAAATCTATTAAGTTAACTGATAGGGCTGCAGTACCTCTATTTCCTATAAATTTTGGGTGTGCTAGAGGTACTAGCAATCTTTGCTGATATATAACGGTATATTATAATCTAAGTAGCCCTTTCGAGTTGTCTGCCGTCGTTGCCGAGCGATGGCATTCCTAAATATCTCTTTAAAGCCTTCTTATTATTATAATAGGTATAAGGTAAATATACCTTTCTTAATTCCTTCCTATGCTGTTCTTATAAAATAGAGGTATTTTTATTTATTTATAGCCTGTCTAGGCCGTAATAGTCTTTGCCCGCCTGCTAATGGTCTAAACTATTGAATAAGCTAGGCTGCTAGTAATCGTCGTTATTAATAATGGGATTCTACCTTCTGCTACCTAGGGCTGCCCTAGAGCTATAGTAGGAAGCTATTTATAACTATTACTTCTAGTAAGAAATTCTAGGTAATTAATGTGTTACGAGCTGGACAAGGCAACCAACTGTGGCACAAAGCAAAAGCTTCGATAATGATGACTCCGGCATCATTGTCCCTTGTTCTGCATATATAGCTACGCGCCCACAGTGACAAGTTGCGGCGGGCGTAACAACAGGCTCTGTTGACAAGACGTAGCTCAAGGAGCTACGTTTCTGGACATGCGCGACAGAATACAGGATGCAGAGTTTTATCCAGCCTCAGGCTTACGTAACCCGGCCACCGGGTTACTCAACACCAACCTCGAGGTTGGGGTCTAGGACAGCGGGTCTGTGACATTTTAAATATTTTTTTCCATAATCGCTTAAACAAAAGCCCTATGAAACGTAAAGAAAAAGTCCTTCTTCTTAATAGTTATAGCTATTACCCCAATATATCTTCTCCTTAATTTCTTAACTATATATTATTTTTAAAGGCCTAAAATATTTCATATTTAAGGGCTAGAGTAAGTAAAATAAATAAGCTAGTATATATAAAGTAACGATATTATTCTCTTTATAAAATATCTCGAAATCCGTTGTTACGCCCGCCGCAACTTGTCACTGTGGGCGCGTAGCTATATATGCAGAACAAGGGACAATGATGACCGGAGTCATCATTATCGAAGCTTTTGCTTTGTGCCACAGTTGGTTGCCTTGTCCAGCTCGTAACACAATGATGACTCCACCCTGCGTAGAGGGGTTGTGGGTTCGATTCCCGCACGCTGCGTCGATAGTGTGATTGTGCCTCCCACACTATGAAGGGCGTCCCGACCGTAGGCAGCACGTGTAGGACTGGTTACCCCGCACCTATGCTGGAGTTTCCCTGCTTATACCCGAAATGTCCGATTGGTCCTCGGCATAGGGACATGCCTCTTGGAGGGGAGATGTGGTGTTACGCCCGCCGCAACTTGTCACTGTGGGCGCGTAGCTATATATGCAGAACAAGGGACAATGATGACCGGAGTCATCATTATCGAAGCTTTTGCTTTGTGCCACAGTTGGTTGCCTTGTCCAGCTCGTAACATCCGTAGAGTAGTGACTTTTGTATCTATCGATAATAAGAAGGCGATATCGATCTTTTATACGTAGTTTTAAATACTATTTAAAGTACCGAGCCTAATCTAGGCCTCTTTTATTTATTAATTATCTATTTTAGATGTTATAATAACTTAGTTATATGGGAGACCGGATTCCGTATATTAAGTAGAGAGGTGATATTAGCTTATAACGATAATATACGGCGGAATACTATAGCCCGACGAGTTAATAGCCTAAATGACTATAACCCATTTACGATTGGGAATTGATATACCGGCGTCGACCTTACACCAGCGTCGCTATTCGACCTTTTGATTGGCTCAAAAAAATATTGTTAGTGCAATCAAATTCTGCCAGATACCCACAAAGTATCTCAACCCTTTTTGTTCCTTTGCTCCCTTTCCTCTAAGGTTACATCATCAAGCCTCTAAGTCTAACTTATGCTATTTACTTACAATAGCTTCTCTAACTGGAGTTAGAGATGTTCCACAAGGCCAATCTCAAAGCAATACCCCTACTAATAAACCTCCCCCTATACAAGAGCGACCATTATTTAAATACGGCCTCCTACCATCATCTAGCCAACCACCATCATCTCCCTCCTCAAAAAGCAGCCGCCCTAGCGTTAGCCAATTCTATGGAGTTAGTAATCCTCAAGGGCAGCGCGACCTTATCACCAAGCTCCCAGCCGACATACTACAAGACACGCGACCTCTTATATACGATTACCCTAGTATAGAGCCTACGCTATATCTTACTCGTCATTTCCCTAAAGGAACAATAAAAACCTAGCGGACTACTCTCTCACGACTTTCTCTAGAGCATAGCCCCTCTCCTCCCAACGAACAGTCCCAGCAACCTTCCTATCCTACAACAGAGCAGTTCAATAGTGCTCTTCAGCTTGTTCTATAGGTTGTTGGGACTAATCAACAGCTAATAACGGCACTCCTCCGACAACAAGAGTATGTCCGTCAATGGCAAGAAACATGGGGTCCCTAAGTCAACCCACCACCCTATTCACCCCCACGGCAATCCTCCCCTCAAAGCAAAGCGTCTTTCCGAACTACAGCCTCCTACCACACTCTAAGCAACCGATCCTCCTCTCCTCCTATAACCAAAATCCCAAACCCACCGATTCCTAGCGATCCAGAGCAAACCTATAATACCCTCTTCGACCGAGTTAATACCTTTATAAGAGCTAATGGATTTGGTATTATAAAGCGGAATAGGCATAAAGCTCAAGGCCGAATCATTCGATATACCTTCTAGTGTGATCGGTTTAGCGAGCCTGGGCCTATAATACTGATTGCGGACATGCCTGTTCCCGTGGTTTGCTTCTTGATTATGGACACCTACTTCGACGACATGATGAGGTTCAAGTCTACAAGTCCGTTCAGATCACTGAAGTTAAGAAACGCCTCTTCAGCGAAACGTCTGGGCAGAAATTCGACCGCGGGGGCCGAAATTCAGCCGGATGATGAAGAAGCTCTTTACCGTCGCTATCAAAATCCGGGTCATCCAAAATCCAGTCTCTTGACATTTGACGGGGAGACGTATTCCAAGCTTGATAATCAGATTCTGAACATATCGAGAAAGAGAGACCAAATTCTGGCTCAGTGTCGCGACTTGGTCCAAAGCTGGGAGGTGCAAACGCAAGCCCCAGCCAATTTGAGAATTGGATTTCTTCACCGGACAATGGTAGAGTTTCTCCAGCGTTCCAGGAGTGCTCGGCCGCGGATTCCACTCAAACACCAGCGATATTGGCTTGCAAGGTCATATGCAGATTTCGATACTCAATTGCGATGGGGCAAGCATGGAAGGGATGCGGACAGGAACTTCCTGTTCAGGTTTCTACACACAACCGAGCAAGCGGAGCCGCACGACATATCAGCCTCAGGCCCTGGGCTTGCAAGACTATGCGAGCAAATGATGGATATGTGGAAAGTTGACATCAACGATAGACCTTCCTTGAAAACTATCTGGCTTGTCTCTCAAGTCTGGGCTAGAGCATTTCTTGCGGTGCCTACCACCCTATCGCCGCCTTCGTCGAGAGAATTTTATCTCTTTACTGCCTGCCATGAGAAGCATCCTGAATGGCTCGATGCATATGGAGGCCGGCGACCCTCCAGAGATGGTTCAGGCACATTCCGTGGATCTACTGGTCCTACGTGACCTTCTTTCTGAGGTCAACTTTACGGAAGACGACTTAGACATGTCCTATCCATTTACAGAATTTGTCCACAAATTGGAGTGGCATGATTCTACGTCACGGCGCCCGCATAATACAGTTGAAGCTTGCAAACTGATGATAGAACATGGTACAGCTATGGACCGCAGGCATTCGGACCACAAACCTGGTGCTGACATAAATTTCTTGGTGAGAGTGGAAAGCATTATGAAAATATTCAACCCTGTCCAGAATCTTGCAATATTCACAGAAGAAGAGCTTTCCGACTTAAGAAAAGCTTTCCCTCCAGGAGCGGCGGGAATGATTCCCGTTTCCCAGGAATGGAGTTGGTGGTCCATATATTCCTTTAAGTGAAAGGGCAAATGCTTCGGGAATTTGTTGTAGATATTGAATATTAACGTTGGTTTGCAATCGTTTTGAAACCTTGTCACACTTGTATTACTGCAATATCCCTTTATGCTTACGTTTCTCTACTTCAAAAGTCTCATTCTAATACAAACCACGGACACTTCAGTCAATAGCCTTCAACACGTACTTGTCCTGCCAGAAACGGTCATTGACAGCCGGTGCATCACGACGAGCAGGAGCTGCCCGCTCCTGGAGGCTCGAAGCAGCCAAGTACTCGCTACGCCTAACAGCCGCCTTTGCAGATACATCGCGCTTCTCAATACCTCCGTAAGCACACTTGCCCCCGTTGAAAGCAGCGTTTGCAGTCGCCTTCCAGATCTCAGTGACATCCTTGATCATGGGCAGAGTCCAGTAGAGACGGCAGTCGGCCTCCTCGCGGACATACTGCGCAGGAATACCGTCGTTCACGTTGTCCCTCAGGATCTGGTCGCGGACGTTGACTGAGGCCGCGAGACTGCGGTTCAGGGGCAGATCACCATAGCGAGCGAAAGCAGCCTTCTGCTCGTCGGTGGAGGTGTAGGGGAGGAGGAAGGTGGTGTAGTCGTAGATGTTGCTCCAGTCAAGGACCTGGGAGCCCTTGATGCCGCCGACACCCTCGATGGCGCCCTCAACGGGGAGACCACCGAAGGCGACGGACTTGACGCCCCCGTGGAGACGGAGTAACTCGGAAGCAAGAGTGCAAGTGGAAGCACAAACGCCGTCGTAGAGGATGATGATGTTCTCGGCGGCGAAGGGCTGGGGCAGACCGGTCAGGTTGCCGTACCCGTTAATCTCGATACCAAGACCGAAAGTGGCGTTGGTGGTGGTCAGCGGGTCGTTGAGGTTCCAGCGCATGAGGTCTGTGTAGGAGGTGTTCTGGAAGACCTGGGGCGCGAACTTGTCCTCGTAGGAGGTGAAGGGGTGGTTGGTGAGGTTGTAGTCGTAGCGCCAGTTGAACCAGCTCTCGGCCAAGGAGATCAGGTTAGCATCATCGCTGGTGTAGATGTCCACGTCAGCCACAATGTCGGAAACAATCTGGGCCGCGGCGACGAAGCCGTCACTCTCCTTCCAGCGGGAGAAGCCATCCTGGTCCGTCGCGGGGAACAGCTGGCGGAAGAAGTCGTAGCCCTGGAGAATGTAACCGCCGCCGTTCTGCTGGAAGTCGATGACGAGCTTGGTCTTGCCGGCGGCGAGGGCGGCGGTGTAGAAGTCCTCGGTGACCTTCTGGAACTCGGCCGGGCTGTCGCTGGCGAAGGCGGTCAGGACGACGACGGCGACGTCCTCGAAGCCTTCGCCCTCGAGGAAGTAGCCGGACACGACGCCGTCACTGGTAACGACGACGGGCTCCGGGTAGCCTGGCAGGATGGCGGTGGAGGCGTTGGAAAGGGAGGTGCCGGAGGGGGTGGCGGAGGCCGGGCTGAGAGGGTTGCAGAACTTGGCGTAGAAGGAGGGTCCGTCTACGATGCCGGTGAGATCCTTCTTAACCCGTGCATGGTTTTCGAAGGTGACCTTGGTGCCGTTTTCGAAAGTGAGGGTCGTGTTGGCGCCTTGGTAGATGTATCTGAACGGACCATGTTAGTTTGTTTAGATCTCACATGTCTTGCATCATGCTCCACGTACCTCACACGACCGCCAGAGCTGAAGTAGCCGTTGCCGATTCCGGTAGCCTGTCCAGACTTCTCAAAGAACATGGAGTTGTAGGCGGAGTTGGCATCACGGTTCCAGTTGGCCTTGTTGACGGTGTCCTCGAGGAACTTGGAAGCCTCGATGCCGTTGATGAGCTTCACTGCGGACGCAGTCTCGGGGGTAGAGATGACCTCCTCTGCAAAAGAGTTAGAAAAGAAGCAACCTACAGATTCATCATCGTTGAGTCAGAACGTACCGTAGATCTTGATCACTGGCAAAGATGAGCCATCCTCGCTAATGGAAACCAAGCCCCGCTGACGGGTCCACTCAAACACCGCCGTGAGCAAGTCGGGGTAATAGACAAAGTGTCCGTCGTGGCCGGGACCAAACACCTCCTCATAGAGAGCAGACTGGAAGGCGTATTCGCTGCTGTAGACATCGTCGACCAGGTTCTGTCTGATGCTCGAGGCGGCTGCAAAGAGGTCGTAGGCCGGGAAGTCGTACTCGGGTGGGGGATCCGCCTTGTAAGCAGCGTCTGAAGGCAAATTAGTTCTGATCCAGTGTAAAGAATAAGTTTCTGGATAATCAACTTACCACTCTGCCATTCGAGGTACGGGAACAGAGAGTCCACGAGCTCAATGGCAGCCTCCTTTCCGAGAGGGACGGAGTTGAGGCAGTCGTAAGCCAACTGAGCCGGTACAGACGGGACCACTACAGCACCACCCTTGTCAGTCTACGTTAAGGGGCATCTCGTTATTGGGTTTTCAAGTACCAGTCGGAGCGCGCGCATGCTGCGAAGCCCAAGCAGCGCTCACGGCAGCGCAAGGCTCAGAGCTGTTGCCCGGGGTCGTCGAGTTGGGGAATTGCGCGACAGCGAGGTCAGCTGCGCTGGCCAGCAAAGCCGGCACGGCAATCGAGGAGCTCCGCATCTTGCCAATTGAACGAGAGTTACACGGCACAACTTTCAGCTCTTGAGTCGAAAGCTGGGCTGCAGTCTCAAGCTCGACAGACGCATTTCCGATCGCCCGCAGACCGCGGCGTCGCGTCTCTTATACCACTCTGACACTCAGTGACCCCCATTGTAGTCGTCATCCACTTCTCAATGACAATCGACACGAGGGGCAACCAACCCGTTGTCGTTTTCTGGAGACCGTCGATGTCACCATCGGATGTCGAGTGGGCGTTCATCCCAATCGCATGAGCTTGTATTGCTCTCGTTACAGCAGGAGCTACCTCAAGATGGCAGGTCGCATGTACGAGGTTACCATAAGACTGGGGCGCGTCCCCCGGTTGCCGCAACTCTTGGCCTGCATATCTGCACCCGAGCGGCGGTAGGCCGGGTAGCAATGCCTCAATTGTTTTCCTACCGATATTGGACGCGACCGAAGTTGGAAAGTCGTTGACTAAAGACAACCTTTGAAGTCCGTTAGTCCCGGTCTGAACGGACTGTAAGAAACAGTATTACCGTGTAGAGACTTTGACTTACAAGCGAGTCAGTCTTAGTCAACAGCCTGACTAAGACTCAAGAGTCTGACATATATCATCACCCAGAGGTAAAAGGGAAGGGTTCCCGCTCGACAGTTGGGGGGTTACGAGCTGCGAGACGGGAAGCTACCTCATTAGCATGAAAGGACGAAGATCGGCAACATGCGCCTTATCTATCAAATTAGTGGTCATATCCTACCGTTACCGTTGGTCCGTTGGTCTGAAGACCGTTGGGACCTTTGGTCGGCATAAGAACTTCTTTTCGCTCTAGCTCCGGGTTGCGGGGGCACATGGGAATAACACCTGCTGAAGACAGGTCAGGCCGGTAGGCAAAGGTCCCTGGTCCCCCGGCAAACAAGTGCCGTGTCACTGTCGCAATTCACACCATTGGCAACGGTCAACCGTGATCTCATCTGGCCGTGCCTGGCGATGGCCTCGGCCCGGTCACGCGATACTGAGGAGCATATCTTGGCATACTCCACTCTGCCCTTGTCCATGTCATTTTGTTCGATTCAGCGATTCATCGAGTTTGTTTGCATTCCGGATGTCAAAATAAACGTAAAGCTTCGAAGCATGGCGGGAAGATGTCGTCAGTACAAAATTCACGTGTGACCTTTCCCAGAAGTGCCTACCTGCGTTTTAGACGTTTACTTTAACGATTTCTCGTGACCTGCCTTAAATCGCATTAGGTCCAAGACATAAGTCCTCGCCATTAACCGAGTTAACTTTAAAGAACACTAGTGTTTTAGACCCTCGTTTGACTCTAGTTCCAATCGTAGTCTGAGAAGCTGTGCTCAGTTGAATGTTAGACAGACAGTGGCATCAAGTATCAATGATCAATTGCGGTTGTTAGGATACCTCCTTAAAGCTCTTGACTGATTCATCTCATGATGTATACTGAGATCGGCGATAAGAAATCCGAGCTCAATCAAAGTAGGTACAACATCTTTGGTATTTGTTAGCTTAGTAGAGCCGCACGCGTAAGAATTGATAAGCCTATTCTAAGCAGGACTCCGGTCTCTTCTCTTCTACTCTCAATTTCTCACAGCAATGTGCGTACCTGGATCTAGGGTCAGCCCAACAGCATTTTCACTGTGTCGTTCTATTCGCTAACGCCTCTTGAGGTCCACAATCTTTCTCCGGGCACCTTTTGACATTGCAACTTTGAGAACCCTCGATGCAGGGCAAGACTGGTGCATCTCAGTACTATCGCATGGGAAAAATTTAAAAGCATTACTGAGCAGGAGTTCATTCTTTAGGTTTCTTTGACATTGAAGTTGGAATTACGTGGGTCACGTGAGCATTTTGAATCTTTGGCCGATTATACGAAGGTTTGCAGGGAAGGCACGAACCCAAAGAAAGTGCGAAGTCGATCATAGAGGCCAATAGACCTTGAAACTCTATTGCCAGTCCTTTTGTATCGATAAAAGGTGGTATACTAAGAGGTTCGCTTTTCCCTGGTATAACTCCATAAACTCCCTAAGCCATCATGATGTCCAGTCGTAGTATCGTGAGCAGCTGCGCGCCGGCCAACTGCAGGTATCTTTTGGTGGGCTCTTCACTTACTGGGAAGGATCAGACTTGGGCACGCTAGGAAGCTCGGCCGCGATAGCCTTGGCCTCCTCTGTTTCCTTCTTTGAAGGGCCATCCCCGGTTTTCTTGTCTGTGGCTGGTTGGTCCTCGGGAGGGAAGAAGACACTGTGAAGAGAGTATTAGTAGTTGATTGACTGCGCAAGGAAGGTTCGGAATCTCGACATACGGAAGGGTCTCGTTGTAGGCTTTAACATCCTTCATCTCGAAGGTACAAAAGACAACCTTGTCCAGCTTGTCGCCATCTTGTCCATCGAGAAACTCTCTGACGACTTCAACAGCAACAGGTGCCGCTTCCGAGCTCGGGTAACCGTAGACACCGGTGCTCAGCGCGCTGAAAGCGATGCTGCGACAACCGTTCTGGACAGCAAGCTTCAGGCTGGTATTGTAACAACCTGCAAGCTTTTCTTCGGAGACGTCGGGTCTGAGCTCGTCGTAGACGGGGCCGACGGCGTGGATGACTTTCTTGCAAGGGAGGTTGTAGGCGCCCGTGATCTTGGCAGAACCGGTAGAGCAACCGTTCAGGGTCCTGCACTCCTGGACTAGTCCGCGGCCGGCAGCGCGGTGGATCGCGCCGTCGACGCCGCCTCCTCCAAGAAGACTCGTGTTGGCGGCATTGACAATCGCATCGACGCCGAGTGTGGTGATATCGCCTCGGATCACGGCGACTTTTTGGTTATGCGACGCGTTATAGGAGAAGATGGCCCCCGGTGTGGAATGGATCTTGCCGAGCTTGTAGAGGAGCTCAACGGTCGGAATATCGGCGACGGCGGTGGTGACCATGGTGACCATTTTGGCTGCTTGTCGGATGGGCATAGGCGAGTTCGCGGGTTGCTTATTCGGGTTTGGTGTCGATGATTTGGCAGGTTTAGGAGCGGGCGCGGCGGGTTGATTTCGAGGTGTTGGTGACAAAGAAGCAGCCGATCGAAAACAGGAGAGGTGGGAGCCCATGACGAAAGACCCCGCGCTATTTTGGGGACGGGATCTTATAAGCTGTCAGCGGTACGTACCCTTTGCTCTTGGATGTGTATCTCCGATGAGTTGCTTCTCAAGAATGGAGGAAAGTCGAGAATGTGTAAAGCTGAAATGTGGCAAGGGAGTTACTTATAGTTCAATTGCAAGAATTCCTCATGCGCGCAAACCTTAAAGACCAAAGATTCCCATAAGGTAGCTCGCCATCAAGGCACTTTGGGAGGTTCGTAAAATCGCAGCAATCCAGAGAGGTGCCTTATCGGAAGCTACTCCAATCGATAAGGACACTATCTTATCGTCTCTTTGTCGCATGTCACAGGCGCAAGTTGAGGAAGGCACGCTGAGCCAGTGCAATGACCCCTCCTTGGATCAATTTGAGTCATCCCCGCCGCAAAAGAAGACCTGGAGTGTTGCCCCGCCACCACAACCACACATTTTCCACGACGTGAACATCTCGTGGAGTCCAATTGAACAAACCTTGATTGCTCAGCGACCACGCCGTACTCCCAGTCTTCGACAGACTTTATCTCTGATACTACCCTTTATCTCAGACCGAATACCGCAATCATGGCGGACGCTGCAGCGGACCCCACCGCCAAGTTGGCCGAGTCGACGGCCAAGCTCCAGCTCGACGAGGAGACGGGAGAGATGGTCAGCAAGGGCGAGCTGAAGAAGAGAATGGCAAAGCGAGCGAAGAAGGCCGCCACGGAAAAGGCAAAGGCTGCCAAGGACGCTGTTGCAAAGGCCACCGGTGCAGGCGACAGCAAGCCCGCCCCGAAGCCCAAGGCGAAGCCCGAGGAGGTCGCCATCGACCCGGAGGCCATGTTCAAGCAGGGCTTCCTCCAGGAGGTCTACAAGGAGAGGCCGTCGGAGAATGTCGTGACGCGTTTCCCTCCCGAGCCCAATGGCTAGTACGTGGGCCACAATGCTTATCTATGTCACGCCACTAATAGCTCTTTCCAGCTTGCACATCGGCCATGCCAAGGCCATCGCGGTCAACTTCGGTTTCGCCAAGCACCACGGAGGTGTCTGCTACCTGAGATTCGACGATACCAACCCCGAAAAGGAGGAGGAGAGATATTTCACAGCCATTGAGGAGATGATTAGCTGGCTGGGTTTCACGCCCTACAAGATCACGTACTCGAGCGACAACTTCCAGAAGCTGTACGACTTGGCCGAGAAGATGATCACCTTGGAGAAGGCATACGTATGCTACTGCGGCGGTTAGTCCCTTTCGAGTGGCAGATGCGGTGTTTTCTATGTTTGCTAATCACCCAACCTTAGACACCGAGATCAAGCTCCAGCGTGGCGGCGAAAAGGGCGCTTCCCCTAGATTCCGATGCGAACACGCGAACCATACCATTGAAGAGAACCTGCAAAAGTTCAGAGATATGAAGGATGGCAAATACAAGCCTAGAGAAGCATTCTTGCGCATGAAGCAGGATATCACCGATGGTAACCCCCAGATGTGGGATCTCGCAGCATACCGCATCAAGACCGACACGCCTCACCACCGAACGGGATGGGACTGGAAGATCTACCCGACGTACGATTTTACGCACTGCCTGTGTGATAGCTTCGAGGGTATCACCCACTCCCTCTGCACAACAGAATTCGTCCAGAGCCGTGTCTCCTACGAATGGCTCAACAAGACTCTTGGCGTTTACGAGCCGATGCAGCGCGAGTACGGCCGCCTGGGTATCACGGGTACCGTCTTGTCAAAGAGAAAGATCCTCAAGCTGGTTGAGGAGAAGATCGTCCGCGGCTGGGACGACCCCCGTCTGTACACTCTGATCGGTATCAAGCGCCGTGGTGTGCCTCCTCGTGCGATTCTCGACTTCGTCAACGAGCTGGGAGTCACGACGTCTGTCTCCGTCATCCAGATCAAGCGCTTCGAGCAGACGGTGCGCAAGTACCTGGAGCGCACCGTCCCCAGATTGATGATGGTTTTGGACCCCATCCCTGTTGTTATCGAAGATGCCGAGGTTACTGATGTAGAACTTGCCTTCTCTCCCAAGGATCCTAACATGGGCTCGCACACCATCAAGTTCACCCCCACGGTCTACATCGATCGCGCCGATTTCAGAGAGGTCGACAGCAAGGACTACTTCCGCCTTGCACCCAACAAGACGGTCGGTCTGCTCAACGCCCCCTTCCCCATCAAAGCTACTTCCTATACCAAGGATGAGGCGACAGGAAAGGTCACCGAGATTCGGGCTGTCTACGACAAGGAGACGAAGAAGCCCAAGGCTTTCATCAACTGGGTCGGAACCGAGGGTTCCAAGAAGGTCGAGGCCCGTATCCATAACTCTTTCTTCAAGAGCGAGAAGCCCGATGACGCCGAGGGCGGTTTCCTCAACGACATCAACCCCGAGAGCGAGGTCATCTACCCCGATGCGCTCATCGAGAGCGGATTCGACGAAGTCAAGAGACGTGCACCCTGGCCTGAGGCTGCGGGTGAGAGCGAGTTGGGCAAGGGTGGACCGGAGAGTGTTCGTTTCCAGGCGACGCGCATTGCCTACTTTGTAAGTTGCCCGTGAGTGAAGAATGCAATTCGGATACAAGCTAACGCCCTATTAGGCCATTGATGCTGACAGTACCGATGAGAAGATCATTCTCAACCGTATTGTGTCGCTGAAGGAGGATGCTGGAAAGGTTTAGGTTACAGCTATTTCCGGGTTGGGACGTAAAGGTGGGTGGATGGATATGGGGAGCTTTCGGATTTGCATAGATGGCGGGCTTGATAATACCAAACAGAATCCCACAACAAGCAGTGTGGTGAATCAGAACCTTTTTCCCAAAGAGTATTGACGGGGGTTTCCTTCAAGTGATTCACTGCAGTTCACGAAACAGGTCCTTATATCAATACAACACCTTGGCTTGTTGACGCACTCACCGCTCAATACCTACAACCACAACATCGTCATACTCCCATATCGACTAAGTTGCGGATCTACGTTCGATAAAATGAGAGTCAGACAGTCTTCTCGGATGCTCGGAGCACTGTTGGCCGCTGGCTCCATATGTCTCGCCATGCCTCAGGAGATATCGCAGGGTATCCGGCTGTCGGGACCTCAAATTGGGGAGGTACCTCAAGAACAGTCACCTTACGAAGAGACACCCTACAATGACACGCCACACAAAAACTCGCCGGAAGAACCGTCGCCTTACGAGCAGCCAGACGGAAAACCATCGTACGGACAGCCTTCATATGAGAAGCCTTCTCTCGAATCGCCATCATACGGACGAGACCCGGCCATCTCAATCATGGAATGGGAAGTCGGCAGCCCTGCCCTGTACGCGGCGCGCTCCGTCAACGACCCAGATACATGTCCGAAAGGAACAAGTACGCATCCCGGCTAGCCCTCCACTCCATTCCACACCATCTCCTCCAACCTTTTCAAACTCATCATGACTAACACACCACCCTCATAGTATCATGCAACCTCCCCCACAACTGGAACTGCTGCAAAAAATCAATGCCCTGCTGCGGACCCGGCTGCTGCGCCCAGGGCTACGACTGCGTCGACGCCGCCATCGGGGTCTGTTGCTCCCGCGGGAAGAAACTATGCGGCGGGATGTGTGTTAGTGGAGAGTGTTGTGGTATTTCGGGAGGATGTAGTCGGGATGAGAGGTGTTGGATGGGCAAGTGTTATCCGAATGAGAGAGGCCCGCCGCCGGTTTCTTCGGGGGCGGGGGTTGTGAAGCCGGTGCCGGTTACGGGGGGTGCCGGGCCGATGGTGGGGATGGGGAACAGTGTACGGGGTGGAGAGCCGGATGGGAGGGGAAGGAGGAGGGATTCGATGTTTGGGTTTGTTGTTTTGGTTGGGGTTTGGGTTGTTGATGAAGTTTGGGGGGGTTCACTTTGGGCGTAGGGGTGGAGGCATCTTCGTGTTGTCAACTTGCTGGTTCAAGTTGAGAGAGAGGAATCAGGAGGTAAGGGGCAGACGTTTACGGAGCTTTTGGAGTTCATGTGAAGGTTTGGATGATTACCAGGTTTCGTTATGTGTTGGTCTCTATCGTTCCTCCAGATCTCTAGATAAATGCTAGAAATCAGGTCTCATCGAGAGCACTACATCCTCACAGTCTTTCCTAGTCCAACAATACTTGTTTCTCAAATACAACCGGAAGAGCTAGAGCAGGTGAATGCGAGTGGGATGATCGTCCACAACGGCCTGACGACATAGAGGCTAGACGTGTATTGGTAAGAAGAGGTCATCGTCGTCCTATCTTCGTCGTTCTAATACGACGGACGGGCAGGGGGATCAGTGAGTTATGAACATGGGCTTTACTATTCAATGCAACATGTGACATTCAGGGTCTCTTCAAAGCTGTACAGTCAGCCGGAAATACGGATAGTCAGCTATCGTCGGTTCAAGGAACCCCTGACAGGCAACCGCGTTTTAAGGTTTCCCTTGCCAAGTCCACGTCCAGATTTGGCTGACCGAAACCCGTTCGTTAATCAATCACAGTTTTTGGTAGAAATGGCAAGGCGGATCGGTGCACCGGCTGCATTTCGTCCCGAGGTCGAGGGCATAGGTAGTCCCCATAATCATGACGGCATTGCTGAATCTTTGGTTTCCCGAAGCCGTGGTACTGGCTGCGTGGAGTTGATGAGGGACAATCAATGTGATGCCTCTTATCGCATACAAATTCGGATCGGCATCGGAGGTTGCGACAAAGGTGTTCTCGAAATTTGAAGAAAAGTCTAATGAGCGATATGGATAATGAGATCCATCTAATTCATCAAAAATTGTGTTTGAGCATACGACAAGCTGCAGGCCGATAGATGAAGAGCGTGTTCGCACCTGAGCATGCCACTGGTTGTGATACTGTCATCTACCGTATTGAAGGCGAACGGGGATATGCAGATATTAGTTCATGAGCGATAGACTTTGAAGGTGCTCATCACGCCGGTAATTATTTCGGACGACAAGGCTTCTTTCGCTGAGGATAGTTGGGCAAATGTGGAGGATAGACGTGGAGAGCGTGTCCATGGAGATTGGTGGTGTGGCTGAAGATAGCACGTAATCAGGGTCCCTTCAGACGGAAGTTCCCAATTCTCAGGGCCGATTCGCCCGATGGCAGGTTGGGAAGGCCGGGCCCAAAAGGTTGGGTCTTGGCGTCTTTCCGGCGTCACCGGCGATTCGTGAGAAGTGGCCGGCCGGATAACCTTAATCGGGGGCCGGGTCTGCAGACGGGCCCGTGCCTGAGGAGATTGGGAGTGAGGCGGGCGCATCTGATTCGTGGCTCGCCTGATAGGGCACGAGAGTGGATCACCAGTCCTTATCCACATTTCGATATTGACCAATTAGAAAGACGTGGTTGAGAGGACGGGTTGGAGGGGTGGATTGGTGGGATTCGGCCTGACCCTTGCATGGAAGGTCCAGGGTTGAATGAGTGACGCCAGGGAACCCCCTTGAAGGAAGAGGCAAAGCGTGCAGAAGGAAAATGGGATGTGTGTGGTGTTCTTCTTTTGCTCCCCTCTCAACTTTCGACGAGTTGCTGCGGTCTGTTGCCCTTTGCTCGGAAGATTTGAACTGTCATCTGAGGAGATGCGGCGAACTCGGGGTTTTGGGACAACTATATTTCAATCAGTTTCACGCCCTATATATCTCGTTCGTCAATCGAGTCATGAACTCATGTTAAGGTATCCGTAAGTACTCCGTATACCGCCTCATTTGGTCGAGATGATCCCTCTCTTTTCCAGTTGAGTGAGATTATCCACCCACCGGCCGAGAAGAACTTTCGTGTAACGCAGAAAGAGAGAGAAAAAAGGAACTTTGCTGGACCCTGCTTGCTGTGCCGCAAATCCCAATATGACTTTTTTTCCTTCCCACGATGCGGTGCGCGATGAACACTGGCGGCTCGCGTGCGGCGCAACAGGCGGGGGAAAACGCCCGGTTAAGCGGGCAAAGGAATGCGAGAGCTCCAAATGGGTCCTAGTCCGATGCGTACCTGGCAACGACGAGTGGAAGTGCGCATCAAATTGGGTCTTTTCTGTGTTGGATGCTCGAGGTAGCATTCGTACAATGAATTTCTGTTAGACGCATCGTGTCTGGATCATCTTTGCCGGTGGTTTGTCAATTCGTGTTGGTGCTTACTGGTGCAATTTCAATGGCGGGACATGGCTGAAGAGACACCACTAAAAAAAAAAAAAAAAAGAGACACCAGCAGGCAGCCGTTTGAGACTTTTCTGTTGTGTCCCTTTTCGGCTGTTTGTAATACCGCACTTTTGTCCCTTCTCATCTTATGCGCGCCCAGCCTTTGTCGCCCGGTCTCGCCCTGGGAAGGTACTAAGTCGGAAGAGTGCTCCTGTGCTCCTGCCTTTCCAACTCTCTACCATACCTGCGCGCCTGCCTCACGACCGCTGCTCTTTCCAATTGCTTGTTCCCCCCTTCCTCGCCTCCGTCCTTCTGTGTAGCCGCCAATCCTTTCCATCGTGGCCCTGAATTCCGTGGTTCCTTCCTATTAGCTTAGCTTAGCTCCTTCTCGCTTGCCTTGAATGCTTGGCTGACGGCCACCTTTAGCCGTGGCTTCTTCGTTGGGTTCGTCCAAACAAATGTGACTGTGTTTCTTTCCTCCCCTTCTCCTCTGCTTTCGCAATCTTCGCGACTCTTGCAAACTTGATCCTCATCTCAAACGCCACATTCGTACATGCACACCTGCAAACCTACATACAATAGCCTCTCGCGGTTTGTCTGGTCCGTTTGTCGCAGAGGGTGGATTGCGCGTTCTTTCATCGCAACTCGGCAACGTCAAGCACCTCATCGACTACGATCCCCCAGACAGTTTCCACTTCGGTCCCATCTCATTGGATTGCGCCCTTCCCAACGCGAAAGTCTCCGGCAATCGACCGCACTACAGCGATCCTCCCTCCATTGAAACCATCATCCTCTACCAGACATCCAGTCGTTCCCCTTGTCGCGCTCTACAATTTCCTCGAGAAAGCATCTGTACTCCGCAAAACGTCTTATCAAACACCAACCACATCCTGGCCGCATTCACCACCCCTCCACGCGTCCACCGTCACTTCGCTGCCCATTTCGCACCCTACTCAACGGCGATATTCCTGGCAGCGCCACACTTTAAGCTCAGAACGCTGCGACGCTCCCCTCCCCTCCCTCCACAGAGGCCACTCACTAGTCCCGGCGTCATCAAGCAGCACGCCCCCCAAGTCTCCATCCCGTGGCCCCTTTGGTTCCTCGAGAAGGGGAAAAAAAGTCCACGTCGTATCGCCCGCCGCGATATACGGTGACCCGGAGGTCCCAGTCGAACCTGGAAAGTACGGATAGTCAGCCTGCACACACCTGCTTACGCCTGTGGCCTGCCTGGCTCGTCATTGCAACCTCGACGTTCCACTCAAACAGGCCTTCTGGCGACCCGCTCCCGCTCCGGCCTGCTGCTGGTTGCGGTCAATCTATCTTGCTACGTGCCTTTCAGCTAGTCTCGTCGAACGAAGAGGGTCCCATTAATAGAAGTCCATTTAGGTAGCTAGAATGCCACCTTCGTCGTCGTCGCCACCCCCAATCCTCGCCATTACGGCCACTTATCTACACCTGCTGGCCCAACATCTTCCCCGGCCCATCTACGAAGTCCTTCAAAAGGTTCACCACCATATCGCGCGCTTCTTCGCCGCCGTCGCCTCTTCTGCCATCGTCGTTCGCATACACTCGTTTATCCCTGCCAAAATGCATCGCCCACTGGGCTTTTCGGCCTTTCTGGTCACGCTGTTCCTGATAATCGGGTTACCCTTCATCCTCGCCCAGAGCGAGCCGTTCCACTGTTATCCGTACCCGCCTGCCGATAAGTTAGCGAGTCCCTTCATCACCCTGCAGCCGCATTGTTGTAAGGGCACAATCGACAATAAGTTGAGAGTGGGCAACGACTGCGAATTGGCGAATGGAGGAAAATACAAAACAAAGTTTGGACAGGATCTGGGAACGTGTGCGACGGGCTGGGTGGACGCGTGCTGTATGCGACTGGTATGTTCACTTCAGACTCTCCTTTTCGGAGTTATCGCTAACGGCTGACCTAGCATTACCCGCCCGAAATTGCGCGGCCAGGAATGTCCTATTGCGATGCAGGCTTCCTCGTCAAGGCCGAGGCGAAGAATATTATCGATGCCCGAAGCTGGAACCCGAAGAAGTACGGAATTTGATGGCAGGGAGCCATCATTGGAACATCAATCACACGAATATGGCCACGAAAATTGAAGCTTTACTCGATGACATTCAGCAACGGCAGGGTCAGACGAAGCGAGCGAAATATGGACACACCTCCACGGTCCACGATGCCCCAGGATATCCGGCGTGGGGCGAGAGATCGAGCGAGACCCAGCGAAACCCCAGCGACTCCAGCGAGTCAGGGAATCTCCACCGCCGCAACGATCCGAGGGAAGAGAGCCTCGACCAGGAGCCCAGGAGCACTCAGAGGCCGCCGTGTGCTGTTTGAGAGGGAAGAAACACACTACCACCTAGTACGACTGGCGAAACACAGGCATTTTGGCGTTTTGCGGGCGACAACTGCATTATGAGGGCACGATTGCGACGGTCGCCCTCGTTCGAAACAACTTAGGGCTTCCGCATTATATACCCAGGGTGACTGATTTTCGTTACCTACCATTTGCATCTTATCTTGTACAACAAAGCAGGCAGGATTTTTAGACGAGGGGCCGGAAGAGGGGGCCGAGAGGAAACGAAACACAGATGCTTGACTGCCGGAGGCCGTGTGTCACCATGGTCTAGTCAAGTTCACCTTACTACGTATACCTAGTGTGTGTATTATTAGGAGTGTCTCATGGTTGTCAGTCAATCCGATCTCCGTATTTCGGAATAGTTTGACCCTCATCGGTTCTTATCGGACATGATCATCGCCTAGTCTGCCCACTATCTAGGTGTCGTACTACCTTTCCTTTCTGATGAAGATGAGGACGATGGCTATGGCGCGAGAAGATGAGTAGAGTTGACTATGTGACGACGAGACAGCAATGCGATGTCGTCTTGTTGTCGTCCAACTGTTCGGTGTCAAAGCCTCTGGAAAATGGCCTGACTGTCATAGTTGTTCACGCCCGACCGAACTATCGAGTGGCGATGGCGTCGGGTTCGGTATGCACGTGTCACCCCGCGGGGTAGGTATTGGACGGGTGGCGAGCGGTTCAATCGGCTGCGACGGTCAGCCCTGCGAGAAGAAAAGGTTTGGACCATTGCAGCAGACTGGCGAACTCCTGTAGGTGGACCATGTTTTGGGGGGACGAGACCTTAGTCGATTGAAGAGATCCCGTCGGGCAGATTACTCGGGCGTCGGAACCCAGGTGAGGCATGGCAGCGGAGATGGCGAACTCTGCCCGTGAGATACGCGGATCTACGAGGGAGCCGACGAGATTGCTTGATATTCTAGCTGGTAGGTTTGGCTGATCACCAAGTTGCAACATCCCGCGTGGGTAGGACAACTGTCTTGATTACAATTTCTTTTCTGCCCAGTAGCTGTTTGCAACAATGGCAAACCCTGTGGAGAAGTTTAAGGGTAGCATTCTATGCGATTTTGGTGGCAGATACAAAGCGATACCGAAAACTCAGTGCTCAGTGAGATATCCGTAGGTAGGCAGATAATCATCGAAGTTGAAGCACTCGCATCCACATGAATGGTCCAAAGCCCAACATTGGTCTAGTGACAATGCGCTTTACTTTATTATTATACTTGACTACTTAGTTGTTCATTCTTGTTGAAAGGCGTTCGGACGGTTATACTTGATTGAGAATGCGAGTACGACAAGAACCATTTCGAGGTGCATCATTCTGCAGGATGATGTGCAGCTATGGGGCATTTTGAGCAGTGAAGCAATTGAGGTAAGGTAAGCTTTGTTCGCAGCTTTGGTTGCAGCTTGCAGCTTGCACAGACCGTCCCGCTAGCCCAGGTACGTACTTCTTCAAGACACCTTGAGAGGCACAAGGAGGGTGGGGCATCGGATTAATCGGTACGTGTTGTCCATCCCGATCCGACCTCATGTCCTCCGGAAGAGATGTTCCCGTTTCATCTTTTCTTTTCGGGGCACCTCACGACTCTGTCTGTTGAGCGCGAACTACCACTGCTTTCAGTCAATACTCCCGGACGGTATCGAACCCCCTTTCGATGATGAATGTGGTTCCCCTGGCGTTTCCAATTGGACAATTGCCTATCGAAAGGAAATTCTGGACAAACTATCTGTACCCCTGGTGATCCCAGTGGGTCTCTTTACACTCGTCTGTGTCTCCCTGCTAGCTGCAGATCACTCTCCACGTTCTTCTTCTTTTGGGTGAAGAGGGGAGCAAGACCCAGCTCGCAACATGGTCGGTTCTGTCCGTCACACGCGCAGCTGGGCAGCGGACTCTATTGCAGGTGGGAAGAACTGAAGACGAAGAAGTCTCAATGGACTCTTTTTTCTAGCCTGGCACTCTGGACACAGTGGACAGGAGTCGAGGGGACAAGACAAGCACACTTCGAAACCGGGGTCTGTGACACTCTGTCACACAGCCGCCACACGCGGCAGTTTCACCGTGCCCAGTCGGGACCAATAACATTAACCTCCCGTTAGCCTCCAATGCCTCTCCCGACTACCTCTCATGCCCTCCACCCAATCGTCTTGAACCTGCTCAACCTCGCCCGTTCAGCCAGCCTCACATCCCCCACGGGCGCCCGACCAACCTGCTTCTGAAACTGGCCCGCTGCCTCTGCACGTCTGTCTCCCTAGGCCGTGCTTGCAGTTTCCTATGCCTGTGCCTGTGCCTGGTCCGTCGTCAAGTCGTTGTCTGCCACCATGTCTTCCTAACCCCGTATTGCGATGAAAGCCACCACCAGAGAACTTGGAACGCCGAGGTGACAGAAGACAGCGACGCAAGACAGCTCGGCACGATCTTTGATGGCAGGCTGGCAGGACTGACTGGCATACCAGCCGAGCGGTGTCTTCCCCACCCGTCGTCTGCCCCTCCACCCCTCCCTCCCCTCTTACTTCTAAGAAGTGTTCCTGATTACTTCTCCTATATCATGCGACAACCTGTGATCGTCCGCGGGGTTGGAGCAAGGCTGTTCCCTTCCTTTCTCCTTCCGAGCCCTTAGATTGGGTCTCTCTTTTCCCTTCCCTTGTTCTTAATATTCTTATTCGACTGTTACCGACTTGCCTCACCCTGGGCTGGTACCAGTCAATGAGAGGCCGACTGAGAGAATATCCCATCCGGATTCCCAAACATCATTCATGCAAAATCTGTGCGTATAGAGTAACAAGGCGCCGGGCAACTCTTCCCTGCGGCTCACCCAGGGTTCCAGTTCCAGTTCATCAGACAAGCTAGGTCGTTGCCACCACACTCGTTCTGTGCTGGTTGGCTTGCTGGCTACCACCATCTTCCTGCCCGCTTCTCCGCTCTTTTCTACCGTTCTTCGCCTCAATCTACTCGCAACAAGCGCGCTCTTAATCCCAATTCTAATCCAGAGGATCGACAAACACCCCGACCATTGATCTTCGTTTCCTCCCGCTAAGGGGGCGACCCAAAGAGAAACAAAACAAACAGAACCGCTTGGGACGTCAAACACCACAACGACGACTCGAGGGACGATGAACATCAGTTGACGGTAGACCCCGTCCCCCTCCCCATCCTCTTTCGACTGGACTTGTCCGTCGCTCGAGAAGACCATCCCGCCTGCCTTCCTCTCCTCTGATCAATGGCATCTGAGGCGAGGGCCAGGGCAAATGTGCCCCGTAGAGTAGGAAAGCAGACCACGAATGGCATGGACTCCTATCATCGTTACGTAGCAGAATCAAGTACGCCGCCGCCGCCGCTGCCTCAAGGGGATATCATCGCCCGGCCGTATACCAGTCACTCCCGTTCCTTTAGCACGCCGCGTCCCTCAATACTAGAACCGCCTTCGTCAAATAACAGCAGCGACCCCGAGCAATCGAGAGCTTTGCCAGTGCCCGAAATCACCATCAGCAGCCCAGGGAAACCGCCGAGGGCCAACCCACGATACTCATTAACTCCTCGCCAGGCAACATTTCCTCCGATCAATGCTCAAAGATTAGCGGTGCCCGGGGTGAGACCACCTCCGCCCGCGCAACAAATACCATTTGCTCCACGAATACAAAGAGTTCAACCACGACCACCGGTGCCCACACCACCAACCACGGCCGATTCCGATGATGCGAGGAAACGAGATGGGTTAATCGACGTAGCTCTTCCGTATAGACCGTTCTATCTCCAGAGAAGGGTACTCAGCTCTTTCGCTGTCCTCTTCGCCGGACTCATGGTCACCGTAGAAGCCGTGCTGGATCTATCAAATAAAAGAGGAGGACTTGGTTCACCAGACCATGGGTTCAGATATCTGTGGCAGTACGGGTCAGCATTCATCTTCACCTGTATTGCCGCGTTATGGGCGAGACCGGAACATCAAGCGAAAGCGAGCGCGCCGTGGCTCCGGATGGCAAAAGGACCTGCGAGCGTGGACCGGACCCTGATGCTCGACTATGTCTTCATGTTCGAGCCGTTGACCATCGCGAAAGCAACAAAGAATCGGGACTGGCTCGTTGCGGCTACGGCATCTGTGGGCTTGACGCTCAAACTCATCATCGTCATCGCTGTGGCACTCGTCAGTCCGACGTTCCAGATTGTGACTGCTCGGGGTGCGAGCTTGAACCTACACAACACGTTCGTGAACGATCCCACTGGGCTACGGAATGCTGGTGCCCTGCCTTTCTTTACGATGACCGCCCTCCAGACGAAAGGCCTCAACTTCCCAGACGGTACTTCGAAAGAATTCGCCTTCCAGTCATTTTCTGCTGACTTGCCCGCCACTGCTGAGCTGAGGACCAACGTCGACGGCTTCGAATCCGAAATCGAGTGCGAGCCGGCACAGTTCAGCCTAACTGGTGTCCAGTTCATCCAAGCTTCGGATGTTCAGCTCAACGCCACCATATCGACCCCGAACTGCACCCTGACGCAGACCATTCCGAATCTGGCGCTGATTGGCTTCACGCTTCCTACCTTCTTTATGGCGTTCCAGGCTGGGATGTGCGGGAATTCGCCATTCCCCGACGATGGAAGGGTCGTCGTCATGACGGGAGCAATTCAGATCAACGAATCCAGTGTACCGACGGAGAGCAACGTTTTCAATGTGCCCATTTCGGGTGCTGTCTCAAGGTCTGCGGCACTCATCTGCCGTCCATCATACTTCCTCACAAGAGTCTATGTCACCAAGAACAACACGCAACTCATCAAGATCGAACGCAACCGCTCGGCAGCCAACAAGACTCTCGATCAGGTTCACCCTTGGGACATTGTCCAAGGGCACTTCAACTCCTATCCCACTGATTCGCAGATTCTCGCAGCGATACCGAACATCAACAGCCGGTACCCCGGCATTGCCATTGTCGCTTCCGACGCCGTCATGAACTCGGCCGTCGCTATGCAGATCAAAGACAATGGTCTTCCTCCGATCGAGACCTTCTTGAAGACAGACAACCTCACGCAGATCTCGACGGCGTACTGGAAGCAGTATACCGCTCTCGTCGCACGCAGCTCGATGATGGGCGAAACGCAAGAGAAATCTACCGGTACGGCCGTCATCATTGGCGAGCGACTCAACGTTCGCCAAATACCAGCGCACCTCCTGTCTGGACTCCTGGGCTTCGTTCTCATGCTGGTGCTCGCCGCAATTGCACTAGCGCCAGCAAAGGGCTTTCTGCCCCGCGACCCAAATACCATCATCAACATGGCTACCCTTCTCGCTCACAGCCGCCAGCTTCTTCAGTGTCTGCGCGGCACGGGTGCCGCCGACACATCGATCGTGCGGGAGAAGCTGCTCGGCACGAACTACTACACCGGTGTCGAGCCCTACGAAAAGGCAGAAAAGGAGGCAAGGGGATATTTCAAGATCTTTGGCGGTGCTCCGCCCCCTCAGAACCAGCCGCCCGAATTTGTGCGAAACGCGGACTGGAAGCACCCGTTGCCGCTGCACCCATGGACCAGGCTCGCCGCCGTGGTGACTATGATTGGCATGATTGTCGCCCTTGAGGTTGTGCTTCGCATATCTAATGCACATGCGGGCATCGCGACGACAAAGGCTAATACCGATCGCCACTTTCTATGGACGACAGGGACTGGTGTCATTTTCGGTCTTGTGGTGCTTTACCTCGCTGCCGCAGACTGCGCGACACGATGTCTAGCGCCGTACGCGAAGCTCAAAGAAGGGGGATCCTTTGAGACGACAGTTCACCTTGACTTCATGGACAAGTCCAAGCATAGAATTCTGTTCGATGCTGTCAAGACACAAAACATCGCCGTCGCTTTCACCACCACCGCTCTAATCGTCGCGTCGCTCCTGGCGACCTTCTCAGGTGCCCTCTATAGTACGACACCGATCCCATCTTCGCGGCCAGTAAAACTTCAGACTCTCGACAGCTTCATCAATGCGTCCGCGCCTTGTCCGACCTGCACCACCGATACTCTCCTGGCCTCCTTGATCCTCGATGCGAACCTGACTTTCCCGTCCTTTACCTTTGAGGACCTCAACTTCAACAGCCTGCAACTTTCGGAACCCCTCGACATGAAAGATGGCGCCGGCACGATTATCGCCACGGTCCCTGCCCTTCGCTCGCGGCTCGACTGCAGACTCTATCCGCAATCCGAGATCAACACAAACTTTACTGTCCCCGACATACCGAATCAGTTCTCGCAGAATATGAAGGTCAACATCGCTGGGGAGCCTTGTCTCGACCCTTCAGTCCGGTCCAACGCCGTCTTACCACCGGGGGTGTCTCCCTCGTCCGTCTTCGGCGTCGCCACACCACGGTCTGCTGCTTCGTCACAGTGCTCCGATTTCACCTACGTCTGGGGTCAACTCTCTGATACTACCCCTATGCAAGTGGGCTACATCTCAGCCTTGGGCTGCAACGAGACGCTCGAGACTGTCACGGCCAAGATCCGCCTCACGGGCACCTCGCTGCACGTGGACACCACCTACCCGCCCGTCGTCCAGGAAAACACCGCCAAGCCAATCAAGCTCAGGCTGCTTCCACTGCAGTACGGACTCCTGGCCAACCTGACCACGGGCAACCAGCTCGACCCCTTCTTCAGCTCCCTCGTCACATCGCGATTCGCGGTACCCGCGGGGAACCTGGGCGATCCGGGCCTGGGCAAGAGCGGTCTCGTGGCGGACGCCATTGTTCGGCAGCACGGCATCCTGCGCGCCCAGAACCTCAACGTCAACTCCCGCCGTCGCCTACCTGATATCACGGCACAGCAAACCATCCCCGCCATGTTGGAGTCGACGTCCGTCACCTCACTGCGGCGCCTGGTGCAGGATAACGCCTCGACGCGCATCATCCAGTCCGTGCTCGGTCTTCTCATCGCCCTGACGCTCGTGGCGTGGCTCCTCATGCCCGGTACGGATACCATACTTCCGCGGAACCCGTGTAGTATCGCCTCTGTGGCGGCACTGCTGGCCGACGGCAATGTCTTTGGGTTTTTGGGACGTGGAGCGGAGTGGCAGGCGACGGAGGAGATGAAGCGCAGTTTCTTGGATGGGAGCCATTCTATGGGATTCAAGATTGGGTACGAGCGGGTGAGGAAGCGGAGGGGCGCGGAGGATGTAAACGGGATTAGAGGAGACGGGGATATGGCGTATGGCATCAACGTCAAGCGCGGGGGTGGGTGGGGTGGAGGTGAGGATGTTGGGCTTGGGATCTTGGCGAGGGTGAATGGGGCGCAGAGGGGGTTTGTTAGGGGATGGGGAAAGATGTGAGCTTTCTTCTCGGTCCCCGGGTTTGGTTTTTGTTTATTTCTTGTATTACACATGCTTGGTCTTTATAGTAGCCTGTGGCTTTTTGGAGTTTTTCGTTTGTCCAGGGACGAACTTTTGGGAGCGGGATGATACCATATGCGAGAACTTTTTTTCGAAAATGAAAATGGGAAGAAACGGGAACCATGGGGAGTCTCGGGGTTGAGATCATGGTTATTATTCCTTTTGTGTGTACTTTTATTTAGTGGTACTTTAGTCTGACCAATGTTTAAACATTTGGATGGGATTTATCAATTCTCTGGGGTATTCCAGCGCGAAGGGTTGCGACTTCGTTGATCTAGCGGCTAGACGGGAGCGCGAGCTATGACGAGGATGCAGCTCTCCCATGGTAAATGTTGCCGTCGTCGCAGGAAGCCTGTTGCCAAGTCTGCGATTCTAACGTGGAATAATGGTGGTCAGGTGTAAATGACTTCAATCTAACGACACAAATTCCGATTGCGATACCTTTCTCACTTCACCCGCAATTAGGTAAGTGAAGATGCGATTGAGATACCGATACAGAGAGCGGTCCCGAATGTAACCTCCCATGAGGCTCTCACAGAGTCAAGATCAGCGGCGGCTCAGCACTATCTCTTACTTTCTTAGCAGTGGCGGTGTCAAGGTCGATAAGTGCCCTGTAGTAAGTCATTTTGAGTGCTGTGTGCCTAGCTGTAAAGTGCCCAGCGTTCCTCATCCCGGCGACGATCGACTCGGCAAAGTGGGTTTCGTGCATTCGGGTCCTTCGGGTCTCGGGGATAGCGGGGACGGATGGGGGGAATATGCCGTTCGTTGGGCCCGAGGTGCCGTCGGAGGATTTTTAAGCGATATCGTGAACGGGAAGAGTGTTTTGCTTGGGAGGTATATGTTGTGAGTGTATAGGAATGGATGGAAAGGGGGGCTTGAGGGAAGGATGATGGGGGAGGTGGTAGGTGTGGTTAGGTGGTGAGTCTTGGCTGCGGGAGACGAGCGCCTCGAATCGTGTCTGGGGTCTTGGCGGGTTATGCGATCTAGAAGCGGCGGGTGTGGTGCCGGGAGGAACGGACGTCACTGCAGATGATGTTGATGATGGTGACGAGTAGCAGAGAAGAGACTTTGGGAGAAAAGAGAACATCGCGGACAGGAAAGGTGGTATTTGAGATTTTTATGCTGGATTTGTTCAGGTTTGGATATCATGTCCCCCCAATGTAAGCGCCTATTCGCTTTCCTCATGTTTTTGTCCCTGTTGTTTCCCGTCTATTGTCAGGCGGACTGTAAATCCACTGCGGACATGCAGAAAAAGTTCAAGTCCATGTTTTCAAAATATGAAAACCATAAAGAAATGCTGGTCTAATTGGGTCCCGAGTCAGCCATGTCCACGTGCGTCTATTGCAAGTCTGTCCCCTCTCCAGGGAGAAAGATTCTGCCCTGAGCGAGGGCAGGGGAGCAAAACACATACCATGCGAAGAAATTGAAAATCGTGTCTCTTGAGTGTGTGGTGCATCTAGACAATACTGCAAGCGCATCCGATGCGCTTCTCGGGGTCGACGCTGGGGAAGCCGACGCAGATGCGGCCCTCGGCCTCGCAGTTGACGTTGCTCTCGCCGCAGACGGTGTCGGTGCAGGGGCCGTCGAAGCGGGCGGCGACGGTGGCGGCGAGGAGGGAGACGATGGCGAAGACGGCGCGCATTTTGGCGGTTGTTGAGGGTTGAGGTGGAGGAGTTTGGATGGTTGTGAGAGAGTGTTTGGTATGGAGTTGTGTGGGTGAAGTGGGATGTTGATGGTGATGGGATGGCAGAATCGATCAAAAAGGCGGGATGATCACCTTCTTCTTATGCATCAAGTAACACGGAAATTGATTCTTGAGTCAATTCTACGGAATGGACGCGATAAATCCTGGAAATATTATGTCAAGGCCTTTGGGGCATGTATGAAGGGTGGTGAGGTTAGTCTGTTGAGGTTGACACCGCCCTCTTTCCGCGAACTTGCTAGGCTGACTGGGCTGGGCTGTCTTTGCAAGAGGAATACCAAGGCTTTTGCGACTTTCTTGGAAAGTGCTCGAGATCTGCTCGATGTGGTTACAAGGAGGATGCTATTTTCGAGGTTGCTGGTATCCGTAGCGGAGCTGTCCTGAACCACTTGGTCAGTGAGCAGTGGTCAGTCAAGCATATGATTATGCCTTAGAGGCCGGCAAAATTACAAGTCTACGGAGTACTGTGGTATTGTGGATTAGCTGGTGGCCTAGGTTGTTCCCTTGAGGTCCGTTCTGCGTACTTGGCGTACGGCAAAATCCGATACGGAGAGGTCGACTACCCGTAGGTAAGGTGATAGGTGAGTACGGAGTAGCGAGGACGGTATGAGGACGGGGACCGGCATGCTGTCCACAGTTCGCTGCTGCTGCTGGGCTGCTGCACCAGCTTTGCTTGGGTGGTCTTGGCGGCCTGCGTGGGCAGTGTTTGGGGCTATTAAAAGCCCATCGAGTATATGAGCTTGATCAGTGCTCTTGGCGATGAGGTGTTTCCAATCCACCCCTTGGCGGCCCTTCCGTTGGCTAGGTATCCGTAGTAGGTGGTAGGCGAAGTTTACCCATTGAATCGCGAGACAAGACTACCAAGGTTTTGACATGGATTGGCTGGATTAGGCTGGGCTGCTGAGCTGCTCAGTCATGATGTTCTCCATACGGAGTAGTATTCATACGGATACATCTCTACAGGCGCATTGGCTATCCTGCCCTGCTCCCTCATGGCAAAGGTGACGGGTAATTTGACGGACAATCAACCGGGGAATTCCCTCTCGGGAGATTCGATGGGTGAGGAAATGTGTCGCGTGAGTCTTTTCTTCTCCTAGACTCTCATATCTTGGCATTCTGTCTGCGAGTTGGCAACTAAAGAATTCGCGCCCGTTGAAATCTAAACTTTCGCACAGAGAGGGATTCCATAGGCTAGAGAGGCAACGAGAATGGGGAATTAGGGGGGCAAAGACGCACTTCCCCAGTGGCTTAGCGTTGTTCTCCCGTCAGAGGGCCTTGACTACGGCACTGTTACACGATTCATGTGCCCTCGTCCCCGGGGTAAGTGATCGCGAGTAAGTATGCGTAGTGGGCGGCCGTGCCCAACGAGACCAAGACTTGATAAGATCATCTAGCCTCCAGAGTGCTCATCTTTCTTGCGATCTCCTGGCACCTATCCACCAAGACATGTTTTCGACTCATGGTCACCCTTGCCATCTTTCCTTCTCGACTGACGTCTAGATCTGGGTAAAGAGACCCAACGATCGTGGCATAGTTGCCAAGAGTGGCAAAATTCACCCGTATTCAAAGTGAGCTGGTTTGTCAAATGTCTGCTGCGCCTCCTTAGAGGTGACGTACAGCAGGAAGTCCAAGAAGGCCGCTGCTTCCCAGTATCTTCTATGACAGTAGCCAAGGACAATGAGCCTTTCAAAGAATGAAGTTTGTTAACAGTTGGCAGTTTAGTACAAGTTATCGGTGATCAGTCATCACCACCGACCGGCTATGACGCTTCACCACGGACCAGTAGCAGTCGACTCGTGACATCGTAGAGAGATCAGACTCATAGACTGATAATCTGCTCACGATCATCTCCCAAGATGAAGCTAGGAATTAAAACTCAAAATCTCATTACTCGGCGAATCTATTCGCTCATACTCTGTACAGATACACCAGCCCGGCAAAATGTAGACCCATCCCTCGTCCAGTGCCGTTTTTAGAATGTCACGTATCAGACTTACCCGGTGGTGTGGAGAGAGCACAGATCAGCGGAGCTGTCCGGTGCCTCCTTTTTCATCCGAACCCAGGCGTTCGGGCGACGAAATCCGGGGCAAAGTGAAAGACGCCCCCCCTTTCTAGATTCCAGCCATGTCCCTTTTCCCGGACCTCAAAGGTGTCTTCGGAAGGGATGTGCCTCAGTGTTCAGCACGAAATCGTCGAGGCTGATGAGATCGGGCGGTGAGAAGACGAGGTAGAAATATTTCAGTGTCTCCGCCAGCCAGAAACTCTAAATGGGTGGTCCTGCAGTGTCAGTCAAGCGAATCTTGTTCCTCTTTCTTTCTCCCCTTCGCAATCTCCCGATTTAGAACAGACAAGTCAACCCTGACCGAGCATGCTGACATGGCAGGAGAATACAACAGGAAGAGAAGCAGCGGAAAGAAAAGCAAAAAGTCGAACGGAAAGGAAAGAAACTCACCTCCATGTAATCCTCTTTGGGTAGCTCGTCCTGCTTCTGCGTGACATCCAGTACCGCAGCATTACCGTGCTCGACGAGCGTGCCGTTACTCACAGCCTTCCACATCTCCCACGCGGCCTCCTGGAACCCCTGGTCGCCCGTGATGCGGTACAGCACAAACACGCTCTCAATCGCCTCGGGCCGGAGGATATACCGCGGGTCCTTGGCCGTCGTGAAGCCCTTGGGCAAGTGCTCCTTATACTCCGTCTTCAACTTCTTCGCCGCATCCCACTTCTCCTCGTCCCACACGCACGCGTCCCGCCGGTCGCACTTGACCATGTTGTACCGCTCCGGCATCATGCCCGTCGGCATGGCCTGGTAGGCGTAGTAGCATCCGAGCGTCAACCGCGCGCCGACGGTAACCCACTCCTCCTTTCCCAGCACGCGGCCCGCGAGGGCGTAGATGCCGCCGATGAAGCAGGATAAGTGCTCGCTCTCCGGGTCGAGGGAGTGGTTCCCGCCCGCATCGACGTCGACGTTGCCCGAGATGAGGACGTTTTCGCCGCCAGGGAGCATCGGCCGGAAGAAGAGGGACTCGTTGGCCGCTTTGAGAAAGTTCTCCGTCATGGTGCGGTACTTTGGCTCCGCGCCCTTGAGGAGGGCGATCATCTTGGGGAGGTACTCGTAGAGCGAGTCGGCGCAGCCGCCGATGGTAAAGGTTGAGCCCGTGACGACGTCGCGGTCGGCCATGTGGACGAACATGGGCCACATGCCCGGGAGTTTAGTCTTTTGCTGGCCGTCGTGGAAGAG